GCGCGTACAAACTTCATTTTGAAAAATCAAATTTATTGAGGTGTCATGCGAAAACGACTGCATAAAAAAATCCGCAAAAGAATTTACAATTTCAGGTAGAGACGTGATCGTGTTAGTATTAGAATTAATAGTAGTAGGTACTTCTTCTTTTTCTTCATAAATCCCAGAATTGTTTTGGGTCACTTTTGATATCGCGTTCCGACTTTTTTATGAATAAATTTTAAGACTCCTTTATATCAGATTTTATTTTATTTCTCAATCTTTTAAAATTATCCAAGTGCATAGCATCTCCAGTTATTTTAAATTTTTTATAGAAATTAGCTTTTTGCTTGATAGCACTAATGATGTCACGCCAGAACCAGGGAGGATATTTACTTTTTCGAAATTTAACATACCTTGGCACAAAAGCATCGAATATTTCATATATTTTATTATAAAAGATATCACACATCGTGTCAACAGTCTTCTCATAATTTAAAACAGACCAGTATGTATTCAGTAAGGGATTGTATAACTCAACAAAGTTGGCTTAATAGTTAAAATTGTGTTCTAGATTAGTTCGGAATTCACGTTTGAAATTCTTAGATTGATAATAATTTAAATATGTTAACAGAGCTGGATGATGACTACCTTCAGTAGTAATTTATATGGCACCCTAAATTGAGTGACACCTCATTTTAAAGCTTCTTCAATTCTGTTCACGACGACAAATGACTTTTTAAATTTTGGTTTGGATATGACAATAAAATCATCATGTAAAGAATAATACGAAATATCAATGAATGAAAGGATGTTATTTTATTAAGTGTTCAAATTGGTTTCTGTCCTCTTCCATGCAATAATAAAATCTTTGCTCCACTTCCAAACGAACATATCGGGCGTTATTTGACAACATTCTTCTCAATTTCAACAATTTCTCGATAAAAAAAATGCGTTTTTATTTTTTGTTTATCTGTCAATACAAAAACTTCATACCGTATGACTTCAACTTTTTACCTATTTTAAGTTATTATTATTACCTAGTGATGATTTTATTGTCATATCAAACCAAAATTTAAAAAGGCGTATGTCGTCGTGAACAGAATTGAAACAGCTTTAAAATGAGGTGTCAACATAGGGTGCCATTGTGTACCATCCAAGACACCAAAACTTACGACATGATGTGTTCACCTTGAAAAGAAAATCAACGGATCTCAGTTTTTTTTTTAATTCCGATACTTTCCAGATGGGAAATTTTAATTGGAACACCGTGTATGTAAATCTCGCATAGGATAAACTCCATCCAGCAGAAATGTGACAGATTAAAAAAATATTCGCTGAACATTTTCTAATAACACAAATTGATTTCCGTATAACTAAACCACATTCAAGTTTATATCTTACAAATGTAAATAATAATCGTGAGGTCTCAAGATCAATAGAAATTCGTAAATTAACTAAGAGATGATTCTTTAAGAACACTACCATGCAATACATAATTAAATATTTTTTTTTTAGTTGAAAAGACATAACATTACACAAATACACTTGCTGTTATTATAAGGTAATTTTTTTTATTGCACCAGTTGTCACAGTCCAAAACAGAGTTAATGTGACAAAATATTTTTACATCAACGTATAACAGATATTGCTTATTATGATCCTCCGCAATGTCGTTGATAAAGATAATAAATAGAAACGGTCCAAGTGAGGACCCTTGAGGAATACCTGAACTTTTAGGAAAGTATTAGACTTTCACCACATAGGGATCGATTACAGAAGTATATATATGAAATACTTTTATTAGATCACTACAGAGACATACACTGTGTTTCATTTTTCATGGGGGCACCCTTATCTCTCTTTTTTTAAGTATTTTTACATCACTAGTCCCATTTTTTATAAGAACCGCTTCGGCTTTATTTCTCACTAGTCAGCCTTGTACTTTGTCCCAATTTTTTTAGCTACTAATTAAGAAATTCTCTTATATCAAAACTTATTGTTTCTTCTACAGAATTCTTTATTGTTGCTTCGTCTTCAATATTCACAAGATAACAACTATAAACGTTTTTTAAAAGGCAATGCTACGACAGTGTTAAAAAGTGTTGTTTACGGTATGTTGTGCATAACACTGACTAGAAATATCAATAAAATATCAAAATTTTTCGACTCCGTCACAATTAAAGCCGCGACATCAAAACCCATGTCACGACAACGCGGTTTTTGTTTTTCACGAGGACGAAACTCTTGAGAATTCATGTCATAACAGTAAAAGTCACGTCGGTATTTACTGTCACATCAAGAGACAAATTGTACCACTAAATAATTAAGTACCCTCTAATGATACAACTTCTTGTAAGTCGAGTGTAAATAATTCAAATTTGGCTCTGTTATCAAAGAATATGTTTTTTTCCGACTAGAAAATGTTTGGTTTTCTGACTTTTACTATTCACTTCCATGATAAACGTCAAGAGAGCGGGGATAATTGGAGACCATGTCAGTGGTTCCTTTTCGTTGATAGTAATTTGAATGGAGAAAATTATTTACGTCTGCTCCAAAATAATGTCGTGCTAATTTTGGAAAACCTATATCCTGTTCAAGCAAAGTTGCAGCCGATGTGAAATGGTTCCAGCAGGATAGAGCACCACTAGATCCAATATTCGGCAATACCTCAACTTAACATTTCCAAATCGAAAAATATAGGGAGGCGAGGATCGCTAGAATGGCCAGCACGTTCTTCTGAACTTATATGTGAAAATACGCGATATAGCTAACTTCAGAAGAACAGTAACGGTTTTTATTTACAATTAAAATGCTGCCAAAAGATGTTCAAGGAACTCATTTTTAACATCTACGTTGAAATTAAGTTTTTTTGGATTACCTACTGTAGTGAAATTCGTCAAGCAGACCGTTAATTTTTACAATAATTATGAAAACCATAACATTTTTGAATAAAAAATGAAAAAGACATTTCAAATAAGGTAGGAATCACAAGCCTCTACTTTCCATTTAAAAATTTAGGGGACGCAACTGCCACTAAAAGGGGGTTGAATTTGGGGATGAAATTTTTACGTTACAGGATATCATTTCAAAATCTAAAATCGACGTGTTTCGGGATTTTTAATAAATATGTACAGTGTGATTCACTATATTTTGACCCCACCATTAACTTTTTTGTTTTTAGAGTAAAAAAAAAATGTGAAATATAAAAGTTGCAGGATTTTTTATGAATTTTTCGAAAATGATAGTAGAAAAACAAACGAAGTCCAAACAAAATGGCCGCGGATGTTAACTTTGTTAATTTAAATGGAACACCCTGTATATTTTTAAATATTTGGATAGAACGTTCTCTGTCGCGCATAGTCATATAGGATTTGTTGGGTCCATCTCTAACCATAAGCAAGATACCATTAATAAAAGAAAATAACGTTTTTTATTAAGAAAATAAGATATCTTGTAAATGTTAGATTTCTTTGAAGCATTTCTGTCTTTTTCCAATTACGTAAAGATTTACAGATTTAGTTGTAATGTTTTTTGACATATTGGATATTGATATGGTCCAAAATGCGTATAGGTATTCCAACTAAATATCACTAATTATGCCGTGAGAGGCCTAATGCCTAATTACTCTTGGACAATGATATATGGTAGGCCGTGACAGTGACAGGTAATCTCATGACAACATTGTTATTGTTTGATGGTTTGTATTATTATTTAATTAAAATGGGTTACACAGAAGTAGAAAATTGAAATATTATAGGGATTAAAAAAGAGTAAAGATTTTCTACATACTCTAAAAATAGAATGAATCACCATGTACAATAATTGAAATACTGAATTTATTCCATTTTGCTATTCCACACTGTATAATGCTTTCGTTGGATTTCTAAAGCAAGCCAAGCGTCTCATGCGGGTATTTCGAAGAATATTATGTATATGCTTCATTATAAATAAATGTTGCACCTTACATAATAACGTACCACTTTTGAGTGGTTTTAGTAATAATTAGATCACGGTCAAAATGAGTTGTATAATGGCTACTACTACTACTTTCCCACCTCCTTCTTGATTTTATTTGCTGTGTATTATTACTTCATATCAAAAGAAAAGCATCTTTGACAGAATCTATGAAAAAAATGGTACTTGTAGCTTCTAGATCTATTTTGAGCACCAAAGAACCGAATTAAAAAAAATTACGTTTCCCTTTTGCAGGTCCCCTTGAATCACTAATTAGGATAGGTAACCTTGAACATCAATTTCGTGTGCTCAAAAATCTCTAATACATAATACCAAGGTTCGAAAAAAACACGAATTTACCTCACACGCATTTATACAACGTACATAAATTTCTGTTTATTAACTAATGTTGCTAAAACGACAGGGATATTTATTATTTCAAGATCTGTTATTCTGTTAAGATTTTTTTATACTCGAGGCTAACCTTGTTTACTCTTTATTGTTGAACTTTTCTGGTTTTCCTTTAATCTGAATTATTGCGACCAGTTTTAAATTATACCACAGCAAGTTCAACTTCATGTGAGACTTAAATGCAGACTTACCTAATACAAAGCGATCAAAATGAGATGAAAGTGGAGGGAAACGCACCAGTTATTATCAAGACATACAGGGCGATTTATTAATAGGACGACATACAACGACATTTTCTTAACTACTTTTTGTCTTAACAGATCCTTCAGAGAACAAAGAAATATTACTACAAATATGTGAAGCTAATGTGGGGTACTTTAAAGTAACAGGGGTAACCAATAGTCCCCGCTAGAGTCATTGCGGTTGCTTTTAGCACTTTCAGGTTTATTAGTGTAATGCACTGAAATATTAACATTAAACATGGTAGCCAGGTAAAGTAATCAAAATCCTTTATAGATAAATGTAACTCGGCGTAATTCGCGAGATCTGTTATAAAACCTGTTTTGACAGTCTCTTAGCAGACTAGTTGAATCTCCACGTGAATTTCTTCGCAATATTATTGAATAGCTCTTATAATTAATGACTTTTTGCAGGCCGTATACATCGTCATCATGACAGAGGGTCCCAACGACCTAGAACTGCGAAGAAGGCAGTTCAAGGCTCAAATGTCCACGGTACACTCGCGAAAACAACAGGCAGTATGTGTACGAAGGGCGTGCAAAAGGTACGGCACGAAGAGCAATCCATACGTTATCCTAGATGGGCTCAACATGACAGTACCCAAAGGATGCATGTAAGTTTTCGAGAAAAACTCTCACCATTTCGTAATGAATACGTTTGTTACGGAAAAAAATATCCATATTAATTTTTTTATTACTGTTTTTTTTTTAGATATGGGCTGTTAGGTGCTAGTGGCTGTGGAAAGACTACATTATTGCACTGTATAGTAGGAAGAAAAAGATTAAATTCGGGGGAAATATGGGTTCTGGGTGGAAGACCAGGATCTAGGGGAAGCGGTGTACCTGGACCAAGAGTCGGATATATGCCACAGGTATACATTTTAACTAAAAACAGGAATGACGTTTACAATCACATTTAATTAATGTACAGAGCCTTCATAAATGTTTACAAGCTACGTGACCGCCACCCTTAGGCAATCAACATTGCAGGGTTGGTATTGGTGACGAAAAACGTGAAGGAAATAAAATTACTGTACAAACAATGTTAATGGTCACATGGTTTGTAATCATTTATGAAGGCTCTATAAGACAGTCATAACGTCCATCAAGAAAAAGCACGTTCAAATATCTTACACCACGCTAATATACTCATATGTCAAATATGCTCCGCCTCAACAAATAGGTAAGCGAGAGAGATAAACCAAAGAATATACACACTTATACAGGGTGGTCCGAATTTTATGCAGGAAACTTCGAGAGCAGATAGATCTCTTTAAAATAATAGGTGTTTGCCTTATAAACATAGATCTGGGTCTGGAACACCCTATGTTGAAGTTGTTAAAAAAATTAGATTTTTTGTTTATATCTCCGATCTCAATAAACTTTGGTACAGATAATGTATGATAGTAGGCCTTGCATTCCTTAAGATATGAGCTCTAATAAAGGTTCAACCAATGGTGTACAACTGGATAGAGGGCACCCCCTTTTTATAAAAAAAAAACTACGCTATAGAGTGTTTTACAAGTTATTGTAACGGATTTATATTCTAATGCACAAAATACGTAAAAAAGGTAACTTGAATTTTTTCCCTAAGATTCGCCGTTCTCAAGTTATTCATACGAATACAATCCCCTTGTGTCAGAAACTTCTAACCATAATATTACAAGAATATGTTTATGTTTAAAAGTAACTGCAATTTTTAAGCACATCAACAAAATTATTTACACTCCTTTCTACATCACCTGTGAGGTAGAGTTTCTGGCTCATTTAGTTTCCTCTGGAAGCATAACCCACTATCTTAAGAAGAAATAAAACAATAAAAACAATTTAAATCAAAATAATAATAAATGTACATTTATCAGAAAATCAAGAAAATCCTCATAGAATTCAGACAAGAGCTTTTCAACACGAATTTTCTGTGAACGTATGGCTCGGAATAATTCGCAATAAAGTTTGTGGACCTTTCTTCTTGCCAACCCATCTAAATTCTAGTCATTTCTAAACTTTCTAGAAAACCATCTGTTTGAATTATTAGAGGATGTTCCATTACAACAAAATAGCTGGATACAAATGGATGGTGCTTCTGCGCAATTTAGGAGAATAATACAAGAATGGCTTAATGAAAATTATATGGGGTGGTGGATAGGTAGAAAACGCCAATGTCAACCATAATGGTACAGAGGGTCCAGTGTCTTGGCCAGCCAGATTGCCATATCTAAACCCCCTGGACTTCTATGTTTACGGTTATCTGAAAAGTAAAGTTTACTCCAACAGATACAAGACCACAACTAATGCAGGAGACGGGTGTAATGAAGGAAAAGAAAACCACCACATGATATTAGCTTCAATTAGTTCCATTAATAGAAGATGTCGGATATGTATCGATGTGGGTGGTTCGCATTTTGAACATAAATAGTTCGTTCCTGTTGCTTGGTAAATATATTTTTATTATTATTTTGATTTAAATTGTTCTTATTTGTAAAGATAGTAGATTAGGCCCCCAGAACAAACTCCCAGCAAACACTACCTCACAGGTGGAGTGTAAAGAATTTTGTTGATGTGCTTACAAATAACTTAAGCATAAACATAAATATTCTTGTAATATTATGGTTAGAAGTTTTTGCCACAATGGGTTGTATTGGTATGAATAACTTGAGAACGGAGAATCTAGGGGAAAAAATTCAAGTTACCTTTTTTACGTATTTTGTGCATTAGAATCCATATTTATTTTTTACGGATTTATATCCGTTACAATAACTTGTAAAAAATGCAGTGACGTAGGTTTTTTTATAAAAAGGAAATGAGCCCTGTCCAGTTGTACACCATTGGTTAAACCTTTAGAGCTCATATTTTAAGGAATGTAAGGCCTACTATCATACATTATCTGTACTAAATTTTATTGAGATCGGTAAATAGTGTAACCTGAGGGGTTATTTAATTAATTATCTATTTCTTTATTAATTATTATCTATTTAATTCTCGAAAGGGAGTTTATTATCATTAGATATACTTTAATTAATACGTGGGAAATTAGAAATGTATGTTCAGAGAATGAGTTTTCAGGCACTTACCCTTTATTGCTTACGTCGAATGTAATCCAGTGATTGGCTATATAGGGTGACACTGAGGTTGGAAGAAACAAAAAGGAAACAAAACTTCCAGGAAGGGTTTCATTAATAATAAACAAAACAAACAAACAAAATGACACACAACGACTCGAACAGCATTATTAATGAATTGATTCAAACGCGACAGCGTACCGAGATTAAGGGAATGCGCGCTTCATACAAAATTTAGAAAAACTATTAAATTTAATTAATTAGCCCGGGACTCTAAAGTTAATTAGACTGGGCAAAAGAGTCTAATCACAAAATTGTTTATTTTAATATATTTACATAAATGTAATGCGCAGAAGCAGTTCTACGTTTTGGTGCAGAAACGGTATTCCTAGGATAAGGGGTTTTAAAGTTAGGAAATTGAAAAAACAGTCTACTGTTATGATCTTGCCGGCCATTCCAACGCAAAAAAGTCTAATGTGGATTTTCTCAAAATCACATTTTTGCAAATAGACTCTTTTGCCTTTGCAGGGAAGTGTTCAATGTGAAACCCAAGAAAGAACTGACTTTTTCTCCTAGATTTCTCCTTAATTCCACACTTCGCTTTGACACGCCCATTTCTTGGGTCCAGAAGTTTCGGTTCTTATCTTATTGGCGGGGATCCTGAGTGTCGGGATGCTTTATTAATTAGGTTAATAATTATTTAATTGACTTGACTTACATTTATATATGAATTATGAAACTAAACTAAACCCTAGCCTTCCCCTAGTGACTCCGCGTAGCAAATACGGGGCGGATTAGTCAATGTCATTTAATATTTTCTTAATAGCTCGGAAAATCCGCCAAAAAAAACAGCTATGATCTGTTACTTTCTTTTCCAATTATTATTTCAGTTTAACAATTTAATTTAAGTCTACTTTGGAATCCCTACGCTCTTCTCGCGGTTTCGCGCGTTATTAAACTATGACTACCATATGGCCCTAACAGTTTAAGTGAACTTGTTGAAAATATTGCTAAATTTCGTGAAGCCTTCCCCGAAGGACGGTCTTGGCGACTTACTACTTGAAAGCCCTCAACTTTCGATAATTTGTGATGACCGATATATTTTACTTTTGGCCTATCCGTTCTGAGAACTAATAAATAAATGACTGCGCGTCCCGGTTTTTGTTACAATAGATTCCTGAGATATAAGCAGAAAATATATTTTTTAACAACTTCAACACCCTGCATCTCTAAAACGGGACCGTTCCATACCTATGTTTATAAGGCAAATAACTATTATTTTAAAGAGATCTATCTGTCCCTTAAGTTTCCTGCATAAAATTCGGGCCACCCTGTATTACATATATACAGTATATTCATGTTCTTATACGATATAAAATGTTGTTGCGTAATTTCCTTAACTTACCCCATAAAATAAAAATTCCAATTAGGAATAAACCTCGCGATAAACTTTTAAATCGCATAAGAACATGAACATGCTGATTATAGATAGTACCTACGTGTCTATTTACCATACTTTTGCTGATGACACGTCTATAGAGCAGCCATATAGCCCTTTTGTGGGTTTGGAGTTTACACAACATTATGGGTTTTATAAACTCCTTGGTTTATTTTTTTCTTTTTAGTGCATTTTAATAAAAGCTTGTTTTTAAAATATTTTTTTTACTTTTCGTTTATTTTATAGTATATGTAAACTGAAAGTGGTGCTGTTTAATGTTTGATTTCAAGAACTAATAAAGTGTCATTTTCAACTGAAAATTAATTGTGGAAACGAATTATTATTATTATTATTATTTAGTGCAATTTAAATCAGTACCTACCATAGTAATAGTTTGCAGATGTTAGTGTACTGTTAAAGCATATGTCAAACTATTTCAGTCTTTAATATTAACAACTAAAGTCATTTTCAATCCATTGAAATTATATATAAAACATATTATGTCTGTTGTTATACCACTGTCTAGATTAAGACTAAATAATTTCCTTTTTATCTCTCTTGTGACGTTTGTTTCCATTAGACTGCCTAGGTTTCCAATTTCAAACAAAATTCATCTTTAACATTAAAAAATGCGCTTTAGTCACTTGGTATGACATACTCTTTCGATCAAAAAACTAAACAAACTAAACACCTTAGTAAAATGTATACCATTACCGCAGAACACATGTGATAAAAAACGTTAAGACTATTTGGACTTACCAGAAAATAATTAATTATTTCTTAAAATATAGCATATTTATGCAAATTACATTTTTTGTAGAAGGCTTTGCGTGTTTGCGTATTTATTCATTCTAATGGAAATTTACAGCACACTCTCGCGTCAGTACTTAAAGAAACAACTTTTTACATTGTTGGACCAGCAACATACTAATAATTTAGCATTAATTTATTAAAATATTCGTACGTCTCTAGTAACGGTTCTTTTTGCAAAAATTTTCACCTAGATGGTAGGTTTTTTTTGTTTTTACACGTCACATCTTTAACAAATAATAACAGTATCGTCAAGTTTCACGATATACAGGGTGTCTGGAAATGATGAGCAAAAAATTCAGGGGATAATTCTAGACCGAAAATAAATCCTACCTCTTTCTATAAAATATTTTCCAAAACTGATTATTAACGGAGTTACAGGGTGTTAAAGTTAAATTTTATTTGCAGTTTTTTTGCAATATCTTTTGCCACACTCATAATATTTTGATGAAATTTCGTATATGGGGATTTTTAGGAATGAGGATTATAAATTTGCCCACCGTTTTTTCACATTTTGTAGAGGGCGCCACATACGAGCCTTTATTTTGATTTGAATGGTTCCAATTTTTTTGTACTACACTTTATGCGAAATTTGACTGAATATTTTTGTTCTCCTAACCTATTGACATAAAAATGGTATACTTTATTTGTTTCGATATATCCAACCGTTTTCGAGAAAAACGCTAAAATAACATTGCTTGCATGTGACGAATACGAAATCATTTTAATTTATTTCCTACATTAAACATAGCATGCTTCGGAAACAAGCGCTTAGTTGCCTTGGAAACAAGGCGAAAAAACGGTGGGCAAATTTATAATCCTCATCCCGAAAAATCCCAATATACGAAATTTCGTCAAAATATTATGAGTGTGGCAAAAGGTATTGCAAAAAACTGCAAATAAAATTTAACTTTAACACCCTGTAACTCCGTTAATAAACAAGTTTTGGAAAAAATGTTATAGAAAGAGGTAGCATTTATTTTCGGTCTAGAATTATCCCCTGAATTTTTTGCTCAGCATTTCCGGACACCCTGTATATTTAATGATGATTACGCAGCAATAAAATTGTTAATTGTTCCTTCATATGAAGACAGTAAAATATTCGAAGACATGCTATTTTTCTATTCCCGTCCTCTAGGAAGTCGCCCTGTACGGAGAATTCACCATCCGGGAGACCCTTAAGTACTTCGGATGGATTTCGAACATGACCACGGAGCAGGTGGAGTCCAAAGTGGACTTCTTCATCAAATTCTTGATGTTGCCGGACGCTGACCGTCAGGTCAAAAACCTCAGCGGCGGTCAGCAGAGGAGGGTATCTCTGGCCGCCACGTTACTCCACGAACCGGAGCTGCTGATCCTGGACGAGCCCACCGTGGGGGTGGATCCACTTCTGCGGAATAACATTTGGAGCCACCTGGTGGAGATAACTAAGCACGGGAGGACGACGGTTATTATCACAACGCATTACATCGACGAGACTAGGCAGGCACATTTGGTAAGTTGGATGAAGATATTATTTAAACTGGAGTGTCATAAATACAGGGTGTTGCAAAAAACTTGTAATCTCTAGCTTGTATTGTGGGCAATCGCAACAAATGTATTCTTTGAATGTATCTTTCAAAACAAATTAATTTTTTTAGTTATTTTTTACAATATACAGGGTGTGCCATTTAACACTCCCGCTGCTAATATCTCCAAAATGAAGAAATTTATTTTAGTTCTGAAAATTGGGGTTGTTAGATCCCTCGAAAAGCTTCAAATTGTAGTTAGAACTGTTAATTCAAATCTTTCTGTATAGATGACGTGGAGATACTAAAAAATTTGTTTATCCCTGGAACGTGGAATTGCAATCCATCTGAAAGATCGTTAAATTTTGAGTAATTTTTGTAATATAAAGTTTCTCCTTATATTTACTTATTTTCGAGAAATGTCGACTTCAATATGCAATGTATGATGATATAACAGGAAAATCTATTATTTTATCTAAATCACACCGAGGCAAAATATACTTTTAAAATATTGTTATAATGACTTTATTCACACCACATACTAACTAGCAAACAATAAATTATAAGAAAACAAAATCATAACTACATAAAAAAAATTGTACAATGGTAAATCGTATAACTAGTATAGTTAAATTGAAAGACGCAAACTGATAAAACTGTAATTATTGGAAAACTAATATGTATCATCTGTCATTGTTTTATTTTAAACAAATGACATGTGCCACCTATGACTGCATTTTTTAATAACATTTGATAAAACACGTTTCGTCTCTGCTTCTTATAAGATTTACCATTGTACAATTTTTTTCTGTAGTTGATCATTCGGTTTTTTTTTTATAATTTCTTGTTTGCTAGTTAGTATGTGATGTGAATAAAGCCATTATAACAATATTTTAATACAATATTATGTCTCAATGTGAATTAAATAAAATAATAGATTTTCCTGTTATATCATACATTGCATATTGGAGACGACATATCTCGAAAACATATAGGGATAAACTTTATATTACAAAAATTACTCAAAATTTAACGATCTTTCAGATGGACTGTATTTCCACGTTCCAGGGAACAAAAATTTTTTAGTATCGCCACGCCATCTATACAGAAAGATTTGAACTAACAATTCTAACTACAATTTGAAGCTATTCGAGGGACCTAACAACCTCAATTTCCAGAACTAAAATAAGTTTCTTCGTTTCGGAGATATGGGCAGCGGGAGTGTTAAATGGCACACCCTGTATATATACAGGGTGATTCAGTCATAATGTCAATAATTCGAACCATTAATGCGGAAGACCTAATAAAGACAGAAAATCGGAAAAAAAGTTACTCGACCTTTTAAAAATTAAGCAAATTATCCCTTAACTTCTGTTAACTCGGCGCCCTACTTCGCAACAGGGAACGCACCGGCCGGCGGACTACAAAGGGTTCGAACGTTGAAGCGAAACAGCTGATTTCCTCCAGTCCTCTTGAATTTTGCAATTGGTTCAAAATCAAAGTGCAGCTGATCTTAACTTTATTAACAAAGTGCTATGGACGGATAAGTAGTTTTTTTAACCGCACTAGCATTTTAAATAGGTAGGTATCATAATACCTACTAAAATCTCATATTCAATTACAAAACATAGTGAAAACGTTAACAATATTAAAAATACTAAACCTAACTTTAGAAAATAATCATTATCCTTATACATTTGTTTTTATTAACAAATAAATAATACATGTTAATATTTAAAAGGTAAAATAATACCTTATTCATTCATGTCTCTAGGTAAAAAGGTCTGTTTTGTCGTTCACTATTAAAAACGCAATAAAAGCTAGGTTATTGATCGAATACGGTAGGTTAAGATTCACTTTTGATAAACTTTTGTGGGTTAACGGTCAGGAGCGGTCCACAAAGAGATTTAAATAATGATGAGTAAATTTTTTTCAGCGTAATATGTATTTTTTTTAATAGCGTATTCGTATTTTACCCTTTTTACCATATCTCCCCATATGATTAATAACATTGTGACTGAATCACCCTGTATATACAGGATATCCCGAAATTAAAGGGACACAGAGCAAGAGTAGATTCCCGACAACAAAATAATCGTAGTCCAAAAGTTGATGCCTAAAAAGATACGCGATGTCAAAATTAAAATTTTGAAATTAACTTCTAAAATTTTTGCTAATAAACACTTAAACAAATTAAAATATAATACTAACAAAATAACTGTAGTCCAAAAGTTGAAAAAGATGCGGGATGTCAAAATTAAAATTTTGAATTCAAAATTCTAAAATTTTTAGGAAGTCCACAACAAAATGTACTCTTGGTGGATGAAAATTGGTCAGAACTTTTTTTATCAGTGTATATACGAAAGTTTTAATAGTAATAATAAATTTTAATAAAAAAATAAAATAAATGAAATAATAAATTCACTGACAACTTTCCAAAAATTCTAACAATTTTCATGTCAAAATTTTAACTTTGACGTTCTTCTTAAACATCAATTTTTGGACTAAGGTAAGTTTTGTTACATCGCATTATTTTGACGTCAGGAGTCTACTCTGGCTCTATGCCCATTAATTTCAGTTATCAACTATATATTTATGTCAACGTTATATTAACGTTGTACTTAATTATTCAAATATATGTTACCCACCAGTTTTTTTAGTTAGCAATTTAATATTAGGTAGGTATATGAATAATGGAATTATTTAGCATCTCATTTAGCATTTAACAACTAGTGAATCATGACCAATATAAATATACAGTATCCGGAAAATACATGTTTATTTCTGCAGTTCAAAATTCGAAAAGTTTTTTGTTGGATAACTCAAAAACGTGTCCATCAATTTTAACCATTTTTGGGATGAATTTCTACATTTATGTTAAATTTTTTCATGCTGTCCAATAATATATTATGTCACAAGGGCAGAAAATTACTAATGACTGTTCGCACAGCAGTCAGAAACTATCAGCAATTGTATGACACATGCCTGATAGGTCAAGAGCATTCGCACAGCGATGATCCATGACCCCTGACTAAAAATTTGATGTTCGCAGAACAAAACTTATCAGCCAGTGTGGACTGGCCTCCAACCGTCAAAATAATCCGCTGACTCCCAACAAATTTTCGGTTTCGGACATGCGCACTCTTGAATCTAGCGCTGTTCTATGCTGTCAAGTACGAGAGAATAACATCATTAATACGTTTATTTAAAATATAAAACCGAAGTGACAAACAAACAGACAATGAATCTATTCAAAATAAGTCGTAAACAAAAATTTGAAATAAATAAATATTTATAGGTTATGGTCATTCATTCACGATTCATTTCAACATTTTTAATCTGTTCGCAGTGCACAAAATTTGAAATCGAACCTAACATAAAACAAAACCAAAAAAAGAATTTTTGTTTAAATCGACATTTAATGAAAAATTATATAAAACGTCAGAGTACGCAAATGACAAGCAAAGGTGTCAAAGATTGTGAAAAACTACAAAATCGGTCAATATGATTCATTTTCACATATGCTAGGCGAAAAAATAATTTTGATATGTACAAGTGTATAAAAAATATGGACTACACATTGTTGGGCTAAATAAAATTATTATTCTGTGCAAAAAAAAAGAATTGAGTATAGCTTTCCACATAGGTACCAGTTCTGTTTTTTCTTTACTAGTATACGAGTTTTTTAACATTTTGTCCTTGATAAGCATTTTGTACTTTAGTCTAGTGAATCCAAATATTAACTTGAGTTATGTGTTGCTATGTGGAAACAAGTAAAATAAATATGTAATTAAAAATTGTATTATGTAAATAACTTACAACATTAATTGAACATAAAATTGTATGAGCTGAAAAACAGCAATTTCATCTCGAGAGATATATTTTTTTCGTTTGCATTGTATTGTCCAACGCATTGATATTTGTTCAGTGACGAATAAACGACATTTTAATTCCTTGTTGCCAAATATACGATATCTTCGATACATGACAAGATTTCCTGTTTTGTTAATAAACACTTAAACAAATTAAGATATAATACTAACAATTTTTTGTTCAATATGTTTTTAATTTGTGGTACCTGAACATTGAGCACTCACTGAAATTTCGTCTCCTATGCTGACATAGATGCACAGTAACATCATTTTCCGATTAATGAAATTATTACCTATTAATAATAATTTTAGTCAAGGACTATTGACAAATAGCATCATTAGCTAATTAGATATTTATTGTACGTATTTTGCAATTTGTCATGTAATGGTGCATATTATATGGAAAACTACTTAGCGAACATGTACTAAAATAAATAACAAACAGTAGGACTAGGAAAATTTTAATTGAGTCAAATAATATGTTCAAATATTTTTATTTAATTAAATCTGAAACACTTAGAATTTCGTAACTATGTACTTTAGGCGATATGCATCGTGACCCTCATTGGATGATTCCATATGGGTTTTACCATGATTGTAAAACCATATTATTTGCAAATACCTTTTCTAACGTCAAGTATTTCACATATTACGCGAATACAGGAAGATGGCAGGATATGAATATAAAATATGCATATGAGTATTCTATACAAATATGCAGTCTTAAAACTATTATTTTCTCAGAAATATTTGCTTTGGTGGCCGGTTAGACTGTGTCGGATTCCAGTAAATTTTTATGACATTTAGGTATTTCTGTCTAGTAAATTAGTTTTACCATTTACAAGAATAAGAATGACAATTACGTTTATCTATTATTGATATCTCTATAATTTTCTTACAATCAGTAATTTGAAAGCTCTATTACTGCAAAATACATGATAGGGAAAACCAAATAAAATAAACCACATTGAATAATTCCATATACACTTGTATGTATATGCAATATGCATTATGTGTGCATGAAATTCTGAGACAGATTGATTGTTGTACTGGACAGTGATATAATGTAGAATTATCAGGGTGGGCCAAAGAACAGAGGATTATTAAATTTATTTTAGTTTTTCTTCAATAACTTTCATTATTAATTGTAGTAAGCACATAAAACTTGTTATAGGGGAGTTACAAGAGAAATTGAAATCTGGTCTCGAATTTGCTGGAAATTTTTAATGGGCGCCATCTACAGTACTTTACATGTACTTAAATTGTCATAACTTTTTTTTGCCCTGGTGTATTGAATTTATAATCAAAAATTCTCATTCACCGACGTTTTTTCTAAAAAATAGTGTATACTTGGTAAATGTCATTTTGAATAACTGTTTTTTACTTTTTTATATCTGGTTTAAAGATTAGCGAGTTAGGTTAAGTTTCCCTTTTCCGTATTTCCACATTAATGCTTGACTCGTTCTTGGGAATTCTCTTGGAAACTATAATTTTTTTACTTGAATTATCTCAGCGTTTCGTAGTCCTAAATGCAGTTTTTTTATTAACAAATTTTGAGTTGTCTAATATTTTCCATTTATAAGACCCAAATACCGTCTTTAAAGTTATTTTCTTTTTTTATATAAAAAAACTCAGGAAGTCGTTTACTGAACAGTTATCGTTTTTTTCAAGAGAAAAAAACTATTTTTTACAAATTAGTTAGTATCTTTTGGCACATTAGGGATAGTTTTATTTTCAAAAATAAAGAAAATATGCTCAGAAAAGTATCTTTATACATATCTATTTTTAAATTTAATTTCTTTTTTAGGATACACTCTTGCAAACAATTTAAGGGTCAAAAGAATTTCCGAATTTCTTCCGTGATTTTTGACACTGTATTTAGGTGAAAAATGGTCGTATCGGAAATTTAAAAAAGCATTTTGAAGCTCTAAGATTCTAGTTTTAGATATTTCGGCAGAAAATTTTTAGGAGCTACGGTTACAATGCAATTCGAAGAAATAGCGCGAAAAAATAATTTTGCAAATTTTTGAAAAATTGTTTTCAGAGAAGAAAAAGGGTAGTTTTGAAAAAAACTTTTTTTTGTGATTACAGACTGCACAAAAATTAATTAGAAAATTTTCTCAAAAGACGGTATGAATCGGGGTCGAAATCTATTTTGGGTCATCAACTTTAATTTTAACTTAATTAAAAAGTTGATGAACAGAACCATAAGACAAAAAACCGAATCGTGCTGGAAACAATTGGATTTTGTTTTCTTCAATGCCAAATTTCGAAAATTTTTTCAAAAATTTTTCGAATTTTTTTTCCTCAATTTAAACGTTATTTGCAGTAAAAATGTGAGAAAATCTCAAAAAAAATTTTCTTCCATTTTAATCATGATTATGAAGTGTTTAAGCTCAAAAACATGACCCTTTAATTTTTTTCAATTGTTTGAAACAAATAAACGGTTAGCTAGATCGAGATGAAACTTCACAAGGTTCTTCTGGGTATATCGAACTGTAAAAGTCATGCTAAACATTTCGTGAATATTTCTAATTTAGCCGTCAATTTTCTAAAAAACCATAAATTACCTTTTTTTCCTGTAAAAAGTGAAAAAAAAAAAAATTTCCGAAAAGTTGTGGCAGCGTGTTATACGACATTTATTCCAGTTTTTGAAAGCATCCTTTTCGATTAAAATTCCGATATTTCGATGAAATATGGTCGTATCGAAATTTAAAAAAAGGAAATTGAAGCTGATTAAACAAGCTATTTAATCCATGCAATGGTTTAGCTGAAAAAAAATTTTCCAAGTCCATGGACTGCAAAATTTTTTTGTCGCGCTATTTCTTAGAATTGCATTATAATCGTAGCTCCTAAAAATTTTCGACTGAAAGATCTAAAAACTAGAATCTTAGAGCTTCAAAATGCTTTTTTTTAATTACCGATACGACCATTTTTGACCCTTTAATTGTTTGCATTAGTGTATATTAAACAGTAATGCGAAGTCAAAATATGCCTCATGAATTAAATTAAAAATGTTTGCTCTGAGACTACAAAAATATTGTCTTTAAAAATAAAAAATCGTGCGGCACTTTATAAAAAATACCAACAGTGACGCAAATCCTAAAAAAATCCGCATATTAAAACTTTTCGGCACTAAAAACGCTTATGAATAATTATTCAAATTAAGAATAAACACTATTCATTTTATTTAATTACCTGACTTCACGGTTTCATGAGTACCAAACGAAATCAAAGATTCAACAATTCCCATGGCAAAATTAAAATATTCTTCAACACATCAGTCGACAATGTAAACACGAATTAAGAGATCAAGGACCAAGGTAAACATCTACATAAAATAGTTGTTCAATACCTATTACGGATGGTATAAGTCGTATTTATAATTGAGAAAAATTACTAGTTGTAAAAATAATGTATATGAATTTAATTTATATAGTAATAAGTATGCAGTAATATTAGCATTAGCCGGCGCAATATGAAAATTATTAAAAATAGAAATCTTAAATGTTACGGACATCTATCATACGAGTATTTTATTTTTATTCTTAAAACAAGCAAGCACTATTATGAAAACAATGCCAGTTCAGTTTATTTTTACCACACAATATATTATAGCTCATTCTTTTGTTTATTACTTCCAATCATTCTCTGCTAAATCGTAGTACCAGAGATACTGCAAAGCCAACGTGATCTAGCTGATTATGCTTCCAATTATTGTTAAGGAGGTTTATTTAGAATTGACGAACAAATATTCATAAAAAAATTAATATAAGCTTCTTAATATGAAGAAAATCCTCAAAAAAAATTTTGACTAGTTTGGATACCTAAGAGACGAGATATTAATAAAATAATGTTTCACAATTTAGTACAGAGTCTTATAAGAATGCAGATTTTTTTGGTCTTTCCACTTAGAATGCGCAACAATTGACGAACAGTATCTTGTATAATTAGGAAACCGATATCTAAGGAACCGTATGACACAGCTTGTAGAAATCGATTAGGTACTTGTAAGATACATAATTTATAATAATTCTCCTTCAAACTGCTGTCGTTGACTAACTTATTCTCCATATGCGTGATAGTGGCAACGCCGCGGTCTCGACGTAGCGTATTATTTTAAATTCGCAGGTGTCCAACTAAACAGAATGATCGAACAGGAGCGAGCGAACGCCGAGCAGAGCGCGCCAGCCAAGTGCAACGTTGCCAAATCTAAAGGCTTACTACTTTAGTCACTAGCGAATCTACAGAAACTTTCGTTAGACTTTAGACGTACCTACCTCCGTACCCGATAAACCGCCTTAAATGTCATGAATTAAATATTTCATTGCAATTTTTCAATTTTTTTTCAAAATTGGGGAAATATTTGAAATGTAAAGTATTTAAACAAATTAATTATATGTCTGAAAAATTGTAATTGTCATTTGTAACAATCCTCAATTTTAAGAGTTAGTACAAAACGCACAAAGTTTTTTCATGGGGATTAGGTATTTAAAAATCCTGGAAAAGTCCTATGAAACTTTAAAAAATTTCAAAGTTCATGTAAAATTTCACTGCTTCGCGATACACCTGCAGCTGCCGTCTGTTTTTCAGATCGGTTTAATGCGGGGCGGATACTTTTTGGCGGAAGAATCTCCAGAACGACTCATATCTCAATTTGGAGCTGAAAGCTTGGAAGACGTCTTCCTCAAACTCAGCGTTATCCAGAACATGGGCAAGCGCCGCAGATCCAGCATCCTCCAGAGCGTCACGGACACCATCCAGGTGCCCGCCTTATCTGTAGGTGCTGTCAATGAAGCTGCCGTCTTAGACGATGAGGTCGGTGAAATATCTGGAGAATTCGGAGACAACGTATCTATGTCGAGTAGAACAGGTAACGATGGGTCTTTATAATCAATGTTGTTATCATACAGGATAAATAGAGTAACAAGCTTTCGATCGCTGACTGGTTTCTAACAGTCCTATGAATAAGAAAGAAAGCTTCGATAAATATATCCTTTAAAATGTGTTTCGAGGAAGTTATATTCCTTTAAGATCTAAATATAAAATTTTCGCCGACTCTTGACAAAGAGTATTTTAAATTAAATTCTCGAACCTATATGTATGTTTGTTTATGTCTACTTAAAAATTCTAAAATTTTAAATAAAAAGGTACATTTGCTTAAAAACAATAGCTTGAATTGAGTTTGGTGAGACCTCGGATTTCATAGAGAGAAATAAGAAGTAGTCATGGGTTTGAAAATTTTTGAAACTCTTCAATTTAATCTTATTTTCTGTTATTTTGACGAGTAAGTATTAACCCTTTCGTAGTTTGTTACACTATTATTTTGATCCTGTATATTCATATGTTTGTGAACAATATCATATTCAAGGATAAGTCCAAAATCTGACGAGTGATATTTTATAGGTAGAGTGTCAATAGCTCCAGAACCAAACGCTGCGGTGCCTCCAGAGTTACCTCCTGAAGATGAACCAGAGACGTCTTTCAAGGACTATCTGAAAATCGTTAAAAAGAACCACATGCGGGCATTGATATGGAAAAATTTTCTTTGGATGTGGAGGAATATCCCCATCATGATGTTTATCATAGGTCTACCAGTTGGTAAGCCCTAATAATACTAACAATCGCCACGAAAAAAAATTATTAAAAATGTATAGACTCGTAGCAGTGTTGACTGTAATTTATATATGTATAACTAGGTACAATCTGTATTATACGTTTGCAAAATGTTGTGTCTGAAATGTATTGCAACATTCAACCTTGTATTTTGTGTTAAAAAATATAATTTTATTATGTGAGATTAAAATTTCTTGTTTTTTTTCAGGTCAAATTATACTTTTCTGTTGGTCTATCGGACATGATCCCCTAGGAATAAAACTATCAGTAGTTAACAACGAGATTGACTACCCTAACGAGTTCTGCCATGAAAACCTTGGATGTAACAGTACAAGACTGAGTTGTATATATCTTGACTACGTCACGCAAAATTACTCTTTGGATGTGGTAAGTGACAACCTTGTTTTAAGGTAACGTCTGTAATTTTTAACTAATAATACTGTGAGAAACAACTACTCTGCGAACTAAAGCCCCAAACAATATTGAATTACACCTACAAAGATCACGTGTTTAGTAGAATTATCAGATCACTTATTAGTTTTTATCAATATGCATAAGTGATACAACCGATGAATTAAGCATTGCGCTGTAACTACTGGCAGAGAGCAACCTACTATTGTTAGACTAGGCGCAATAAAGTTTGTAACTAATAATATTGTAGGAAACAACTATTCTGCTAACTTAAGCTCCGACCAGCACTGAATTACACTTTCAATATCTAACAAACAGCTAGCGCCATTCATGTTTCAAGTGTGGGTGAGATATAACTTACAAAATGTGTTACATGACGAATGATCTCAGTTGTTTACTAGATATTGCAGGTGTAATTCGATGCTCGTCGAGGCTTTAGCCCGCAATATCATCATCTACAAAATGTATGTAGCTTAGTGCGACACCTTCAGATTAATAGGTCGCTTTCTGTCAGAGGGTAAAAAGCACTGTGTGCCAGTAAGCATTGAGTGGAAGTAGTAATTAAAATAATATACACTGTGCAGATTATTTGTCACCCACATCCATTGCAACTTTTAAGTTTCAGTCAATATAATATTAAAAGTGGCAGTTGTTAGAAACTAGCATTATAACGTAAAAAGCATTTTTTGGCAATCCAAATGACATCTAAGATAGTTAGCTTGAGCTTTCTTCTGTTAAAAGTTACAGCTAGTTACTTTTTTTTCTTTACCTTTTTGCATTGATGTCAAATAACATCCTTCTTGATTTATATTCATACTATTCATGTTGTTTTCATAATATCATAGAGAAATTTAACAATGAGGACACACAAACACAGCCAACTGAAAATATAATATTTCTGAAAACTTTCACGTAAAATGAAGTGTAGTCTGAAATAAATGCAATAAAATGTAGTGATGTTCGGTCATTTTCGTTCTGTCGAATTGGACGTTTGTTTTTTACCTGCTTGTTGCTATACATATAGGCTGTTACAAACTCGCTACCCGCTTCTCACTACAGGGTAAGAGATACAAAGTAGCTTATGGGGGCAAATTTGCATAATCAGGGGATCAACATAATGCCTTTAAAAAATCAAGGCTAACATGATTAGTTTTCGAAATATTTGAAAAAAAACGAAATTTTAGAAATCCGTTTTTGTTCCATTTAAGCTTTGTTTGAGGTGATATTGAAAAAAGAAGAACACCTTCTCATGACAACTTTTTGCCCTCTACCTATCGAACGGCATAATCAATTTTTAAATGAAACGTTTCGTCGGTCCAGGACAACTTTGCCCCTATTTAAGCTACTTCGTATCTCTTACCGTTTCCAAGATCCCTGTAGTGAGAAGCGAATTAGTAGTAGCCTGTATATCACGTCAAATAGCCTGATATCATGTAGATCAGCGGTATTCAAACTGTATTCCGCGGAACCCTGGGGTTCCCCACAACCTCTCTGGAGGTTCTGCGATTCAGTCAAAAATGCAATGGACTTAATGCAGAATTTGAAATGCGATTGCAATTTACAACAATAGGACCTGATTTCAACATATTATGTAAAAATATTCATGCCATACATTCCTCAAAAAGTACAGGCATTAGAGGAAAACGATAGAGAACGACGGCAACGATGTATTTCTTTAGTTGTTTTGTATTTGTTGTTCTTCGTTTAATGTGTTTTGTGTTTAATTAATGTAATTTCGAGTTGAACTTTATATAACTGTTAATGTACCTATTAGGCGAGGCAATGAAGCACAAAAGTTCGGAATTTTTTCCATAAAGACGGATCGGAATGTGGTCTTTTGCATTCTCTTTCAAAAATTTTTTGTGTTTCTGACAAACCGGAAATTGCATTGCTGCAGCCAAAAATGCATTAAAAAAACGCATTTTTTGAGACGCCTATTGGAAGACTTCAAAACTTTGTAAATAAGAGTCAGAACTGGCCCAAATCGGGTACTCGTGGGTTTTCGAGGTCGCTGATCACGATTATGATGTTCAAATTGACCCCCTGAACACCTGGAGCTCAGGAACGCCGATGAACGTCATCTCCGTAGACTCACGCGGGGAAGGAGAGAAACTCGGCGCCCGAGGGTTTTTTGGGTCGCTGAATTCAAATATGCCATCGTCGAACACCCCCCGGACACCTGGTGCGCCCGAACCTGGACGTGGACGTCATCTTCGAGAATTTTCCTAACAAGATTGACAAAAACAACCCGAAAATCATTGTGGGGGCGTTTTTTGGGGCGCTTAATCCAAATTTCACGTCGAAAACGACCCCCTGTACACCTGGTGCACCGGAATTTGGACACGGACCTCATCTCCGTGGGTTTTCCTCGCACAATCGAAAAAGATGAACCGAAAATCGATATGGGGGGTTTTTTGGGGCGCTGAATTCGAATTCCACGTCGACAACGACCCCCCAAACACCTGGTGCACCGAACCCTGGCCCCGAACGTCTTCTTCGTGGAGCTCTCCCAAAATTCAAGCGGGGAAGGAGAGAAACTCAGCGCCCGGGGGTTTCTTGGGTCGCTGAATTCAAAAATTCAAATGTGGCATCGGCGAACACCCCCGGACACCTGGTGCGCCCGAACCTGGACGTGGACGTCCTCCAGGCGACAGCTACCCATGAATGAATGTGTGAAATTATGAGACGATTTTTGGTTAGTGTTTGCGATCGTGCCTGGAAAACCCTCGGAGACGACGTTCAGGCCCAGGTTACGGTGCACCAGGTGTTCGAGGGGCCGTTGTCGACGTGTAATTCGGATTAAGCGCCCCAAAAAATGCCCCTAAGAAGATTTTTCAGTTATTTTTGGCGATCTTGTTAGGAAAATTCTCGGGGATGACATCCACGTCCAGGTTCGGGCGCACCAGGTGTCCGGGGGGTGTTCGCCGATGCCACATTTGAATTCAGCGACCCAAGAAACCCCCGGGCGCTGAGTTTCTCTCCTTCCCCGCTTGAATTTTGGGAGAGACCCACAGGGTCCGGTGCACCAGGTGTTTGGGGGGTCGTTGTCGACGTGGAATTCGGATTCAGCGCCCCAAGAAACCCCCATATCGATTTTCGGTTCGTCTTTTTCGATTGTGCGAGGAAAACCCACGGAGATGAGGTCCGCGTCCAAATTCCGGTGCACCAGGTGTACAGGGGGTCGTTTTCGACGTGAAATTTGGATTAAGCGCCCCAAAAAACGCCCCCACAATGATTTTCGGGTTGTTTTTGTCAATCTTGTTAGGAAAATTCTCGGAGATGACGTCCACGTCCAGGTTCGGGCGCACCAGGTGTCCGGGGGGTGTTCGACGATGGCATATTTGAATTCAGCGACCCAAAAAACCCCCGGGCGCCGAGTTTCTCTCCTTCCCCGCGTGAGTCTACGGAGATGACGTTCATCGGCGTTCCTGAGCTCCAGGTGTTCGGGGGGTCAATTTGAACATCATAATCGTGATCAGCGACCTCGAAAACCCCCCAGTCCCCGATTTGGGCCAGTTCTGACCCTTATTTACAAAGTTTTGAAATCTTCCAAAAGGCGTCTCAAAAAATACATTTTTTGAATGCATTTTTGGCTGCAGCAATGCAATTTCCGGTTTGTCAGAAACACAAAGTAGCCACATTTTTTACAAAAAAATTTTGGAAAAGAATGCAAAAAACCGCATTCCGATCCGTCTTTATGGAAAAAATTCCGAACTTTTGGCCTTTTTAGTGCTTCATTGCCTCGACTATATTTAATTAAATTGTTTTTCTTTTAATTGATACTCATTGTATTGCTTCTTTTCTGTTAACTACAAAATTCTCTTTTGAGTTTTATTTGCTTTACTGTATTACTTTTTGTTTTCCATAGCACATATGATTAGTTAAAATACATTTGTCATGAATTATATTGTGCCGTCTTTTCTGTAATAAATGCTTTACAAAAGTCAAGTTCATATACATGGTTGGATTCAGAAAATAAGTCTACACAATAATAAATAACAAAAAAAAACTATATTGCCATTTGGAAAAAAAGTTGACTATCGCTTTTCAAATAAAAGGAATAGTGAAGCTCCAATAGGCTCCCCCTATAGTTTATTTAGAGCCATTTCATTTAATTTTTTGTTTTTTAAAATCAGACTATAAATAATGAAGTTATGGCTTGCGGCGTTTTTTTAGGAGACAGCCTGTATAATTTTTTTAAAAACATTCGGAATTTTTTAATATCGCAGTCATAGAAAATCTCTCCGTTTAAAAAATATTTTCCATAACAGTTTCACTCTGCCTGCTCCATTAGTTTCATGCAGTTGGTTTAAAAAGGTAAAAACAGTGTAAAAAACGAATTATAACTAGACTTATAAAATAATTATTTCAGAATAACATTTTAGGAAACACGTGTTATTAAACCCCGATCCCCACTTAAAGTCCTTGAACTGAAGCAGTGCAGACTCTTCGTTTTACATCCAATCGTATTCCAGAAATGGTTTTTATTTCTAGAAATACTACCAGACCGAGGCAGAGGCTAGAAACACTGTGGAAAAGGGTAATTCCTGGGCTATGATGGTTGTTCCTCATAACTTTTCCGATTCGCTTCGGTCGAGATTAGACAACGGAAGAGACGTGCCTCAATGGGACCTTGTTACTTCAACCATCGGCATCTATGCAGATAAATCTAGTAAGGCTACATCTAATTTAATTTCATTAAACGTCTGTATTCCTAACTTCGCGTATTGACGATGTTAGAATTTTAAGTAGAATGGTTTTAAGATTTTGGCGAAGGCGCCAATGTTGGCAGAAAAATTCCATTAAAAAAAACATTTTAAACGTTATTGATACAATAATTATACCCCCATTTACGTTAGACGATGATTTTCGTAGTTAAAAAACGTTTGAAAAATGTAAATCTAATACGAGTATGCCTGAAGTCAAGAATTATTTAGGTATTTGTGAAATAGTTTCAGTATTGCTCTACTTGTACGAATATTTTACCTACAATTGTAAAAAAAAAGAAAATATGTTTCGCTACATATGAAAAACATTATTTTAGTGTAAAAAATTATGGAATTAATTTTAGAAACTTTAAATTGTTATTTGAACAAAAACATAATTGTACACATTTAACTATGGCCAATGCAGGATGTTAATTTATACAGGGTGATTCATTAACAATGGGAAAATCGAAAGCTGAAGATACTACACGTGAAATGGTGACCATTGGTGCAAACATGGCTTATCCGAAAGTTGATAGTTTCGGAAATACAAGGTGTTGAAAGTTAAAATTTTAAATCGTTTTTTGCGATTATTCTGAAAATATATAGGTTAGGAACTTGAAAATTTGTGAAACTATATTTTTTAGGCGACGAATAAGATGCGTGTTGTAATTTCAGCATTGCTCATAGAGGGCGACACTTACGACCAATTTTAACGAAAATTTAGTTAATAACTTTTTACCCTGAATGTCTAAGATGAAACTTGATCTATAACCTGAAAGAGCAATAATTTTTCCAATAATTATGTATTCTTGTTTCGTTTCGGTATCTCGATCCGTTTTCAAGAAAAGTCGATTTAACGAACACTATATTTTGATAATACGAGAAATTAAAAGCGAAACAAACCAAGTGTTTCTTCGTGTTATTACAACAATTAACAATAAAACAAATGAAATTCGTAATAATGATTTAAAGTCAGTGTTCGAAGAATCCACCGTTGACATTNAAATTATCGAAGAATATGTATGTGGCCATTTTTACTCCTGTCGAAATACAGTTTTAAAGTAAAAAAAAAAATTTTGGAGATATTTTATTGTACTTTATGACGGGAAGAGTTTAGTTGGAGAAAAAAAAATGTTACCTGGACTCTTATAAGTGGAAATGGTAAAAGGGCTTATAATAAACAAAAAAAAATGCGTGGGCAGGGGTGGCGGAGGGTTGATTTGGGGGGTTGAAACGTTGTGAAAAATTAAAATTGTATCATTGGGATTTCTGGCGAAAGTTGACGTCAAACAAAAAAGTATCTAATGCAAAAGTTGTAGATCATGCAAAAATCTACAACTTTTGTAGAGGTCACTTTTTAAAATAACCTCAAAATTTCCGAGAAAAACAGTTTTTTTTCTGATTTATTTTTCATTTCCGCAAAAATTACTTGATTTTGACGAAACTTGGTGAAAGTATACCTTTCTGTGTCTTGAACAACCACAATTTTTTTTAGATAAAAAAATCAAGAAGTTTCCGAAATATTAATTTTTTCCGGTCTGAAACACTTTTTTTTTCAAAGAAAAATTCTACTTAGGAAAATCATCGTACAGAGTTCTGCCGGTGATATTTTTTTTCGTTTTGATATGTACTTTTTGGTGAAATAAAAAAATCTGTAATCACAGTTCAAATACATGCTCAAAAATGTAAAAAAAATAAAAAATGACTTGCAACAATGAATTTTTCAGTAATTGTTGATAATAATTTGTTTAAATTAAACAAAATCAAAAACTGATTACACCATTCAATTCTACGGAAAAAAATACAAAAAAAACTATGTCTCATTATCCGACATATATCCGACTTTCAATGTTAACATGAACTCTCGACGCAATTTTTTTTTCAAGTGCAAATACGAATTTTTTTATATTAACATTTAAAATCATAAAAAATATGTCTTTAGGTCAGTTTCTCAGCGCAGTCCGTGCATTGCTTTCGACTCTAAAAGCCCTATTTTCAACAATAAGTCATAATTATAAATAATAACAATGGAGATTCGAGAGTTGGGACATTTTTATAGGAAATTTCCTCTTCTTTTATGATCTTTCTTTCAAATTGACGCTAGCACTTATATTTTTCGAGTTATTTGCAAAAAAACGAACATCTTTATTATTTTATAACTTTTTGATAGATTTTTAAATTTTCTAATAATAATTTTCTGACTTATGTACTTGTGGAAAAAAAATAATATATAAGCTTTTCAAATTTATAAAATTAATAATTTTTATATCGTCATGGTTTTTTAACAGCATAGGTGTTACTTAAAAATTATTTGACATCTTAAATAATGTTTTATCCGAAAAGGGTCAGAATATAGGGGTTTGCATCCGGAGTTCCTCACTCCTGTATCAACAAATATGGAAATATGTACGGCATTACTGAAAAATATTTCTAATAAGTCTTATTATAAGTAGAAAGGCCGTACGTAAATAATTTGTATTAAGGAGAAAATAGTAGTAAAAATAAAATCAATTCCTGCAAGTAATACTTATTTGCAAAAATATATTCCAAGCCATTTAGAACCATTTTTTTGTACGGAATTTTGTTTTTGTTTTTGTTGATTAGTGTTGTCAGTATTAACAAAATATATTAATACCATACAAAAATTTTTCACCGTGAAATTTTACGTTTCAGAGGAAAATTAATTTTCCTATAGTAAGCACGTTTCATGAAAAATGTACGGCATAGCCAAAAATGTCATTATTTTATAAAATAGAATTAAAATTAGTGAATTTGATGTTGGTTCAAATCATTCCCCATACGCTACTTACAAATAGAGGGTTCCACCCTGTATTCCTAACCCCTGTATCAGCAAGTACGTAGGGCGTCGCTTAAAAATTTATCTATGTATCGATGCGAAACTGGCAGTATAAATGCTGCACTGTAATAATTTACCAAAAACCGGGCCAAAATATTCGGAAAATCAAAAATTTTCCTGGCTTCCGGTATTCCTATTTTTGTACGGCATTAGGTTCATTTTTTTTGTATAACCTATATACTTTAGAAATGCTGTACAAAAATGTTTTGCCGAAAACCACCCCCTTTGGTGGAAAGGTTTAGCTTACCTGCGTACTCACCTGTACCAACAAGAATTGACGGCATAGTTTCTAAAGTTATTGCTATAGGTGGTAGTATTGATTTATAAGTAATTCATGCTGGGTCACATGCCCCTTGAAAATTTCCGATGGGCTTGCAGTCTAATATTGTGAAAAGGAATCAATACTCATAAAAATATTAAGTAAAATTATAGGCTAAATCTTTGATTACTTAAACCTCAGGATATTTTACATTATTACATTGCTGTTCAAAGTTATTTTACCCAAAACCTATGTGGCGTCAAAATAGTCAAAAATCTAGTGTGTAATTTTATATAAAATTTTTATTAGTGTAGGTATATCAGTAACGAGAGAATTAAAGGCATCATTCAAAGGAATTTTTTTTAACAGCATATCTTTCGTTATCGAGATTTCCTAATGAGAATCAGGCAGTATACAAAATTTGGAATTTGAAATTTTAATTTTTGACGCATCGTTCTACAATAATCATGTTCTTTTATCAATATTTATTAAATTATCGAATTTCTTTAAAGCTGTTTGTTATTTCTAGATGAGAACATAGCAACTTTCCTCACCAGAGACTTACTGTTTGGTTTCGAAAGCTTCTTCTCAAAGTTTCTTACATCCTGTGACATTGACTCTAAAATTGCCAGCTTACCGATAAGGGTGAGTTCACTGTAACACAATCAATATTCACGTACTAATTTGTTTTGATTTTCAGTGGGAAAAACCACTCTACGGTTACGAAAATCCAGACTTCACCGATTTCGCTGCCCCAGGTGTTATCCTAACGTAAGTAAAAAGGTCACAGAGGCGGATCCAGAACTCTGATGAAGAGAATGGTGGTAGTCATGGCACTTGTTTTTTTAATTTCTAAATTTTTAGATACATTTTTAATTGTCAAAAATTATCTTTTACTTTATCACCACCGCCTAGAGATTCATGAACTCAATGAAGAGAAGACAGTATTTTTGTATGATAAAATTTGGGTGTAATTTATTTTTATTCTGTAATTGTTCCTGGAAAATAGTTCGTTTAGGGGGAATCATGACCCCCTCCCCCTTCAAAACCTCTATAGACAAAAAAATATGGCAAAATAAATAAAAAAATTAGTTTGAACGCCTTTAATTTTTAAATTTTTTTATTTTATTTTGTTACCGAGGTATATTCGGTTAATTGCTTTGTTTTAGTCTACATTTAATTATGATTCCTCATATATCTATTTTTAAATTTTTAAAAATCCACCCATTTTTTGATTTTAGAGCTGGATGCCTTTGATTGAAATCAAATTAAATTGTATCAGAATAAACACTTTGCAAGCAATCATTTCAAATTAACAATAAAATGTAAAAAAATTCTAAAATTTTAATAACACCGCTATAGACGAATGAGTGAGTGTTTTTCTTAGCCATAGTGTCATTAGAAATAGAGAGGTAAAAAGTGAAAAGCAATAAGACACAATAAGGTATACGTACTATAAACTGAATAATTAATGGAACATATACTAAAAACTCATATTCAATTATAAAACAGTGAAAACGTTAACAATATTATATTAAGAATTAAATTGTAATAACCTAACATTCGAAAACAAGTTGTTTTTTTTAACAAATAGATAGGTAATACTTATTAATATTTAAAATATAAAAATATATCTTATTATGTGTCTAACTAAAAAGCTGTCGTTATTCGAATTAGCTAGATTAATTATCGCATATTACGGTAGGTCAAGATTCACTCTTAATAAACCTTTGTTGGTCAGAGGTCAGGAGCTGTCTGAAAAGGGGTTTAATAATGATATGAAATTTTTTTTTTTCAGCGTAAATGTACTAATTTTTTTATTGCGTATTCGTATTGTACTAATTTTTCCCTATCTTCATGGCACCATGAAAAATATAATGAACATAAGCACGGTTATAACATTTTGTATACATAATGTTTTGGAAAAATGCACCGTAAATTCAGGAGCCTATAGGAAATTTTCCTTATAGACTTCTTTCTTTTATTTTTGATACACAATACCTCTGAGTTTATACTTTACAATAACATTTTAGCTATATTTTTCCTAAAATAAACAATTGAATGTATTTAAATTTGATAGAAATAAGTTTTTGAGAGCTCTTACGGCAATATCTTACAATTTACTATAGGTCATTCGAAAACAAAAGATGAAAATACAGTAGATCCATAGTTACAGGAAAAGTTTTTTTATGTCTATCAACTACTTAACGCAGCTTTAGCTAAAATTATTCTAATCCCCCATATATTAGGATCATATTTTTCATGGCTGTGGCTTTGACTTCTGGCGCCATGTTGATGGAAAGGAACGAGGGGATCCTAGAACGCAGTCTTGTGAATGGCATCAATGGTACCGAGATCCTCTTCTCCCAGGTCATCACACAATTTGTAGTTATGTTGGGACAGACCATCATGGTCCTACTCTTCGCTTTCGTCATTTTCCAGCTGACTCAAGAAGGCAGCTGGGTGCTGGTGTTTATCCTCACGCTCTTGGCAGGAATTTGCGGAATGTGTTTCGGTAGGAGCTATATCAGTTGCATCCTCAGTCCATACTGATTGTTATTTTCCAGGATTCGTAGTATCTTGTGTGTGCGACAACGAGCGGTCCGCAACGTACTTGGCTTTGGGTAGTTTCCTGCCAATAGTCATGCTCTGTGGGATAATCTGGCCCATCGAGGCCATGAACGACTACTTGAGGTTCGTCTCCTACGTCTTGCCGCTCACTCAGGCAACAGACAGCTTACGTTGCATCTTGGCAAGGGGCTGGAGCATCAGCAACCCCGTGGTTTACAACGGATTCATATCCCTTTTGGTTTGGAACGCGGTGTTCCTCGCTATTAGTATATTGATACTTAAGTTCAAGAAGGGTTAAGCTTAGTTTAAGTAATTGTGATTTTTAGTTGTGGTAAGGACTTTTAATGGCTTTCTGGATGAACAAATTTTTTATATGCAATGTTGTTCAATAAATTATTAAAATTTTCTCTTATTTTCTGTTATTATTATATTATGAAACAATGGGTTATTTCCCAATATTTTAACTACTCTGCAAAATAAAAATGGGTTGAAAATATAGGACCCATATTTTTCCATTTTTCACTCTTTTTCATTTAAGTTAATAAAAAAAATTAAATGCGTATCTTGATATCTTTAAGCCAAAATTTTAGATCCAGTATCAATTCTTAGAATGTTTTAGTCTAGTGAAGTGGTAATGTGCGTCAGCAACATTCGTTATACAGGGTGTGTTTAAAAAATACCTGAGAAAAATGAAACAGTGAATTCTTCAGCCGATTTTAGAGCCGGAGTTTTATTCTAGCCTCCCTTAAGAAGGTCCAGCCTTTTAAATGTGTGTGTTGAAATCAAAATAATATAACTTTCTCGATCTATTCCACCCATTGTCGCCTAACAGTAAAGGTAAAGCAATAATACCCCTACACCTTGTGTATTTATTACCAGAATGTTTACGTACTTTTGAAGAAAAAAAAATATTTTGGATGGGTCTGTTCAAAACAAATCTTTTTATCTTTACACAAATTCCGAAATATCTTTTAGTTTTCGTACAATATGCAACCAATCATTTCCGAACGTGAAAAACTGGTTGCATACCTTCAAATTTTGGATATTCTATGTTCTGCAAAGAATAATTCCAATATAATATTGCAAAATATAAGAAAATGCAGTATAATAATCCTCTAAAGGTAAAAACAATCATATTGTTAATATACTGTTGAAAGGTAACATCAAGAAATAACTAACAATTTGAAAATTAATCATATAAATTTTGTCATAAATGTTTTTTTCAGCTAACGCAATCTTCGAATAATAAATGAAAATGCAAAATAATTACAAAATATGATTTTTTTCTGAAATGTTGCAAAAGGGGCGATGATTTGATAACAAAACTTATGGTGGAACATGTACTCATTCCGTTCATGATGGGACCCCAAAATATTTCAGATGCTTGAAAATCCTTTAACACATAACTTACATTTTCTCAATCAGGAAAACAGAAGCTAGGGTAGGTTCAGTAACATAACATGACTGTTTTACTCACAAAACAACTCGGACAAACTGAATTTATCAATATCGACTCCGTTCCGTTTTATTGATATGTCTATTTGCTAACTATTAACGAGTGTTTTGTAATCACTAAACCTTAACTTGTTTATTTTATAAGAGGTAAAATATATTGTTATTTTGCCGTGAAATAAATGCCCCTATCAATGTGTTTAATTTATCTGATTTGTTTATGATAAATAGTTATTTATTTACAAGTAAATGGATACGTTGTTGACATTAAAAAGTAAAAATAAGGCAATCAAGAGGATTTTTCATTAACATTTGACAAAATAATTCGAATTCGGTATATTCGGAGCGCAGAAGAAAGAGCATGTATCTGTAAATAGTTGCTACCACAGATCATGGTTAATACTTATTTTCTCATACTTAATGCATCTACTCGAAAACAGATGGTGCTGTCGAAATAAATTGTAGAAAACCATTTCCTATTAATATATAAAATCTGAATTCTTACTTCTAAAAGAGTAATTAACTATTTTGATTAGAATGATTTATAGCTCAGACTGCTGTAAATAACATTTATTTCAGTAATTTAATCCAACAATTATTCTGGCAGCAATTTGTTTTCGCATTTTAATATATAAGTAACGGTATAAGACTATCTCTTTCCTTAATTTCCCACCACTACGTTCGTTTGATTGGTTTTATCTCTTATCCCACTTAATTTAATATTAAAGTTACAACAACACAGCAAAAGCTTATTTGCGATTCAGTTTGTGGGTTATTTTATCAAATTTTGATCGTACGGCCGGGGAATATATCTACCATGGTAAAACAGAACCTAGTGTCGTTTCATATAATTGGTAGGCAAGAGTTACAGTTTTGCAGATAATTTATGTTATATTTAGTTATTACTCATTTTGATTTTGTAATATTTTGTTTACAGAAAGGGAAAGTAGTCAACAAAATCTAGTGACATGGACGTATCCTACATTGACGGACGAATTAACGGCATACCTAAAAGCACGATGTTTTCCTCCTGAATCGGATAAAGACTTATTTTTTTACCTTAGAAAAAATAATCTCTGGATGTACATTCAAAATTATTTTCATAAACAGAAGTTAACAGCTCTAATTGTCGTGGCAGAGGAATTTATACCAGATAAATACAAACTTTTGTGTGATATTCTCGAAAAAAAGTATACAAAAACCAGCAGTCCAGTAGAACTAGTTAAATTGTACATAAACTTAATATCTGGAAAATCCATCTACTACCAGGAGAACGGCTCTGAAATCGGCCTCGATTTGAAAGCACGTAGCACGGAAGTGGGTATAAAAGGTAATTCATGTTTTAAAACAGTAAAAATGACTGCACAAATGAATTCAAAATTAACCTTATTGTTAAACGTAACGTTAACCGGCAGATGGCGCTACTAGACTGTAAATTTAAGTAAAATACCTGCAAATGTCTTAGGCGTAGTACTCTTTTTTAGATTTGATAAGTAACTTTGGATTAGAAATAATTTTAATATATAATGCAATTTTATTGAAAAGGAGGATACTAATATATCATCACGATATTGAGAAACTTCAAAAGGTAAAAAAATTGAGTTTTTTATTTGCCTAAACTAATATATGACCCTTTTATTTACAGAAAATGGCACCTATGACTTATTTAATTCCTTTTAGAAATCTTAAGGACTATTTGTTACCTTGGATCGAGAACATTAACGAATTAAAAGTAATTTTACTAAACATGTAATGTATCAAATATAAACAATAATTTTTAGGGTTGCTCCTTTTACTTGGCTGGTACTACAGAAAAAAATGCCTTGAGTAATGAAAGATATTACGATTTATATGTAAATTTACTAGAAAACGAAATAACTATTTCCAAAGCAGCCAAAGGTATATATTTTCTGCCATCTAAATATCGATACCAATAAACTTTTTCATTATAGATTGCTTCACTATGGCAAAGATCCACAAAGACATAGCTCTATTTCTAGTTCAATTGTCTGAGAGTGACTTGAGTGAAATAAAAGTCATCGAACAAATACAAAACAAAACTAAAGATGTTGTACAACAACTTTATTCTATAGCAGTCTCCAGAGATAACAAAAAGATGGTAACGATGAATGATTTAAAATCTAAGAAGTACAGTCCTCCTTTAGAAAATTTCTTGTTCAACATGGCTGTGGCTGAAAATATTATGATACTATAATTTGTGATAATAACTTGTATAGCCCTGAAATTTTGTTTAGTTTAATAAACTAAATTAATATGCATGTAAATGAAAAAAAATCCTCCAAAATATGTTCATTAAAAATATATTATGTTCCTTTGTTGCCCCTATATACATAGGTACCTATTGCAACGATATAGTTACTTATTAATCAGTTTTATTTGTCGTTATGTCAAAATAGATTCTTTCTACAAGTTTAAATGTTTAAGTTTAATGTGTACAATTCAACATACTCTTCTTTTTGAAAAACAAGTTTAAAAATGGTAAGAAAGTGATGTCACGTTCCCGCGTATCCAATCAAGGACAAAGCAATGTTGTCAAGTCTGTCAAGCCAAATAAGAGAGTTAATGACAGACTCATATTACTCTTTGTAGACTGCCACAATCCACAGACGTTTTTTCAAAGTATCAATTTCCTGATTCTGAAGTGGACCTCACTACAGAACCCTCTACGGAGCCAGCATAGAGAATTTTCGGACGTCCATCTGGAGTGTTTGCTGTTCAGTAACCAGAGTCAGACCCTGGCCATTTTTGTGTTATATACAAATGCTATACCTTTCACATTTATTATTAATTGAATAAATATTTGTTATAAATCTCACAAATTTTAAAAATCTTGCTTTAAATTTCTCCAAAAAAATTAAACAATCTGTTCTCATAGTTCACTTAGTTCATACCTGAACAAAGGCGTCGCCAGCCAATGGGCTAGGGGGGAGGCAAGATAAGAGAGACGATGAGAAAAATATAAATTACAGGTAGAAATAGGTACAGTGAATTAATTTTTTTTAGAAATATTTTTAATAAAACCTTTTTAATAGAAGAAAAACATTTTTACTCAATGGACAATAGAATTGGAAATACAGATTTTATCTGTGGTTGCAGATTTCTGTTTAACAATTTCTATAAAGGATAGGGTTTTACCACACCAACACGAGCTGGCCTTAGTGAATGCATGCTCTGTCCGCCCTATTGCTATCGATTCAAATATTAAATGACTGGAAATTTCAGCCTTGGCGATAGACCGATAATAAATTTTAAGTCTAAGTTTGCAGTTTATCTATAATTTAAAAACAATTAAATACAAACATTTAAATATCAAATAACAACCGTCACAATTCAAGTATAAAGCTAAGCCTATTGTTAAATATGTATTATTGAAAATACATCAATTTCTTAAGACTGGGTAAACCTACAAAATTAAAAACGTTTTTCATTCCCCTTATATAAAATTTGGTTCGTTACATCTAAAATTGCAGAGATAAATTTTTAAAATATGAAAATGTATTACTTTTTAACATAAAATTTTATATTTTTAAATTGTTTTGTCAATAAATATTTATACAAATTTATTACAATTGTTTTTTTTTTTAATAAAGTAGTGTATTAATTTTTGCAATTAAAGTTTAAATAAATAAAATATTTGTATTAAAAATTTCAAATCTAATATTTTCTTAGCTTCAGAAAATTTTTGTACTTTTTTCGAAAGCTCGATCGTCCCGATAACCCCTTTGTAGGCAAGCGACTAATCTCCCAGCACCACAGGCAGGTAGTCCCCATCATCAGCTGAATCAATGGATTCAATATTTTCTCTAATAGTAGAGAAAATATTAAATATAGATTTAATATTTATATGTAGAATAGAAAGATCGTATTGGCATAACTGACGTAATCATATGACGGTTTGCTTTAGAAAACATGTATAATAAATTTAAATAATGTTTCAGTNTTGGCAATTTTAGTAATAAAAACGATTTAAATTAAAATTTGATTTTTGTGGTCTCTGTTTGCAGTCATATAAAAAGTATCGTAAAAAACTCGTTTGAAAACATCTTTGTACACTCGCTCGACTTGTGGACCTCGCCTTCGGCTCGGTCCACCAATATGTCTCGCTCGTGTGCAAAGAGTCGTTTTCAAATCTAATATTTTCTTAGCTTAAGAAAATTTTTGTACTTTTTTTGAAAGCTCAATCATCCCGATAACCCCTTTGTAGGCAAGCGACTAATCTCCCAGCACCACAGGCAGGTAGTCCCCATCATCAGCTGAATCAATGGATTCAATATTTTCTCTAATAGTAGAGAAAATATTAAATATAGATTTAATATTTATATGTAGAATAGAAAGATCGTATTGGCATAACTGACGTAATCATATGACGGTTTGCTTTAGAAAACATGTATAATAAATTTAAATAATGTTTCAGTACTGTAAATAATGCTTACTTATTCTGTAAAAAATAAATTCAATGATTAATAGTTAAAATTGCAATAATTTCTTCAAATTTGATTTACTGCAATGTGCTTGGTCGTTAGTTATAAAAAAGACTGCTTCCGTACTGTTACCATACAGGGTGTCCCGAAATTAATGCAACAAAATTTGGTCACACATTCGTAAGACAAATTTAGGCGACCAGTATTTTTTATTTTTATCAAGTGGCCCCCTCTTTCAGAGTTACAGCCTCCTGAAATCCGCCCCTAAATGTCAATATGTGATCGAATGCATATCGTGATATGCCATTTTCCTCAAAAACATTGCGTTTTACGAAAAAAATATCAAGAGACAAAAAAGTTTTTAAATTCAATGGCTTTCTAGCTAACTAATAATTTTTAAGAAATTCAAATTTGCGACCAAATTTCTTTAGTTCCAAAGACAAGGGGGCCCACGAAAAAGTCACTTTTTAAAAAGTGTCATAAGGGTGTTCCCCGACAAAAAGCGTAGCATTATCAGATTCCACACGTCATAAAACTCCTGTGTACCAAATTTAGTGATTCTCGTACAACAGGGTTCCGAGATATAAAAAAGACTATTCTTAAGGACAGATTTCAGAAAGAGGGGGCCACTTTGCAAAAAGAAAAAATACGGGTCCTCTAAATTTATCTTAAGAATCTATTACCAAATTTTGTTGCATTAATTTCGGGACACCCTGTACGATTGGCTATCCTGTAATTTAAACAACAAAAAAGCAATAAATATTTGAGACAAATAATAATAAAGCTGAAATCTTAAACCTGGCTCAACTTCTTGCAGAAATAACTCGGGAAGGATAATTTGTTATTTGATCTACCAGGCTTTCAAAAAAAAAAGAAGTCAAAAAGAAGCTACAATTTACTTTTACTTTAAATTGCAGATCGGTAAAAGATCTTTACTACAAACTACAACTCAATATTTTGTAATTCATATATTTCTCTGATTCTCAATATTAATCCCCTTTATTAATTTTGAATTTTTATTTGATTGGCTCTTTCTAAGGAGAAATCAAAATACAATTTTAAATATTTTAATATAAACTGAATACGTCAAGTATAATATAAATATCATTTAATAATCTTGTAATGTGTAATTTCAGGGTTCATAGTTCAAAAGTAATATATAATTCCCTGACTTTTCCAAGTTTTCCCCGACATAAAAAAAATTCAGGTCACTTGCAGATCTCTTCTACACACTAATTGGTGTTTATGCGTTACACTTTTTCTAGACTGGACTCCATAATCTTTTTTATACCCAAAAGAACCTCTTATAAAGATTTCAAAACCACAAATAGTTTTCCGTTTTAAGAACCCAGCCGTTTTTTCACAAAATTTACAGTTGCAAACATCAAATTCCCTGACTTTCATGAATACTTTTACAATTCCCTGCTTTTATGAATAATGAAATCCCCGACTTTTCCTGGTATTCCCAGCGCTACGATCCCTGTAATAATTCATTACAATTTAAAAGTTGAGATTTGTAGAAAAAAAAACAACATTATACAATCCTTTAAACCAAAAATAACTTTAATATAATGTGGTGCTGTTATCATTTTACCAGTGGCGGTTCTTGTCTTCCATACCAGGGAGTGGAAAAATTTAGGTACAAAGTATTGAAAAAAAAAATTAAATATAATTGGGTAGCTTTAAGTACTATTGAAATTTATGGAAAATGAACTAAACATTTTATAGTGAAAGTCCATTTTTCTGCTGTTGTCAGACATAAACTTTTCAATTACTTTTTCATTAAAATTTGGTATTTCTCGCACCACTGATTCTTGCAAGTGCTCCAATCAAATTTAAACTTTTACAATTTTACACAGCCCAAACTGTATAGTAAATATACACGACTCCCACTCTGTCTTTCACTGTTATACGACGGTAACCATGACCACCACTGTAAACACTTTACAGACGTAGAGGCGAGCTAAGGGGAGCCCACATATTCAGAGTTTTGCAAGTCGTTAAATTGACTGCACATTACAAATTTAAAATTTCCTTTTTAATTTGTTGCATAAGGCTGATCTATTTATGTAAATTGTAGATAACATCGTACTCTGAATTTTAAATTTAATTTTTTTACTATAAAAATTTCTAGGGGAGGCGGAGCCCCAGAGCCTCCTGCACCAGCCGCCATTACTAAAAAGTTTTTTCAATTTTCGAAAAATAAAACTACATCAATTATCAATAAATTTAATATCATTGTCCTCTTATAAAAAAGCAATTTAATCAACAAATAAAATATAAACCTATCAATTATAATACACGACGTATCTAAAATATCACACTTAGAATGAGACAAACTTAACCGCTGCACTTTAGGAAAATGCGAAATAAATATGTTGTGTTTAAAAATTACAGCCAGTATAATTTGCGGTCATCTCTTCGCACCTGAAGCTTTGTCACATGCCTGTAGATTTTCAGGGCTGGTCCGAGCTTCAGGTTTAGATTTGTTAGTACGTCTATTCGTGTTAGAAGTAGTAGAGAACGACCGTCAATCTCCTGAAATAATGAAATGAAAAATCAGATAAAAAAAGTCAAATAAAAACAAGAAATTAAACAAGAGGAAAAACAAAGAAGATTGAATATGAAAGCTTCAGTGAAAAACTCACTTGTTCCTTAAAAACTTTAGCTTCTTCCGGGAAATACTGAGCAAAATACTGATAAACCTCATCGGCTGTCCAATGAGTGGCATCTGGTATCGAGGGGTCTATATTTTCTTCAAAGTCCCAATCCTTGTTACTCTGAGAATCGGAGTTAGCCCCTTGGTCGGGTGACTCACCTGCCTGACCAGTCTGAGGGCTCAATTGGGGTGGAGTTGGTGACAAAGGAGGAGAATTGTAGTTGGACGGACTAGAATTGCCCGAATTTGATGGGCTGTTGTCGTTATCTGAAATAAAAATAATATGATATTTGCATGATAACTCATCGTAAAACTTACCAATTCCGTTGATCTTCTGACTGAATGAATTCCCAATATTTGACTGAATCTCATTTATTTTTAGTTCATCCGGCATCTGGCAGTTGATGCAAAGCCACTTCTGGCCGTTTTTAATTTTTTCAATAATTCTAGGCTGATGACAACTGGCATGATAACCATCAGCGCACACTGAACAAACAGTTAAATATCCCTACAACCCAAAACAACTTCAATTCTCCTGTTAAAAAGTATCGACATCATTAAATGAAGCAAATACTTATAAATATATATTTTGAACATTATTTATTATCTGTTACTTACTGCATCGGATGTTTCGTAGCAAACTACGCAAGTTTTACAGTGTGGGCACTGCCAAGTATTATCAGGATACATTTTCAACATCATGTCATCCCCATTTAGACAGCTAAAGTGTGCTAAAATGATTTATTAATAGAATAGATATAACAGCACAGTTTTCTAAAAAAAATCAACTTTCACATTCAAACATACTAACAATGAAAACCAAGTGAAGCTCCAAGGCAGTCCCAAGACCTAGAAACTTTAAAAAATAATAGTTTCAACAATATTTGATCACTAAAATATGCTTAACTATGATCAAACATTATTATATTAAAGCATAGCATCCCACATAGCCTTATTTCACTATTTAAGAAAATCTGGGTCATCGACATTCCAACATAAAACAAGACGTCTACACTAACATACCTTTATTACTGCATTCCCTGCAAGCAACCATACGATCATTGGGGCCTCTCTTGCTCTGTATATGACATACCGAACATACTCCGCCCTGATCTCGGCCATTACTGGAAGTCCTAGAATCTGGCCTACTTTCATCACTTAACCTAGCCATTTGCTTCTCAATAGTTGATTTATTCAGGGACCCTGCTGGTCTACCCCTTTTCTTTGGAATATGTGTATCGGAAGGGTCGAAAACTTTCTTTGCCCTCTAAAAATGATTAAGTGAGGTTAAGAACCCGATGAGCTCTGGTTATAAAATTAATTTTCAATATATTTTTTTTAATAATTGGGTAGTCAAATCTAATATCACTTTTGGTCCAATTTTGGAATTTTTTGCTGAAATGGAAATAAGTTTAAATGTCATTTCTTATTATGGTCAAATATTTAAATGTTATCCTTTAAAATATATTTTTTAATGTCTTAAGGGTTTTAATATATTGTAAAAGTTATTTTTTAAATATATAACGGAACCGTACCGACTTGTATTTTGACATTTTGTTGTTACAAAAGTAAACAAAATTTTGACAACCACTTGACAAGTGTTAAAAAAAGTAACTAACCTTACGTCGACCCCCTATTCGCAAGGATCCGTTTTCAGATTTTTTTTCGTCGGCGGAATTAGTGGAAGAGTCCATATTTTCAAAATGTTCCTGTTTTATGATGTCTCTCTCTTTTTTGGGAATGGGTCCCGGACGTTTTCTGGGTTTGAGTTGTATAATGTACTCATGTCTATCATTCACTTCTTTCACCTCATTTGTATTAATTTCGGTCTCTGTCTTCAACCTTTTCCAATCATCTGTTTTCTCTTTCTCCGTTTTGTGCACACTTTCGTCCTCCTTTGATGGACCCATGAGGTAATGACCGTTTTCCATCTTTATTAGTCCCCCGTTCGCGACTTCCTTTTCGAGCAAAATGCTGATATATTTTTTCGTGTAGCGTACGCTGTCCTTCGCCAAGATATTGTTGATTATCTCCTGTCCGGGGACACCTATTTCTAGGTAGTCGGGCTCGTCCACAATTAATTCACCGAAAGCATTTGTTAAAAGTTCGCTGAATTGACGATTTATTTTGTTGTCATTTGCACTGTCTCCCTGGTGCCCGCTGTCACGTTGCCGCATCTGTGCGTACTTTTTTGCTGCGTTTCGATAACTAATGCTGCCTTTGTACTCTACTTTAAGGACAATGTTATTTGCCACACACCACTCCAAATCTGATCTCGCCTCGGCCGAATTAATAGCAAATCGCCGGAATAAATAATTACAAATCCTTTGTATATCTGGCCGGGCTTTTCGCCGGCGTAGCTGGTCAATCGCCTCTAAAATGCGTTCCCGGTTCTTTACTGAAGTCATGCTACCGTAGAAACGAAATCGTTAGTTGTTTGCGACTTTAAAAACTTAACAAACAGTCGTAGGAGCGTCGTTAATCGCTGCATGCACCCAAACTGGCAATTTAAAATAAGTGTCCCTTTATATTAAAAAATACAGGCTAACGCTCTGTATTACAAGGAAAAATGAGGAAGTAGCACAAAAACACTTCGCGCTTATGATTCAATTCCCGTACATTATCTTATCAGGATAGTTTTGAGGCGTATTCTACGAATAAGAACGGCTAAAAGTGCTTTAAACAAGTTTGTCCAAGGTATTACTTAATTTATCGTGAACCACGAAACAAATAAAATGCAAGACAACGCTCCTAGCGCGCAGAAAGACAAGGCATGCTAAAGTACCTTGTGTTAGAATTTACCTGAATGCGTCGTTATTCTCCGTTGGATCGCCCCTCGTTGAACTATATCGTGCACAGGAATGTCTGGGGTATTATTTTAACTAGTTTTCGAGGGTGTCCGTCACATAACTTTAACAAAAAACAGATTGATAAGAGAGCCGCATCTCACGCAACTTGCACGAACGTTCGTTGAGACGGTCAGACACGGGTTTGGTTTTGTCCGTGTTGCGACAGGGTTGTTGTAGCGTTGTAGCTCGAGAGTGCGCGCGCCGCCGGTAGAAACTCCTAAAGATTCGTTTTATTTACTCCAAATGGCACTTGCAAATTTCTTGGACATATAACGAGCCAAAACTAGGTACATTTCGATATCGGCGTGCCCGTACTTCTGGATTTTCTACTTTTCCTGCCAGCAACAATTACTTTCCGGTCGGGCCGCCGTGCTTTTGCCCGTACGCATGAAATTAGGTAGGAATACCTACCTCGCGTCCACGCACCACACCTGTCGCGTTAATATTATGCAAAGGCTGTTCAATCTTACGCTCTAAGGCTTATTATGATGCCTCTAATAAAAGTGGCTGTAATTCAAGGGGGAAACAGTGGAATGAGAACAGTACAGCGCCGATTTTTATTGTCGGGAAATCGCTCGCAGGGCAATAGATTTATTGATATGTCGCGCGTGCACGTAGGCGTCTAGCCAAATGAGAATTTTGTTTGTAGGATACCGTTGCATCACAGCCATGCACCGGCAGCAGGAATAAATACTGTGAAAAGGTCGGGCACCGGGTCGGTACTCGCGATATTCGGAATAACTTGTTTTCCACTGAAAAATATCAGCGTTGCCTGTGCACAAAAATGCATTTATAATATCACGCCGCGTCTCAGATATGGTTTCGTTACTCATACTCGTAGATAAGATTTGTAGTGTTTTCGACGTTTTCATCTATCGCATCGGCTTATTTTTAATCTCTACGCGTACTATAACGTAACGTTAACAATTATTGCTTATATCTTATATCCACTGGAAACCGATCGTACAATTCGGGCCAGTTTGATTACACATATACAGGGTGATATATTCGGATGATCTTGCATCCATTTTAAAAACAACTTAGTAGAAGATCAATAAAACTGAATCTGGTATTAGAATAAAAATTATTAACATAATTTTTCATTTGAAAAAATATGTTCCTAACACATCAACGTTAAAATTAAACAGAACTAGGAACACGGGTACCTAATATAATTTTTTATTACACTTCTCACTTTGAACTGTAAATTGGATCCCTGAATGATTCTCATTAAGTCCATCATATTTTTTTAAAATTAGTACTGATAACGTCGTTAAAGTACGCGTGAGTAAAAACTTGTGTATATGTCCCGATATGGTTTAAATAATGAATAACTTTTATTAACCTTGTATAAGTAGCTCCAAAGAAAAAGGTCGGGAGCCTTTAAATCAGGTGAATGAGTAAGCCAGTTGAAATTATAAAATCGTGATAGTATTCGATCGTCTGCTCAAAATGGCCGCCATTAGCGAGGCGTAGTAATTTTCAAAATATAACGTACACATTGGCCGTTTTCTTTTACTCATGATTTCGGAATCATAACGCGTTATGATCCGATATCTAGCAATCTGACTGGTTTTCAGCGGATTGTAACACGTTATGATTCCGAAATCATGAGTAAAAGAAAAGGGCTATTATTTCCAAACAATGCATTAAACATTAAAATAAAAATAACAAAATATTACTGAAAAAAGAATTAATCATTATTTAAACCATTGCGAGTCTTATGCGCTATCCTGTATATGATATGACGTCTATAGAATTCTGCCGCTGAGCGTATTATGTTTTTTGAACGGGAATTACTGGTAGGGGATTTTGACCTCCAAATGCCCTCCTCATATGCCACTATTGATATCTAATACAAAGCAGTTTAAAAAAAAGCCGAGCAGCTCTGGGGGCATTTAAAGCAAGCCTGGTCCATTTGCATATACTGCATTTCTAGGTAATAATAACAAATCTAAAAATCAGTATTTCTTTTTTTTTTATTCAGTATTTAATAAAAGAAATACCTACCACCATCAGTTGAAAAACTCAACTCTAAAAACTAATTTAAATAAACAGTAGTATCTACCAACTTCTGGAGAGAAATTAAATTTTTTCTGCAAAACAGACAGGAAACGTACCGAGCATGCTCGAAACAGTTGAACGCTGCTCGTTAGCTATACGTCACGCCTACTTCCACTTACAATAGTCCGATCCGAACTTGATCTGTACCAACCTTGAGTGTGTGATGTGGTCAAGGACGCATTGACAAACCTTGGATGGGATTACTTGCATGACGTCATCCGAGTTACTGGCTGCAGGACGTCACAACCGACAAAATTCTGAAAGGATCGATAACCTCGTTGAAATTTGTCTATTATTCATCCTGGGCGCGAATGGGTGGGGAGGGGAGTGGGAATTTATTTGAATTTTTTGCGCCAATGGCGGCTTCTTTTTTAATAAACAGAAAATTTAGTAGAAATCTAATCGCAAACCTGACTGACATGTTTTCAAATGTACGCAAGTAAATTTATTAGCTATCTATACATCTAAGACAATCATTTTGGATATTTATAGCCCAATAAAGTGTAGCTGCATCTATATATTTTTTTATATACCATATATAACTGACATGACTTTAGATATCAAAATGCTACACAAAAATGAGTAATCTAAATATTATACAACAGTTATAACAATTTAAATGGTAATATTTTGTTAATATTTTGATTAGATAACTCTTATTTGTTTAGTAAGCCAACAGATTATTTAAATAATGAAAGTTACATTATTGTTACTGTGAATTTAAAACCATTTTATAGCTGATAATATTAAAGTATATTATCAGCAACTTTTTCTAGTCAAACTTTAACAGTCTGTAAACTTACTAATTCTAAAAAAGTTCATGTAAACGTAGGTCATACAATGCTTTGTTTTCAACATAGTGTTGATGATATTTAAAATATAATCACATTTAATTAAATATCTCTGAAGATGTTTGACGTTGATTGATGAAACTTAGGCTACTGACAGTACTGTTTTGTACCAGGGATGTATTTCTAAATTTTGCGCCACGAACGAATATGATCAGCCATCCCCCCCAGGTCCTGTTAGTAAATATAAAAAAAAAAATTACGAGGTGACAATTAAAAACTATTTTTCTATTTATTTATTAATCTTATAATTAGATAACGGAGTAGCCGTTAAAGACAATAGAGATTCTCAGCAAAAAACCCAAAGGGACGAACCTTCGACTGAGGCTGGATAGCTTGGGTTACATCTTTAGGGGGATTACTTTTCCCCAGAAAATTAAAGGGCCTTGATTATTTTGGATTACTGTATTTGTATACAAATAGTTTTGTAGTTATTTATGATTTTAAATTTAAAAATAAAATACCTCGAAAATTGCTTGACATTGTGCGACACTTTTTTGCTAGATATTCAAACTGGAATTAAATGTATTTATCCAATTTCCAAAATACTCAATAGCACTGAAANTGTATTTGTATACAAATAGTTTTGTAGTTATTTATGATTTTAAATTTAAAAATAAAATACCTCGAAAATTGCTTGACATTGTGCGACACTTTTTTGCTAGATATTCAAACTGAAATTAAATGCATTTATCCAATTTCCAAAATACTCAATAGCACTGAAATTCTGAAGGGGTAACGCTACTCTAGAGATTGGTAAAAAAAAGGTGATTCGGGAATTTTCTAGGAAAAGTCGATACAAGATATAGTGTTGAGAACAAGTTTAATTGTACATTGTAAAATAGACGTTATTGTTGGTATTATTACCTTTTATACATGCGTCGTCAGAAAGCAGTTTATCTTAACAACAGCCGGGTCATTCGCCAGAAATTAAGAGGGTATACGAAACAATTATCAAAGTTACTGTTCTGTCAATAAAAACAAATAATAGGCAATTTATCGGGAGGTTACACTCCCCCTAACTCTAGGACTCCAGGTATATCCTTCCATACGTTACCATTATAGTAATTAGCAAATATGTATCATTCGTTCTTTAACAACTAGCTAGTGTCACCTAAAATGAGTCGAGGCTCCCCCGGACGCCAACTAGTAAGCATCCCAACTACCGGGTGTGTGAGTCATACTATTATTATGCCACTTAGTTCAACACCACCCAGTATGTGTCAATCGAAGCGCAGGTAAGAAGGCACACTTCGAAGGAACCACAGACTCTAATTAGGCCGGGAACACCGCGTGCATGGGGTTTTCATAAACATAAAGGAGTATGGCATATTACTCACAAATTCACAAATCATTAAACAATTGTATTCAAGCTAGCACACAGTTATAAAAATCAAACTTATCCGGTCACTGAAGTGGCCAGGCACCACTGTCACAAAGAACAACCTCTCTTAGTTTCGGTTTCGCATCCCCTTTGTATATACTCATAAATCACATTATCTCAAGGACAAATAAACACTTGGCTGGCACATTCCCTGTGAACAGCTGAGGTTTGCTTCAAAGCAACCACAACAGTTTTCATTTCATAATAAAATATATATGGATTTGAATTATTACAATATTTTAAAAATAAACACAGACTGTGGGATCATGTTAAGCTAGATAAGGTCATAAAAAATGTCTCTATCATTTTTCAATTAAACCGATGTTTTTCGAGATAGGGCAGTTTTAAATATCTAAAAATAAAAATTTTCAATTTTTAATCATTTGATAAACAGTTACGACAAACGAATTGTTCAAAATTTGCACCATTTGCTGCTAAAAATGCTTCAGCACGTTGTGATTACCTAAATAATACTTTTCCTGGACGTTGGCTTGGCAGAGGCGGTCCATTTGCTTAGCCACCTCGTTCTCCAGATCTAATGCCATGTGATTTTTTCTTTTGAGGCTTTCTAAAAACGTTGGTAGCAAATTTGAATCACTTGCAGATCTGCCTATTTTAATCAATATAGCAAATAACACCAGTGATGATACGCAACTCCATTAGAGCAGTAGCACAATATGCTGAAGCATGTTTAACAGCACATGATAGAAATTTTATATAATTTTTGTAACTCGGTTGTGGTAATTGTTTATCTATTGATTAAAATTGAAATTTATAAATATAAATATTTTTATTATTATTGGATATTTGATACTGCTATATCTCGAAAAATACCGATCTGATTGAAGGGAACATTGTAGGAAAATTTAAAAATATTAATAATTGTTGATTTAGTGAATATTAGAAAAATATATATCGAAAAATGACTAAAAATTTTGCATTAAATTGTTAATAACAATGAACATTGTTAATCAATCGAAAAATCCCTACGATATTTATTGAGTTATGTTATTGTAAAGCTCTGTACACAATTTCAAGTCGATTTGTCGAAAACTTTTTGAGCGATCCTCGCTGGGGTTTCTGCGACAGTCAAAAATTGCTCCTAGCGCAGCGTTCTTCACGTTGTTTTCGTCACCTTTCCTTTGATTTTGGCTAGAGATTTATAACGAATGTCCTGAAATTGCTGACCAAGCAATAAATGTATTAATGCCTTTTGCAATAATTACGTACCTGTGCGAAAAATCATTTTCCATGTACGTAGCGACAAAAACAAAGTGTCGCAATGCGCTTAATATAAAATTTGAAATGCGATTGCAACTTATGACAATAGCACCTGATTTTAATATATTATGAACAAATATTCAAGCACATCCCAGTCTTTGATGATATTTACCCTTTTTTTAATTACTCAATAAATATTTACTTTAACTTTAGTTTTACTTTAATTTTTACTTAGAGGAATATTTATTTTGTTAATCATAGTACATATTTATAAATATATTAAATCAGTAAAAAATGTGTTCGAAAATTTTTTTTAGGTGTAGGCATTCCTCAAAAAAATCGAAATGTTGGCGGGGTTCCGCACGTTGTAAAAGTTTGAAGACCGCTGGATATAATAGTGCTCCCCTTCCTGAATCTCCACCACTAGTTTAAATATTTATAAATCAATTCAGTGAAATCATTATCCTAATATTCACCAGTCAAGTCGAACATCCTAAGAGATATTTGAATAAATGCGATTTTTTTTTTTACTGTATTTTTTTTACTGTATCTCGAAAACGAGCGTTCCACCACCTATATTTATATGCAGTTTTTCGTAAAATTAGGTTTTCTATTGACCGTTGAGGTTTGACTACACACACTTGACTCACCCCGTACCATGTTGTCTTGCCAAAGTCGGGACTAGATTTGAAGGTATACATAAGAAACGACATGGGAATTCTCTTATATTTACTATTTCTGTTTGGTAGCTATTTAATTAACAATATTTTTTAGGCATTAACACTGTACATTGCTAACATCCAATAATCTGACCTTTAAATGAAAGTAATACCCGTTAGTGTAAAATTATATAATACAATACATACATTCGCTAATTAATGGAATAATAACTTATCCTTTAGACATTTAAAGTAGTGCAAGAATTTGCAAAATATAACACTTCTTTCCCTAAATATTTAATGTAGAATCGGGCTCGTTTTCTAGCACACTACTAAGTAGGTCGCCTTAAAACTACAAATTCCTAAAACTCATAGAAAAATTAGTCATAACAAAACACCTTAACTATCTGAGAGTATTGTGTTGTCTCGGCAATCTAGGCTATTGAATATAGGATTTTAAAAGGAACTATGAGGTTCAAGATATTTTATTACATGAATCGTTCAAATGATAATATCAGATGAAAAAACGCGGAGTGCTTAGAGGGTGGAAATTGGAGATAGGGGTGAAAATGCACCCCTTTCAGTTTTTTAATTGTAGCTCGAAAACGAAGCAACTTTTCGCTATAGTTCATAGGAAACATTTTTTAGAGGATTGAAAAAATTGGAAAAGGAAAATTTTATGCAAAAAAATCGTTAATAAACAATTTGAAAAAAGCAAAAAATTCAATTTTCAGATTTTTTTTACTTTTTTAATAAAATAATTTAGTGAAACTTGAGAATTTAAGTACAATAAAGTTTATTAATAATGTATATACAGTGTGTCCACGGATGGAGTTGACAAGAGGAGAAACTCTTTTGTTTTTGACTTTATCGAAAAATGTTGCTCTTTATAAAAAGTTCTGCCCCTCGAAAAAATGAGACTGTCATACAAACATCTTAGATTAGATATACAGGGTGCTCATAAATTAAAAAAACACGAAAATACTCAAGAGAGAAGTACCATTATTTATTATTTTACACAACATTTTTATAAAACAAATCTGTTTATAATCTCAAATAATGTCCTAATGCAAATTTTAAAATCAAAATTTCAATTTTTGAGGTGGGAAGTAGCTATACATATAGTCAAAATTGAAATTTTTATTTTAAAATTTGCATTAGAACATTATTTGAGGTTATAAACAGATTTGTTCTATAAAAATGTGTAAAATAATAAATAATAGTACTTCTCTCTTGAGTATTTTCGTGTATTTCTAATTTATGAGCACCCTGTATATCTAATCTAAGATGTTTGTATGCCAGTCTCATTTTTTCGAGGGGCAGAAGTTTTTATAAAGTGACATTTTTCAATAAAATCAAAAACAAAAGAGTTTCTCCTCTTGTCAACTCCATCCGTGGACACACCGTATATACATTATTAATAAACTTTATTGTACTTAAATTCTCAAGTTTTTAATAAATTATTTTATTAAAAAAGTTAAAAAATCAAAAAATCTTATTTTTTGCTTTCATTAAAATTGTTTATTAACGATTTTTTGCATAAAATTTTCCTTTTACATTTTTTAAATAATCCATTTCGATGGGAAATTCAATTCTTTACAAAATTTTTCCTATGAACTATACCGAAATTTTGCTTCGTTTTCGTGCTATATTTAAAAAACTGCAATTTAATACTTCAACTTCACTCAAAAAAAAACTAGGCAAAAAAGTAAAAAAAAAATCAGAAAATCTAAGTTTTGCTTTTTTTCAAATTGTTTATTAACGATTTTTTTGCATAAAATTTTCCTTTTAAATTTTTTAAATAAGCTTTTTCCATGGGAAATTCAATTTTCTAAATAATTTTTCCTATAAATTATAGCTAAATTTTGCTTTGTTTTCGAGCTACAATTAAAAAACTGAAAGGGGTGCATTTTCACCCCTATCTCCAATTTCCACCCTCTTATTTAAAGCACTCCGCGTTTTTTTCATCTAAAATGACCCTTTGAACGATTCATGCAATAAAATTGCTTGCTTGAATGTCATAGTTCCTTTTAACTCTGTTTTTTTTTTTTTTGGATATAATCAATAGCCTAATCCTATGTGCATCAAATCTACAGAAATTATTACTAACACAATAGATTGCTTTGTGACTAACAATTTTATTTAATTAATTAGGGAATTACTTTAAAGCTATTCAAGAGGGTTTCTTTAACTACAGATCCAAAGAGGAGAGTCCTAAAACAAATTTTTAATTTAAACATTACTAAATTATACAGTTTTTTAGGTTTCTTGGATGTCTGTCCTTGGATATTTGATGACAGGGACAGAATCCTAGAATAAACATAACAGTGATTTATAACTCGGCCTTTGTTGTTCAAGAGTTATGATTGTGGGAAAGATATCAGGTTTGCTTTTTTAAAGACTCTTAATTTTGCTTAGTCCGTCCTATTAGCAAGAAACCACTTTATGAATAGCAGCAGGAATTAAAACAATTTCTCACTAGAAATATAAATATATCTTACTTTAACACATAAATAAAATGGTGATTATTAAATAAAATCAACTATGAACATGCATAAATATACATATCACATTTTAAAAAACTATACACTTTTTTTAAGTGTAAACAGCACAGCTATACATATAAAGCCTGAGGTAAGGAAATTTTTCTTATTTCTTTTATTTATAAAAAAGACAGCAATAAATAAACCATAGAAATTTTTTTGGTAAATACAAAACACTAAAAGAACCTAACAAAATATTAATTCGTTTGGGAAGGGTGCTGTATATTAATATTAGTGTATAAGCCGTAATTAGACCACTTTTAAAAGAGATAATTTAAAATGATAAATAATTATATTATTCTAAAATAAACCCACACTTCGTGTGAGAAACTTTAACAAATCCTCTGATTAACGTGGCTCAAAGCTTGTGCGCCATCCAGAAAAATATATAAATTACAAATGCAACGATATCGAAAATACTTTAATATCTATAATACCTAGACATCCCTAGTAAATGCCACAATTGACTACTTTCGGTAAAGTATTGCTAACTTACAGTCAACGAGATTCTGCCACCTCTTAGGCCATACCTGGGTCCTCTAACGCTCCGTCTTCTTCCAGCTTAGTGATGAGCTTCACGACTCTAACTCTCTCGTCTGTTTGCCTAGCCATGTCTATTAGAGCCAACAGTTTCTTTACGCCGATGAAAATCCTGAAAAGTCGTACATAAAAATTAATATACAATATAACCTCCCAATAGCAGAATACACGGAAGAAAAAAGCTTCGATAATAATATTGTGTGAACATATATATTTTGAAATAATTTTTAATTGTCATTTGTTTTGTTTGAGAGCTTGAGAAATATTCTTAGCGATATTAGAATTGCTAGAGCACAAAAAAAAAATTCTCAAGATGTAATATTTTGCGGCTTCTGAAATATAGTCAAAGCTAGGAATACATTCTGAAAATGTACCACAAATACGGAATCCGCGAATACAGTGTGGCATTTTGCATGAAAATATAGGGGATACATTCCAATGTTGCAAAATAATAAAAAAATATCATAATAAAAGTAATTTATTTAGATAAATTTTAGCAATATTAATTATTATTTTCTAGCTTAGGGAATGATTTAAAGAACTTAATAATTTTTTCTTGTTTTGCAGCTAATAAGACATTTTAATTCGGATTGATATTCAGCTGTGGCATTTTCAATTTGCCTTTTAAAAACAAGACTTCTTCCCATAGACGGATCAATTCTTATGAAGAAATCACAAAGCTTATTTGCCATCCGTAAACTTGCACTCAGGTTTTTTAAACTTAATGTCACATTTTCAGTGCTCGTTGAAGCTTCCTCTTTCACGGAATGGAGATTTAACACTTTCTCCAAGTCAGTTTCAGTCAAATCTTCATCGCTTGTTTCTATCAGTTCAAAGCCGTCCCGTCCCTGTTTGCAACTTGCAAAATGTTTGCAGTTAACGTTTGAATTTACACACGGCTTTTTTCCTCATAGGAACTAATTTTCTTTTTAAATTACCTTTATTCGTTATTATTAATTCCGAAAAGAGCTGAAAAGACATATTATTACTGCGATAAATGAAAAATTGAAGTATAGACTTGACACCACTCGTGGCGTAGGCGGCCATAATCGCACGTGTAGACGAGCGGAGCTTTTGTCAAACGACTTTCGGCTTCACGACATTAAAATTTGTTTGTTTATAAATATTTTGATACCTACTTGTTTATTTTGACAAATAAACACACATTATTCCAAAAATATAATATGTATTATTAGTTTTGGATCCGCAAATACAGAAATTTTCACCTGTGAATACGGGACGTGGTCACAATTTTTTGATCTGCGAATAGTGAATTCACAAATATGGGTACCGTGAATAAGGAGCTTTGACTGTACTTGAAATAACATTTACAAGATCCTCTTCTCCGATTTTGGTTTCTATTTCATCACTGAATATATCAATACAATCAATAATAGAAATATTTGAATTTTCAGTTATTAAATCATCAATTATTGAGTGTGTTTTTAAATCTAAATTAGTCATAATAATATTTGAAAAAAAGTTTTTTAATATCATCATTATTTTCCAATATACAGTAATACCCCGACTTACGCGAATCCTGAGTTATGCGATTTTTAAATCTCGTTGATTCGGCATTTGTTTGAGCAACGCACTACTCTCGCTTCCCCACTCCATCCACACGGGAGATGGATTTCACGGGGTCTAACAACACTTACAGTGTACGATAATTCAATAGACAAAGAAATCTAAATAAAAAATTTAGATAAATTTAGAACGAATATACTGAAGATGAATTTTTCGAGACAAAACGTCTGAATCTGGTTTGGGCTGAAGCAGTACAATATTGGGGGTCATGATGGCTTGCAAAAAATGTAATAAAATTTCTAGGGTCGTATTTAAAAAAATAAAGTTGATAACGGTCCTGGAGAGACGAAACGTTACATATAAAAATTGATTATGCTATTCGATAGAGGGCAAAAAGTGGCCATGAGAAAGTGTTCTTCTTTTTTCAATATCACCTCAAAGCTGAAATGAAACAAAAACAGATTTCCAAAATTTCGTTCTTTTTCAAATATTTCAAAAACTAATCATGTTCACCTTGATTTTTTAGAGGCATAATGTTGGTCCCCTGATTACCCAACTTTGCCCCCATTTAAGCTACTTCATACCTCTTACCGTTTCCGAGATCCCTGTAGTGAGAAGCGAATTTGTAACAGCCTGTATACTACTGTTCTTATACGAGAGTTGCCTTTTATATTTCGGGAATGGACAATCCTGGTGCTGCCATCTGACAACCGATGTACTTATCGTAAAGTTCAACTTTTTGTCAGTATAGTTCTGTATTCAGAACGTTTTGACATACAGGCGCTATTTGTGTTGTTTACAAAGACTTAAAAAAATTATTTCAACAAAAAAATTTAATTAATTGTGAACATTTCTATGTGATTATTTTTTACAACTTTCAACATGGATTATCTCAACAACAGTGCATCGATGAACTTAAATCGGCTTTTGGTGATGAAGCACCAACATAAAAGCATTGTTTATTGGTGGCACACGGAATCCAGGCATGGTTCGCTCACCGACGAATTTCTTGAAGGTCGTCCAAAATCAATTGTTCCAGAAAACAAATGGTTGCCTGTTTATTCGAAAAAGCCGGATATATGGTAACTGTACCATTAGTGCAATGTTGGATGGTCATTTCTGAATGGTATATAACATTTGCGTGATAGAAGTCTTTGGAAAAATAAAAGAAGCCAACTGCTGAAGATGCATCATTCCCCACGCAAGACAATGCAACCCAAACAAGACTTTTTGAAAATTGAAAAGGTCAAATTGATGAGTCATCCACAGTACAGTCCTGATTTAGTACCCAATGACTTTTTTTCTTTCCTGCAAATCAAAAAATAAATTACAGGTCAACGCTCTTCAATGCCTGAAGGTTGATGCGTGCAAAATGCATGTTTTGGGGGTACCTCAATCGGTATGGAAAAAGTATTTCGAAAATTGGCTCAAGCGAATGCAAAAGGGTATTGATCTTCATGGAGGACATTTTGAAAAACAACAAAGGCATACGAGATGAATAATTTCTTTTTTTGTTCTCTATTCCTGAAATATAAAATTCAATGTTCGTACTCTCTTATTTATTTTTATTTCCTCTAACTTTCCTATTATTATTATTATTATTATTATTATTATTATTATTATTATTACAAAATCTCATGGTAAAATCCTGTGAAAGCAAAATTTTCCGTAATTTCGAGGTATCCGCTGTTCAGAAATATCCATAAATAGAGGTTATATTTTTACATTACATTTTTATTTTACCTTTTTCCGTGTATCTGGTGAGTGATTTGTTTCAGTTCCTGATTGGTAAATACGTCAGAAGCTTCTAAAACATTCAATAAATGTTCTGCCTTGGAAAGGTTTGGTACATGCAGAACGGCGGTGAAAGCAGACAGCATCTCCATCTCTTCCAATACTTGCCTATAAAATCAGAAAACAATCATATATGCTAATTGTGATAGACAAAAAAAAACAAACCTTCTACTCGACGTACACAAAATAAGCAATTTTTTGCCCGGAGGGGGTTGTTTTTTGAGTAGCACCAAAAGAGCTTGCAAAGTCAAATTGGAATACCTGGGCCCAATCGGGCCGTAGTCTAATAATCTCTCAATGTTATCGACTAGAATACAACTTAAGGTTGAACGGTATGCATCGTCAAAAATCTGAAATCAAACGGATATTTCTAAAATAATACAAACCTCTGTAAAACTTACTTTACGAATTGTAAGACATTTTGCCGTTTCCGTAAAGCCCACCATCTCTTCAGGAGAGCAGACCTTAACAAACGGAAAGTCGGAATTCTTCGCTAATTGGGCGGCCAGTGCAGTTTTTCCTGAATTTGGAGGTCCTTCGATCAACACCGATACTAAACCTGAAGTATCTGTCGCTCTGGCCTGCTGAATGAATAGCATACCATCCTCCAGGATATTCGTAACTGGAGGTCCCCAATTAATAACTCCACGTGCCAAACATTGATTTAAGACTTCTTGAGCAGTACCAAAAGCCTAAATGACATCCCAAGAAATAAATATTTAGATTGATATCGAGTTTCTTTTGATATAAAGTTGCACTTACAGGTTTGATGTCATTTTCTAAGGCATGCATAAAGTCGGTACGTGTCACAAGTAGCTTTTCAATAGCCTCAGGATCAACCTCTACCTTACTTGAAGCTTTGATCAACCTATTCATAGCTGTTGATTGCGCTGCTCTGACCAAACCTTCCAGCTCGGCACCAGAGAAATTTTTGGTCAAAACTGCCAGTTCCTAAGAGAAAGACCTAGTGTTCATCACTTTGAACCTATTTTCCTCAATGTTAAAATTTTTCTGACATCTAACGATACAACATAAATCGCAGTCTCATTTCACTGTGTGCGTTTGCATTGGCAGCAATAGTTTAGCATGGAAAATATTATATTACAAACACTTCATAAATTGATAAATTGAAAGCATGTTTTGGAGGTACCTCAATCGGTATAGAAAAAGTGCTTCAAAAATTGGTTCAAGCGCATGTAAAAGCATATTGATCTTCATGGAAAATATTTTGAAAAACAATAACGCCATACATTACTCTTTATGCCAACACAGGCAGTAGTAAGGAAAATTTAAAACGTCATGGAGACACAATTGCAGAATTCTATGTTGAAGAATCTGGGCTCAACAAAACGAAAATGGCAAAGAAGATTTTAGGTGAAGGTCAAACTGAGAATACAATTATTACCAATGATAATTCTACTAAAGGCTTACAAATTGTTAACATAGATAATAATAATAATTGAAACTCCTTTGACTTCAGGAATTTAACAAAAAATAAGTAGATTTGTTTTGTATTTGTTATTTTTCTGTTTACTTTGTCATAATAAAATGATAGTGATAAGTTATAATATCTCCATTTTTTTAAATTATAAATTTTTATAGTTGGCGATAAAATATTGTATGCACCACATCAGTAAAAAAGTGTCTTTAATGAATTCGCCTGTTACTCGCCTTGCTCACTCGGCTCATAATCTCAGTCTCGTTCAATAAAGAATCACTTTACTGACTTAGTACATAAATAACTACCAAAGACACTGACTTAACAAAATAAAGATAATTATAAATACAATAATATCAAACACTATCATATGTAGATGTACACTCGACGCAAGGTAAACGTTTCCAATCTGAATCGTATTTTGTTTGAAATATGACGGCTTAACCGCTTGTCTATATGGGGAGATCCCATTAAACTCGTGTGGCAATATTTTACCGTCACATCTGACATTTTACGAGTTTTGTACAAAAATGCTTTCCTGGTAGATTGGCATTTTTAAAATGGGACTAATCGTCAAACTCTTATAACAGACCCCGTATGCATTGTTTATTATTTTGTTTCTATTAAAAGAGTTACATTTATATTACAATAGAAAAATCGATTCATCCCAGTTAATAAATCTTGCGAAACGTCTACTACCTACTTACGAATAGTTAGATTGAATGGATTTAAGAAAATTAAAAATTTAATTTTTTTTTGTAATTTTGAAAATCCTGCAGTTCGGAAACGGCGGCCTTAAGAGCCTACGTATGTGTAACAAAATTTACTTAATTTTAGCCACATAATGGGCCTCTGGTTTTTTTCTGTACGCCATTAATAAACACTGTATATGCCTGCAATAAAATCAGTTGAAGTGTCTTATAAAAGTTGTAAAGCATACAATTCTACATAAAAATGGCCTCTTGTCTTTTTCTTGTACTATTAAAATTAACAGAGTTAGGGAGGCTGGAAGCTTAGGGAAGATTTCAGAAATTTAAAAAAATCATAACAAGCAGAAAAATGAATGATTTTGGAATTTTTTTTTTACAATCTGCTCTAAAAAATGTAACTTTTCTTTTCAGAGAAATAGATATAATTTTTAATTTTTAATAAGAAAGTTATAACAATTTAAAATTTTTAATCGTTAATTTTAATGATGTAATAAAACTAAAACAATTTTATTTCTATTCTATTCGATTGATTATTTAAAATAATGAAAAGTTGCCTTCGAATTTTTTTTTACGTTTGTCTTTTAGACAGATACAAATTTATTTACCTTTTTATATTTTGAATTTTATTTAGCTCTTACGACACTGCCGGGACAAAGATAAAAAATCACGTTCGCTTTGTCGCACTCATGGTACCGAAGTTGTGGACAACTCGTATGCTTATGACAAAGATTGATTATTTCGTTCGCTATTGTCAATGCGCGTGCGTCAGTAAACGTGTGTTTCTTTAAATTATTGTATACTCAATATCCATTGTTAATCTCAAAAAGGTAAATACATATTAATATGGACTAATATTCTTTCTTTTAGCCGTGATAACTCAGGTTCTAATCAATATTTTGGAATGAAACAAAATGGAAATTACTTCTTATAAAAGAAAAAGAGTTGAATGAACAGTATGACGATATTTCACCAAATAGAGATACGCTCTGGGAACATATACAAAATATTTGGAACACTATAGACGTGAATTATATAAGACGCCTTGTTACATCTATGCCAAACAGATTACAAGCCGTTATTAATTCGGATGGTGATTGGACATATTATTAGACTGTTTTGTTTTTTCATTGTTTATAAAATGATGTCAAAATAGGTAAATAAGTTCATAATACTTCCTGATAGATGTAAAATTTAAAAAAATCCTGTTTTTCTAAATATTTTGAAAACGATTTAAGATATTACACTAAGCTTTGGTGTATAGTATAGTGGCAGTGTAATATCTTAAATCGTTTTCGAGATATTTAAAAAAAAACGGATTTTAAATTTCTTTCTACATCTACCTCAAAAAGGAAACATTTCCAGACCCATAATGTCATGAACTTATTTACTTATTTTCACTTCCAGAACACGTCCTTAAAATATTTCCCTTTCCTCCCGAAACTGTATGTTATAATAAAACTGTAGTTTACAATATTTTTTTATTTTGTTGCCTTCATGACCTATCTACCTACTTTCTGCAGAATATGACACAAATTCTTATTTCAAAATATTAATTTTCTCAGGGACAAGAAAAATAATGTGGCAAGACAAAATAATTTCAAAACCTGTATACTCTTTTCTTTTTATAATGCATATACTTCAGGCCTGCAATTTTTTGTTCTGTCGTTACACATGTGCCTACACAAAAAAAATATGACACGCTCCTAATTATTGATGCCTACCAAAATTCCTATTAATAGTCCACCGGCTCGCCCCTTTAAAAGTAGTATGCCTTTTAGGTTGGAAACCTTTATCTTGCATCGAGTGTATATACAAAATTCTGAAAGTGAAACTAAGATCAGGGTTGTTCCCACACTAATAAATAATGTGCTCAGATTTTTCCAAAATTACACTAAATTTTATACAATTGTACTATTTCATAACTTATGACCGTCAAAGACACTAAGGCACTATAAATTTTGCAAACGTAAATTAAAATCTGGAAAAAACATCTACCTGAAATTTTATTTTACATCCAGACTAAGGGAACGTCTTTTTACTGTGACATGAAATTACCAATACACTTATTTTACAGAGACAAAGACTATTTATCTCTGATGAGTAGGTAATAACTCCAGAGACAACTTTGTAAATTGTAAGTAACCCGATAAGAAAAAGGAATATTGTCCAGCAGAAAATGTTTTCAGCTTGAAGTACAATCAACAAAGAAATATAATAGGGAATAGGACGAGAATTTAAATGTTCGTGAATGTATAAATGTTAGTAAGGAATAAGGATGAAAGGAATAAATTGTGATTCACTGAAATCAAAAGGTGTTCACCTCGAGTTAATTTTGAATTGTATTATAAATTGCACACAGGTACTATCATACTTTTTTAAACAGAATTGTACGAATTTAGTACAACGAAATGCTCAGGAATATCCCCGAATAAGATTTAAGAGATGAGGAAACAACTACTCTATGGGCTGTAGACTAGTATTGGATTGCACCACAATTAAATACACCTAGAATCATGACCCAGCCGAACCCACCCGTTAGTTAGTTGCCATAGCTGCGACAACCGTTGAACGAACTAGCTGCTTTGATCACTTAACTCCAGGAAAGGAGTAATCAGTAAAAGATGTAACTGAGTGCAATATCTACTGGTGACTGCTATTAATTCTCTAAGACAAGGGTCGGCAACTGGCGGACCGCAGTCCAGGTCCGGACCGCGAAAGGTAAAATACTGGACCGCCAAAAATTGTTTGAAAGTATAAATTACTCAAATAAATTATTTAAAAAATGTTTTTTTACGTTTGAGTGACAACCTTATCATTTTTTCTAGTATTTTACAATTGTGTAAGTGTTTTGAGTTCTTAATGGTTACTAAGCAGATTAAATTTGAGTTCAAATGAAAATTTGTAAGAAATATGATTTTTTCCTGGACCTCGTTAAAAATTTTTAAAAGTATCCGGACCCCACCTAAAATTACTTGCCGACCCCTGCTCTAAGACCTTCAAAGGGGTAAAAAAATTGACATACAGCGACCTATATTGCAAGTACTATGAAAGTATGAGCAGTGTCGCCCCGTAGAGTAGTAGTTGTTGAATGCAATACAGTATAAACTCTTTTTAACGAATCTTAAGGGACCGAGGATTTTTTTCGTTATAAAGTGTTTTCGTTATATGGAGGAAAGAAGGAAAAATCCTCTCCGTTCATTTTACCGTAGGTAATATTATGACGGTGCTTAAATTTTCCAAGCCAACCTTCTGATGCTTTAAAGTCAATAATGCCTAGTTGTTCGGCAAACTTCTCAGCCTTGGCATTAACAATTGGCCCCGAGATGGGTACATTATTCTGGCGCTGATTGTTAAACCACGACAACATTGTTTGAGCTAAGTCTTCGAATTTTGGCTTCCTTAATTTTTTAGTAGACACTCCCTGCAGTTCCGCCTGTAGAATTGCTTCTTTGTTTCTCCAAATGGTAGCAACAGTAGATGGACTGAGGCCTAAACGTCATCCAACATTACTTTTCTTTTCTCCTTTTTCTATCGCACGTATCAAACAAACTTTTTCGTTAACACATAACACTTTTCTTTTACTGGCCATCTTGACAGTTTCAAAGTAGGTTTACGACTGATAATACACAATAGGTGCCTAGTGCGTTTAGTAACTGAGTGCAAAATTTCCTAGAAACAATGTAATTCAAGAGTAATGGCACACGTGTTCGAGGCAATTAGCACCCTCAGGGTCTTTCTTAAAAATTTCGGCACCTCAAAGATTTAGTCGGAACCTTTTATAAGCTGATTATAAAAACAATTACACTATTAAATACTTCTGTAAATATTTGCTGGCGTCTAAATATGAACATATTTCTTCGTAATAGAGAATGGCTATTGCGTTATAAAATGTGTATTAATGTATGGGTTTTGACGTAAACCAACCAAATTGACATAATTTCTATGTTATAGGAAGTTTTTCGTTATAACGAACGACGTTATAAAGAGTTTACACTGTATCACCTCTTAAAACTTCTCTTTCGTCCTCATTGTAGATCTTAGGCAGTTAGTAGCAGTGACTTGTAACTACTGATTTAACAATTTATAGTTTTGGTGAATGTGAAGAACATCTGTACAATAATGAGATAATCATTCGTGCAAAAAAATACTTAAGATAAACTAATTTCTTCATTAATTCGAAAATTATGTATTTTGAAGATGAACTTGGTTCTTTCTTAATCTGACAATTACTAGTACATTTATATTATTTTGAAAAAACGAAACTGAGTAAAAGGAGTAATAAAATGCTTACATATAAATCGACTTCTGGACTAATTTTTTTAAAGCGCTTCATCCTATCCGTGTGAATATCTAAAATCTGCACTCTCCCTTCCTCATTTGGCAAACTGATTTCGACTTGAACCTCTAATCTACCTGGTCTGAGTAAAGCTTCATCTATCATGTCTCTCCTATTGGTCATACCTTGAATAAATGCGATTTTCATTAATGACTTCTTAAAAATAATAATATGGACATACCAATGACAAGAATGTTATTTAGTTGTTCCACGCCATCAATTTTGGAAAGTAACTGGTTCACAACGGTGTCGTGAACACCTGTATTTCCAGCAACTGAGCCTCTCTGCTTGCAGATGGCATCGATTTCATCAAAGATTATAATATGTAGTCCGCTGTTGGGGCCTGCCTAAAAAATGTGATTCAAATAATATGTGAAATATTGCTTAATTTTAAATTTAACCAACTCTCATTTTTAAATTGGCTTGTAATAAAATATAATGTGGAAATTTGAATTCTTACCCTTTTTTCCTCTTCTTCGGCTTCAGCAAAAAGCCTCCTCACATTCGCTTCTGATTCACCAACATACTTGTCCAAAATTTGTGGGCCGTTGACAATTTTGGGTTCTCTAGCATTTAACATTTTACCAATCTGCCTTGCCATCAGGGTTTTTCCTGTTCCAGGTGGTCCATATAGTAAAATACCTTTAACATGTTTGCATCCCAATTGTTCCACAATTTCTGGAGGAAATACTCTTGATGCAAATGCGCGTCTGAATATGGCATTGAATTCATTGCTCAAACCACCAATTCCCATTTTCTGAAAGTCCCAATCTGGATTGATTATAGACTGACGAATTTGTTTCCTAAAATAAGCATTAAGACAACTAGGTGACATAAAAACTTCTGTATTTTTACCCTTTCGATTTGCCCACCAGATTGAGTGAGGAACTTTCTGCTTTTTCAAACTGAACCACCGTATTTGGAATTAACTGACCTAACTTTGCCTTCCTTGGTTTGGCCTCTCGTCCCTCTTTAATCGCACCAATACCTACAGCTACAAATACTAATATTTAGATAGTTTGTTCGTACTGGATTTAAATAGCTTACCTTCGATATCCTTTATAACTAGCAGCAAGAGCTTCTTATCTTTAAAGGCAAATGCTAACTGTTGACCAACTGTGAAAATTTGATTAGGAAAACTGTATAAAAACTCCTTTGCCATTTCATCAGTGTCGTATTGTTCTTGGGAAGTTCTAAAATATAAATGATTTTCACATATTTGCCATGAAAATTATTTTCTATTACGCGCGCTCGCTATGGGACCTATAGCGTAGGGGGTTACGTACACGGAAAGTGCCAGATAGTACTACGGCGTGATGTTATTTTCATAGCGCAACGCTATAGTTCCGATAACAACTCGCACTTGTGATAGAAAATAGTATGTGCAACTCGTTCGGAAAAGTTGCCAAAGCGCCACTTGGGCGTTTTCCGTCAACTGCGCCCGCGTGGCGCTATTGGCAACTTTTCCTCACTCGTTACACAATGTATTATTTGAAAATGTCTTACGTTTTCTTTTGCATATAGTCAGCTTCCAGAACAATTGATGATAGATATTCATCTGGGTGATACGGTTCCACATTGATATCTTGGTTAAGTGACAAAACTGCCCACTTTCTCTGTGGTAAACTGAATCCCACATGATATCTTGGAATAGTAGAATGTGATTTGATTGAAAATACAAAGTTTGGACCTCCTCCCGTATGGACTCTAATGTGCCTTTAAAAAAATTATGATTCCATAATATGAAGAAACAAATATAAAAACTTACTTTGCTCCAGGAAAATCTGCATCATTTACTACTGCACAGTTAGACAGTGATAAATCATCTGTTGGACACTTAGTGACTTTAAACACCGCCTAAAAGGGAGAAATATAAGTTGAATAAAAGACAGATGTTTAAAAATTATAGATAACAGACGATAATATAACCTATACTAGGTATATCATGCAATATTAATATAAAAATTAAGTACCATGTTGTAAAATGATAAATTAAGGCAAAAAACTATTTAGATCTTACTGCAATGCAGATTCGTGGAATTATTTAAGAAATCAATATTGAACTGAATTGTGAGTTCTGAGTTGGTTTATTTGCCAGACCAGATCAACATAACATAACCTTAAAAGTTCTATATATTTATAATACAATTAAAATCATGCACATTTTTATTGATGCATAGTTAAATTTATGAATTTTGGAAATAATTAAATAATTTCTAATTTAAGAATATGAGTAATGGACTTTTGAAAGCAATTAATAACTATATTTTTAAATATTTTTTGCTATTAACTTGGCTGAACTGAAACCACAGATAATGAAAAACTAAGAAAAGAAACTGAAACAGCATGAACTATTAGGAAATTTTTTGCGACTCAACAGATTGCAACAGATAAAATAGGTTAAACTACATACATACTTATAGTGAATTTTTATCATTATATAGTTAAGTGATCACTCTAAGTTTTATAACTATTAAATTACGTACGTACGTACAAATGCAATTTTTTTCTTAAATATCTAAATGTAGAGCAAGCTGTGCTTTACAAGAACAATACGATTTCTAAGTAGCGACAAAGGCATCCCACAAGGTTCAATTTTAGGACAACTATTGTTTATTATTTATTTATATGTCCAATTTTCCTTCTGGTTTCATATCTTGTATACAGTATTGTTTTGCTGATGACACTCGTGTTTTTTGTCATTTCATCCGCATGAAAAGTATTATTTTTAGTAATAGAAAAGACCGAATAAATTTTGTGAACCGTTTGGCATTTCGATTTCAATAAATGGTAGTATTCATTAGTATTAAGCCATATGTACTATTGGAATGTGGTATACAACATCTACTTTTTGTATTTGATACCAGTCAAATCCAAGTTTCAAAATTCTAGTTTATAAATTTACCCAATTATACCAAGTCTTATATGTATCTGAGTAGGTTTAAAAAAATACATTTTTTATCACAATGGTCGGGGTCGCTGTTCAATAGAGCTCTTATGTGCATTATATATTAATGCTGTTCACCGTTGATGCTTAGTTATTTATAATAATTATAAATAATATGTAGTAGTTTCCTTATTAAGAGTTATCTGTTCATGGACTTATTTAAGTCTATAATGACTGTGAACTGAAGGATTAGTTGGAAAACAGATGGCTACGTCAATAGTTAATTATAACTTACCTTTACCTCAACTATAATTTTTTTCTCGTTTAGTAACTGATCTTTGTTTGTGTATAATAAAGACCTTTATTATTATTTTAACACAGTAACAGCAAACGGCTGTCTATACACTATTAAGGGTCAATATTTTCTGCTTTGTTTAGGATTTAAGTGACTAGTGCCTCGATAAGTGCAAATAAAAAAGCCATTAATTGTAGAAAACAATGTTTATAAGAACAAATGTACAAGTTTTGAAACAGTTTTACAATAAATAATGCCTTATAAAAACAATATTTCAATTTCTTTTTTCATACATCCCATTCTATCTAGAAGTGGAACAAAAAGGAAAAATAATAAAAAACTGAATTACAAAATATATTATAATAATTTATTTAATTTTGTACAAATAAAACGTGAAATATAAAAACAACTTCAGGGTTTTGTGTTTTATTAGAAGTAATACGCTCATTATTAACAAAAATCAGTCAAAGAAACAGTACACGCTATCGAACAAAACACTGCACACTGCAATATATAAAAAATGTCTCTTAATTTACTTCACATTCTATAACTCATCGTGGTCTGGTTCCTGAAATAAACAAAAAAAAATTATTGCGGCTTACTAATTCATATTAATAATTATACAGGGTGTTAATTAAGAGCATGCACGCACTTTAAGTAGTGATTCTTTCAGTTATTTTAAACCAAAAATGTTATATAAATATAGATCTGCAAATTGATAATTTTTAAGTGTTGAAATTTAAAAAAAATCCATCCATTAAAATGTAAAATAATCTTCACAAGCCACGTGACTGCCGAGCTTAGGCAACCAACTTTGCACGGCTGGTAGTGTTAAGTAAAAATTCCTAAATCTTTTGTCACCAATACTAACTTTTTTAAATTTTAACACTATCGATTTACTGACCCATTTGATGCAAAATCCCTCAAATATTGACACTCTGTATCTTAAGTTGTAAAAAGTAATTCCATTTTGTAATTTTGATCTTTGTAACTTAAGAAATATTTGTTTTTAATAAAAAAATTTCTGTTTACCTCGACTTCTGGGACTTGCTCCTCGGCTTCCTCATCATCATCATCCTCCTCATCCTCCTCACTATCCTCCTTCTTCTCGTCCTGTTTAGCTGCATCCCGTTCCGCCTTATCCAAAGCCTCTTTGGCAGTCTTTTCCCCTTCCTGCGTCTCTTTCAGGCCTGCGATGGCTTTCTTAGCGTATTCCACATCGTCCGTGATCAACACGTTGTCGAAAATGGTGCCAGACTTGACCTGCCACAAATCGAAACCGAGACCGCAGATCTCGTTTTGCTTGTAGAGATTAGAATCGGGCGTGTACTCGGGATTGTCAATTTCGGGATGGACCCATGGACCCTTGTAAGCTGGGTTGTCAATTTGTTTGGGCTGCCATTCGCCCTTGTACTCGGGATTGTCGATCATGGGTGGTTCCCATTCACCGTCCATCTCGTCATCCCAGTCGTCAGGCTTGCTGGCGTCTGGGTCGGGAATGTGTTCGGGCTTGTCCCAATCTTCAGGTTTGGTGTCTTCGGGGTCTGGGATTGTAGCGCGATCGTCCCAGTCCTCGGGTTTCTTGGCCTCGGGATCCTTTATTTTCTTGGGAGGAAGGAGGTCCCAGTCCGCTTCGAGTTCTCCGCCTTCAACCTTCTCGCCATCAATTTGTACTTCGTAGGTGTTGTCTGGCTTGATTATCAGGGTGTAAGCGTGAGTGTACACATCGTCCTGTAAAAATTGAAATAAAGGGTGTTACTTTAAAAGATTTTGGAGTTCTGTTGTTTGCATAACAACAATGGTTTTATTAGTCGTTGTATTAAGAAACCCACCTCTGTGGTCTTAAAAAAGGGGCCAAAGTGACAAGTTTCTTTATAACATGTGAACTTTGGAAAAACTGTTGGTAATATAAGTTTTTTGGAATAGTTCAACAACTGGTTGTAGCAACTGCAGTCCCTCTGTTGAGAGAGTACCCCAATTTATTGTCGTGCATCTTTACAGCAAAATGATTACTGAAGGTGGACACATCAAAAGAATTCCACTACTTTTTCCTTTTAGTAGCTATGAAATACAGAAATTATAGTAATTTTTAGTTTCTTAATTTATTCTAGAAATAAATCACAAACAAACCCCCAATAACTAGTAATTACTGACAAAATTAACAGTTTTTTGACTTATTTACACTTTTGCAATCTGTGTACTGGTTATATTTCTATTCTATATTATTCAAGTTGATAATACAGTTTCGAGAGTGCTCTATAATCACAAAAATAAATTACGAATAAACTTAGAATTTCTATGAATTTTAATACCAACATTTAATAATGACAATTTTCTCCATTCCGTACAACTGGAACTCTGCCAAATTGATTTGACGCATCTACCCGTTGCTCTCACATACATGTTTATATTCGAAATGATTTGTCGAAAGAAAAGCTTTAGATAAAAATATAACTGATAACTCAATTCTTTTATGGCTTGAATAATTACCAAAAACGTGATCACTTTTTGAATGAATAATCTGATTTGATTTTTCTAACGCTTACCTTACACCTGATGTCCTTGGTGATTAGATGGTTCTTGTCCTTATAGTTAAGGATGACGTGCACCTTCTTGGTGCCAGGACCACAAATGTCGGGTCCAAACATAAGCCTGTACGGAGACTCGCCATGCATGTCCTCTGGTTCAAGAGAGCAATCGAATACTTTAACATATCCGCCACCGCAATCAATGTTCTGTTCATGTTTGACCGTGAACTGTACAACCAAATCTTTGCCCTCCGTAGAGAAAGGACTGAATTTCCTACTTAAAGCATAGAAACGTGCATCCTCGGACGTTTGAATACCTGGCAAAGGGCAGATTATTCAGCAAAAATTCAGACACAATAATGCACTTGATGAAATACAAAAATGTCGTAACAACTTTCACATCTATGCCCATTTTTTATATTTTTTTCTGACCTATCCCACTTTTTGTCTCAATGTGTGGATACAATTTACTACAAAGTGCCCCAAAATTAAGAATACAAATTTTGACCATTTTGACTTGTCAAAAGTGATAACATTTTTCTAACAAATTTTTTTGCAAACTCAGATCTTTGTTCAGTATTTTGTACACATTAGAGTCATGCTAACAAACTGCCTATGGAATAAAAAATTCCCAAGTAATTTTGAATGATCTTAAAATTATTTACTACCCTAAATACTATATCAACACTAATTAGTTTCTATTTTATGTACCTCTTTTTGTATGTTATTAACTCATTTATTTTAACTTATTCTCCAGCAGCAGGTAATAAAAATTTAAAATTTTAAAGTATTTTATTATTTTAAAAGCTAGGTACAAGGTTTTCCAAAAACATTATTACAAGAAAGTTATTTAGACGAGTTAAACGCTTGGTTAAAATTTTTAGCACTTATCTGGGACACTCTGTATATTGTTCTTGGACACTTATAAATTATTTGAACTGTTACAATTCAGTCTTTTGTAAATACTTTTATCTGTACCACCCATGGCAAAAGTTTGAAGAATGTAGATAACATTTGATTAAAATTTCTTTTACTGTTAAACTTTTGATGCAGGTAGACAAAAGTATTTTTAATTTTATATATTAAAACAATTTTCTTGGATATTTTATTCTAGGTATTTATAATGAATTGATTGCAAAAATTTTGCTTTAGATTAAGAGGGGCTAAAGGTACTATCAGAGGTCAGAGGGTTTAAAGGTCTTAAGAAGGTGGAAATATAGAAGTTTGCAAAAATAACATTAAAGTTAATGCCATTAACAGCATTAATAAAGTTAAAAATAAATCTTAGAATTATGCAAATTACGCCTTTACAAAAAAAGTACTGATTAATGGAAGGGCTGTGAAAAACGTGCTTACGTACCTTTATCCTCTTCTTCATTATTGAAGAATTTTCCAGCTGTCCTTACGAACTTTCCGAACTCCTTTCCTGGGTGTTTACTGTAAATCCAGTTTTTCTCCCACGTGTCTAAAAAAATTATAAGGTAATGTAATGATGTACTATTTCTACTATTGCGGTAAATTAATTACAGGAACTACTAGAATATTTCAAACCGGTAAGTATTAAACGAAAATGATACATACCATCGTCGAATTTTTCTTCGAGATACACGTCGGCTTGTGCTGCATATAAATACGCAGATATTACACAGACTAATAAATACGACTTCATTTTCTTAAATTTACTAAAATAGCCCCCGACACGTCAAACTTATAGGACGTTTATTCCACAAATGCCAAAAAACAATCTTAGGTGTGTGTATGTTACTCTTACACCGCTAATATCACAGATAAACTAACTTTTCACTTCTCTCTCATATATGTAGGCTAATTCGAATAAGGCAAACACTCGTATGTCGGTGATAAGGGACGAGCTCGACAGATGGAACAATTTGATTGGTCGAAAAACTCCAGAGTTGTATTTACGTGGCTGTGATATCTTGGTTTCACCAATGTAAGGTACGTAGCGTTTACAACGACGTGAAGTACATTTTATTACTGATGGAACCTCTTTATTCGTCGAGTCGTACAGCTGGAGGATTGCTATTGGTCCGCTTCAAGTTGTTTTGCGATGTGGCGGGTTACGTTTGATATTCAAATTCTGTCGAAATGATAACGAAACAGCAAGACCACTCCAAAACAACTTGGATGTAAGAAATCGTACTGGCAGTATGTAGGCTAGACATGGAGAAAAAATATACCAAGAGATTAATAAAGTTAAAATACGTTTTCGATAATTTTATTATCTTGTACATATTTATTGCATATTTCTCAAAATACTATAATAATCCTCGCCTTAAAATAATTGATCGTTTTCAGATGGAATTATATGTAGACAATTTGATAGGGTCAGACGGCTTTGGAAATAAAGAACGATGGAATTTTAAAAGGACCGCTTCGAAATTCAAGGAAAGTAAAAAGTTCAACAATACAAAGAAACAAACTTGATCGCCTACCTTTGTACATTTGAAAGTAAAAGTAATTTTGCGAGAAGTGCATAAACCCAGCAAAATGTTCGTTGCTCTGAGATAACATGCTGTTTGTTGAGGGTAGAAGGGTGAGTTGATGTATTTTTTTGGCTACATCTTACTTCATATAGTTTAATTATGAAAAATTAGTGGTACATTATAAAAGCCCGAAGAAGTAGTTTACCTTGAGCTGGCAAAGACATCATGAATGACTTATTTATACTGTTAGGTCTTTTACACGATCACTGCAACCTGGTAGAAATTATACTAATAAAGATGAGGTAAGACTTAAGTTATAAACCATTACGCTATTTTAAATATCGCTTTATATAGATTGTTTTAATTCAATAAAAACAGTTACGGTTACTTTAGAAGTTATTAATTGTTAAAGTAAAATATAATATAAAACAGTTTCATTTAAATTGGTGTAACCTTTATTAAATAACAAAAAATGATCGTACTTAGTAGAGCAGTTTAACTTTCTAAATTATGCACATTTTAGTGAAAAGGATGTAAATCCGTATTTAGTAATTTAAATTTCCTCTGGTTATGAACAAAAGAACATGCTGCATACATAGTGTTTGTTTTCTTTTGTTTTACCTTTATTACTATGACTTTCACAAACCGTCGGACTCTTGGTGCAATATTAGCGAGGAAACGACTAGTTTACTGATGTTTTTTTCCAGACTTTATAATGAAAAATGTCTTCATTAAGCGAAAGGAAGATAAAAGACGTGCGCGATATTTGGAACTGCAACAGAGAGTCGGACAATAAGGAGAACCCGAAAGTTCCTATCGATAACAATGTGGACAACAAGGCGAAGCACAAGTATAAAACCCTGGAGAGACACCTCAGCATGAAGAAAACGATAAGGAGGAAAATGATGAGAGATCTACGCGAAATTGGCGATGCCACGTCGGTCGAAAATTCCCAAAACGAGACTGCTAGTGCCGGATTTTTAGAACAAATTAAGAACGATCAACCACCTCCTGCCAATATTGACAAACCCAGTTTGTGGAAAAGATTGACCAAAGGTTGGGGACATTAGATAACGTAGGTACAATAACCCTTTAGTGTTTCTTTTAATTTTTACATTAGTTATGAGTGATAAATGATTTTGCCAAAAGAGGCACTAATGCGGAATTTTTTAGTGATATTGTTAGCTTTGGCCTTAGCTTTAAGATTATGCTGTTCCTAAAATTTTTAATATAATTTTTATGTTTACACGTCGAGTTGTTTTCACAGTAAAATGTTTTAAATGACTTCGTTAGCTGCCTACTTCAAGTGTTTCAAAAAGTTTGAAGTTAATTTACAATATTTTGAGATACTTATTAGATATCAAATATAGTAATCAATATGTGGTATTTTATTATACTTCTAGGCTATTTTTAAACAACTTCTGTACTTATTATTTAAAGTACTTTAATTTGATTTTTATTGTTAACTTGAAAAATTTAAAATGTTTTGTTGTGATGATTCGAAAGACTTAAGGGATGTTATGCAGGTACTTTTATTATCTCTGTAATAGATATTTGCCTATGAAGATATGTGGTGATGTGGAAGACTAGGGTATACGAGGCAACAAATAAAATATGTTATTTCTTTAAATATTTATTTATAATAAAAATGTTACCAGGTCCCTTTATACGCTGTATATAAAAATATCTATGATTGTTATAACTTGAATTGTGTAAATTTAACAAAAGAAATATACATTTTTTGCTAGAGTAGTTCTAATATTGTTTTGCTTTAATTAATAAATAAATTATTATTTATTACCATTATTTTACTCCAGTTCCTTTTTAAGTAAATTTTGTCAGGTATCTGTGCATGGGCGGGTTCCTATTATTTTAAAGGTCAGAATATATTAACTGAAAATAACTTAGAGAAAAAACTTCTATTAAAAATGATAGAGGTATTATACTTTTTACAAACATACAAATTAGATTGGAAAACTCCTCCATTATTTATAGAAATATATGGTATCCATCAACAAATTAGTCATAGTCAATTGCAAACACTAAAAATAACTGTTACATAAAAGTGGGATTTAATTATTAGAATAATTTTTTCTTTCATATTTATATTCTGGGTGTTAAATACTTTGCCTTCATTTCGGATAATTTTTTTTAGAAATCAAGTTCTATGCCAGAAATTTTGTATATCTAGTTTAACAAATAAATGTTACATTTAAAATTTCAAAGAATTTCTTAGAAAGCATGTAACATTACAGGAATATTCATTCGTACATTTCCTATGAATTTTTTGCTACTGTTATCAATGAAAGTACTTAAAATGTACCTAAGGGTATCATCGATGTTTATTATTTTGATGCTATCTACAACCCGAGTGCGCAACGAGCCGCTATCATAACCATAATTTGAAGCAATTTGTTTGCTCTAGGTAATCTTATATTTTTATTGCAACAATAATTTACCAGACAGTGTAGTAAACAGTTACTACTCTGACTCAACTGTATACTTCATATCCAGTTTTTCTTAATTTAAAAGCAGAATAAGTTATTTATGTAAAAATTAGTGTAAAATTTAAACAGCAATAAACATTGTTATTTTATAACAATAAAGACATAAAAACATAAGACTAGGTACGTAATTTTATAATGTTGCGATGTGTATCAAAAACAACTCAAAATATTCCTCACTGGCATTCACAAACCTTTAAAGTTTTCCCTTGTACTATACGTGAAAAATTTGTCAAATATTAATCAAAATGGAAAAGGATTACTGCAAAATGCAGTGAATTGTACTGTTTCACTTATATCCTCATTTTTTGTGTGGTGATAATAGTTGTGAAAGTTCCCTGAAATTTAGCGAAATGTACAAAATAATTTTTGACCTCGATTCTAATTTTCATATTTTTGTTCCCAATTCTCAGACATTTAAAAATAAACAGTAGTTATAGAAACATTTAATGTTTGGGCAATTCCTTTTTTATAGCTCTTGCTTAAAATAGTTAGCACACAACAGAACTGTGATGATAAAATTGATATCATTAAAGGTAGAATCGCGAAAAAAACTACACAATTAATTTTTAAATAGTTAACCACTGGGAACAATATGCCACAGCTTGTTCAAGTCCGCTCAGGTATCAGAACTTAAAGATAAAAAAAATGATGACACATTTTAGAGCTGTATTCTTTTCGAGTTAACAGTATGCATGATGATCATTTTCGTGATATCTTCGACCACCTCTGGATCTCTGCTGCTAAATGAGCTAAAATTAAAGTAAAAACTGCCCTTACGGACTTTTCAGCTTAGAACCAATCAAATATTAGTTTTTTTAAAAAAAATTCATGGTTATTTTGTTAAGATATGAATTGGATTGGTTAAGGAAATACAGTATAAAGAACTTTTCTCTATTTTTCATTCATATACAGGATGAATCCAGTTTTTCAACAAACCTTAACAGTTGATAAAATAACTCATGTCAAGAAGGTTCATATAGAAATAGATCGTAGAATGCTGCGTTTTCAATATACTGAATATTTGATGAAACATTTATATTTATTTACTCAATTATATGTAAAAATTCAATAAATTGGTTTACAAATGCATCAACCAATCGCGGAGATACTGTGGGTCAGTGTCGTTCAGAATCATCTTGGATTCATGATAAAATAGATCTAATTGTCACAACCGTTTCTATGAAAAATACAGATTTGTTATGAAAACCACTTTATATTTTTTCTTTATTTTTTGGGTATTTTGCCACCTGTGAAAAAATTAAAAAATTAGTGAAATAAACCCTTGCGCCAAAAGAATCGGTCAAGGTTTATTTTTATGAAAATAGTTTTGCCTAACATAAAAATCTCACACTGAAAAAAGCAGACAAATATAGAAAATACAAATACACCACTTTGAAAAGTTGTTAACGTTTTCAAAATCTATGTTTGTTTTCTGAAAAAAAATAATAAATAAATAAAATAAAACTACGAAAGTATAACTAAAATGAAAAGTTCTGAAGACGAAAACAGATAGATTTTCAAAACGTAATGTGTATTTTGTACTCTTTGTAACTCTGCTTTTTTCAGTGCAAGTTTTTCTGGTTAGGCAAAACTATTATTATAAAAATAACCCTTGTTCGATCATTGTGGTGCAAGGGTTTATTTCACTTATTTTTAAATTTTTTCACAGGTTGCACAATACTTATATTTCTTCAGATTCTCTAAAAAACTAACATATAAAAATTAATGTCAACTATATGTATTTCAAGAAAAAATGAACACCCTAGTGCAAAAAGAGTATATTGCTAATATATAAATTGTTCAGATGCAAAAGTTTTTTTGTCAGTGTACTTTTCGTTATCGTATCACTTAGCTAAATAACTGCATTTATGCAACGATATATCCAAAAAATTATTTGTGGTGCATTTTTATCTGCGTATGTTATTTTTTTTCAAATTTACACCATGTGGAATCAGTGGATAAATAATAGTCAAAATATTTTTCCATAAAATTATTACATACTTATTATTAACAAACAGGGAAAAAAATCAAAGACAAATATCAAGTTCAAAAAACCATGTGGCGTAAGAATAGAATAAGTGTCATGCAACTTTTTAACTAAAACAACTACTTGTGGGATATGCTGAGTATACTCCTCCAGTATTGACTAATTTTCACTATATCTAGTAAATAGCTAAGATCATTTGTCAGGAATCACCAGACAGACTGGATTTGAACTTATTAGTTGTTATACAGGGTGTTTCAGTTCGAGTGAATCAAACTTTAACCATAAATAGAATTCTATAAATAATTCAGAATTGCCTTATAAAGCAAGGGTCCAAGTCTCACCGTTTTCACTGTACAGGGCCATACTGGTTAGTTTTTAAAACCATATTATTTATGAAATCTTTGCTAGGCTTATAACAAATTGATTCAAATTTGGTGTAGTGTTAACACGTACATAATTTACTGTAAAATTTATAAATTTTTGTAGGTCAGTGGTGTAAGAGTGGGTAGTAAAGCGGGATTTTTTTACCCCTACTTCTACGCCAATGACCTAATAATCATTTTGGATTCATTTTTAGATTCCGTGGACAATTTTACATAAAACAGGTATACTTGTTGAAAATCGATATAGAGTATGGTTTTACCGAAAATCTCAGTTGAATGATAAGAAAATCTTGAATATTCATCAATTTTTTTGCAAACACTAACTAATATTTCAGATTTAAAATTAATAAGTAGGTGTAATTTTTTTAAAGGAATTATATCTGTTTGAAACAAACGGACCATTGAATGAGCAAGGATACCTATAATTGCTTCAGAATGGCACAAATAAAATTTTAGAACATGCTCTCCACCAGACTGCAGCGCAAAAAAAAATTGAGCTCAGAGAAGGAATTCACTACATTACGAATACAATAAATAATGCACAAGGGATTATATTTCAAATTTACTACTACTAGTCGTTTTGCCGATGTAGAAACATTATTTAATATTGTTGTGAATTCTAAGGGGACATTATAATATTAATTTAAAATTTATTTCCTATCCTTAAGAAACTTAATTTTTTATCAGAAAAACGGAGATTTTTGGTAAAACGATACACAATATCGATTTTCAACAAGTATACCTTTTTTATGTGGAATTGTCCACGGAATCTAAATCCCGCTTTACTAACCATTCCTGACTGACCTATAAAAATTTGTAAATTTTACAGTTATAAGCACAGCAAAGATTATTTCATAAATATGATTTAAAAACCTTTATAAGGCAATTCTGAATTATTTATCCAGTTCTATTTGTGGTTAAAGTTTGATTCACTCGAACTGAAACACCCTGTATAACTTATCCTGTTCTGTTGTGATTTTATTTTACAGTTTGGTTTCTATTAAGCTCACAGATTCCATATTTGCACCAGACAAAAAAGCACAATTTTAATTATATCCACAAAAATCTGATTAAAAAAATTGGATGTCGACTTTCCTGCCCCATAGACTATAAATTTCAGATATAATAAGAATAGCATCTCTACCCTTCATACTAATCGCAAGGATTAGCCCAGAAGATGAGTACTTGTGCAGGAGAGGGGGTGGCAGATTATTATAAGTAGGCCGCAAAAGTCCAGGAAGGACTTACATTGGTAAGTCCTAACCACCGTTCAGTGCAGGAATGAGGAAAACCTGGAAAACTTCATTGATTAGTGAGATGGTCAAACAACGACTGGTATCAATCTGTCACATTCACCTAAGCCAACGTTTTTGCACCATATCATACCTGCGGAGAGGGTACCTAATTCTAATACAGCTGATCTACGGTCTTACAGCCATGGAAATCGAACTCGCAATAGTGGCATTCGTACATTCAAGTACTGACGCCTCGAAGTGCTCGGCCACCGACCGACATATGAAATAATTTGACAGTTCGAAATCGAATTTTTAGTAGTTTGTGAGATGTACCCTGAAATTCCATTTTACTTATACTGTACATTAGTTATAATGCCGCTTATTGAAAACAAAGTATAAAATCTAGTTGCCAATTTTAATACCAAAAATTGTTATATTTTATTTAGTATCTTGAAAAATATAGCATTACCCAAAATAGTCGCATATCTGTGAAAGAACTAAACAAAAAATATATAAAAGAGGGTTGCTATATAGATGACGAAAAACACAAAATGCAAAAAAATTGTTAAGGTTGAACGTTGCAGAATAATAAAGGAGAAAATTCAAAAATAATCATCAATACAACAAATGTATATTTCTTAACCAATTAACCATAAATATATACCTATGTAAAATATATATCATACAAAATATGCATTTCTTTCTTAAATTTATCTTCCTATTCAAAATCACATTACCAGCATCATGACCCAAACTGTTCCGTAATATTCTCAATAGGCTCAAAGGAATAACTACCTCTACCATCTAAATGTAGAACAAATTCGTGGTGTTGCCACAAAGACTTCCTATGAGAAACCGTCAGCAGAGTGATGCCTACATCCCTGCAATATCTGTACATGCTACCTTCCACGTCTACCGAAACGGCACTGGTACATTCATCTAAAATTGCAAACTGAGGCTGGTGATAAAACAACCGAGCCATTGCTATTCTCTGTTTCTCTCCACCACTCAAAATATCCAGCCAGTCGGCAACCGCGTCCAAACCCCCTTCTCTCTCAAGGAGGTAACCCAGCTGAACTCTACGGAGGTATTCCTCCAGTTTCTCATTTGTAGTTCCTCTCCTTGCGGCTTCGGCACCCGAATGGGGGTAAGTTAATTGGTCTTTGAGACTGCCGAGAGTCATGTAAGGCCTCTGGGGTATGTAAAACAATTTCCCACGGGGAGGTTTAGTTAGTTCACCTCCGAATAAAGGCCACAGTTCTCCTAAGATCCTAAATAGGGAGGATTTACCAGCGCCGTTTGGTCCGCAAACCAACACGTTCATCCCAGATTTAATTTCGAAAGACAACTCGGGAATGAGAACGTCGCCATTGGGGGTTATCAAAGGCACCTTATTGAATTTTATAATGTTATTCTTAAATATTAACTTGCCTCCGTTTGGTTTCAAGTTTTCTGCTCCCGCCACCATTGTTCTTTGATAATTTCCTTCGTTTAATTCCTTCAAGACGTTCCTTAACTGAGTTACTCTAGCGGTGAATCCAGCAAGTCTTGTCAAATCTCGACCCGCTAATACTAAACGACCAATCGCTTCTGCTAATTTCACCAACATCCTGCCGTAAGTGTAGTACAACCGAGACCTCTCATTGTTATTTGCATTGGCAAACATGTGTCTCTCAGTGAGAAATGGCAAAGATACCACCCAGAAACCCACCACACTAGCAAAGTATTTTGCGACTAGATTATCTATTATACCCATGAATACTTTGAATCGTAAGAATTTCCTCAAGTGATTCAACAATTTGTTGTAGCTAGCTAACAGAGTGGCTTTTTCTCGTTGGTTGCCATTGTAAAACGCAACTTCCTCCGAATGAGTAATCAGCCTGGAATTTATATGTCTGAATTCTCCTTCTAGTTTCTGCTCCCCAGCTGTCAATCTGGCTGTTGGCTTGCGTATGTGCGTTAGAAGTAGTCCCGAAACAACGAGATAACCCAACATAAAACCTGGAGTTCCACCTCCCAAGGTAGTAGATAGTTTATAGACATAAATACCTATATCTAATAGTGGTTTTGCAGTGTTGCAGTAAAGATCGGCTACACCCTCGCAGAACTTGTCCACATCGTTAGTTAAAAGCTGATCAGCATTGGCGATACGGTTGTCTAGGTTCGTTATGCGATAATAAGTGTAATTTTTCAGGTATTCGTCATACAGCCTCTTCGTCATATTTGTGCGCAGTTGGATTTTTAAGGCACCAATTGAATACTTCAGGACATTGTTAACAACAGATATTATGGGCATAGCTAAAAAGAAATTGATAAGCCGCTTCTTGAAGAGGTTCTTGTCCATCGAGATAATTGCACTGCAATATAAAAAAATTATATAACTAACTGCACTGTCAGGGGTGATATATTAGTTTCTTATATACAAAGTGTTCCAATTTAGGTGGTTAAAGTCAAAGAAACTATTGACAGTTTTCTTAATACACCTTGCTCCTATTTCCGTCACATTTAAGCCCCAATTTAAATAAAACATGGTGTTATATAAACTACTGCATACTTAACTAGTAATTAGAGAATTATGATTTGGGGGCAGAAGGATGAAAAAGAAACGCAATTGTAATGTAAACCTCTATTTTTGATTTCAACATTTTTACATAAAAAAGGCAAACTACCTTGAAGTCTAAAAAATTTACCCTTTATGGATCATGTTATACAACAAAATCGAAGTTTTTATGAAAAAAATGGCGGGAGCAAATTCTGGAAAAATTTCAAATAATTCAAACTACAGTCCAACCTCTTTAATCTGAACACACGTTAATCCGACCACAGGCTAATCGGAACGAACAAATCTGAACGATGACAAGAAAAGACTAGATCACTTCGCGCGTCCGCGCATAGTCGGCAGTCAGTTTGTTTACCGATAGCGAAGAACTTGTTGCGTGTCGTGTTTTGTGTAACAATTTTGTTACAGTTTTTAAGTTTGTTTGATTTTTTAACATTAAATTATTGCAATTGTTTATAAGCATGAAAATTGCGAAAATGTTTAAACAATCACCACGGCTCTCGTAATCGTCCGATTTGAATTTTTCAAAAAGCATTTTAAAGCTTGAGAGCTCTTCTTTTTGTGGTGAAATTTTCAAGTATTCAAAGGCTTTAGATTTTTAGAAATTTGATTTTGAAAATTCTTTAATTTAAAAAAATAAAAAAAATTAAACAATTATTATGTAAAAACTATCGAACCGAATTGGATGAAATTTGGTGTGATGATTCTATGCACTAAGAAGTTTAATTGGGAAAAGTATGAAGGTATTATTCAAGTGTCTGACAAAAATTGACAAATAAACTAGCATTTTTTGCAATTTTTTAAATGATTTTTCCGATTTTTGCAACAACAATAATTATTTTTTCGAATTGCAACTAACTCTATCTTGTACAAAATTTAATTAAAAAACTTTTTCCCTCTTCCATTTTTGTCTAAAATGAATAGTTGCTATGTTGTCGATGAGAAATCCAAGAGAAAAATGATTTTTTTTTGTTATTTTTAAATATTTTTTTGTAATAACAATTAAGCCCACGTTTTTTTTATTTGCATAGAAAAATTATCATTTCTGATGTTATTTAGAAGCCGTTAAAGCAAAAATCTCCAATCATATGCATTTTACCCAAGTACACCCTTTGTAAGACAGATACCGCCTGGACTACAGGGCATACGTAGAAAAATGAATATTATGAGATTTAGCTAAATTTCGATATTTGCAATTGTCTCGCACCATGTTAGAAATTTCAAAAAAACCTTTTGGGTTTGACGGGAACTTTAAAAAAATTTTAGTCATATTACATGAAAAAATATCACAGTTTATAAAATAAACAAGCAATTATAAAAACAAATTATGATTTCATTTATTTTTTCCAATTATCTTCAGACCCCAAAAATCAATAACACTATTTGACGATTTTTAGTTTCGAACAGGGGAAAATCGTCACACCGATGTTTTTATTAGATCTAATAATAAAACTCTTCTTCTATGAAAATTCAGTAAACATCACCAATTATGTAGTTGCTATGTAATAATAGAGACAATGAAAAAAACATTAAAAATGGTACCAAGTAGGACCACAGTTTATTAATAAAAATTAGGTGCAATATTTTTTTAGTAGTCGACATTTTGCTGAAGATGGAACACACTATATACAAAAAAATAAATGTATGTATATTGCAAGAGGTTCAAAAACTGTTCATAACGGATTCAAAAATATTTTATTTTTAATTTTTTAATACCGATGATTTAATATGATATATAAATACTTACAGTATTACTACATAAAAACAATAATATGTAAATAAAGATTAGTTAAAATATTAATAAACAGTACTGACCTAGCTTAAGAATTTGTGGATGAGGCTATTAAAAAAATTGTAAATATAAAATATAATTTCAAAACACCATTAAATAGTAAAACAGTATTTTATTAACAATATTTATAAATACTAATACTAAAACATCAATGGTTTTTCAACAAATTTTTTTATATTTTTTTAAGTCACGTTTCAGTACCCAAAATTATTATTTACGTTATGACTGAAAAAACAGGTTTATGATAGCATAAAATTGGATGTAGTCAATTAACTCTTCTTTTCCTTTTTACTTTAATTGTATTCTTGTTAGAATAACTAACAAATTAATATTATTATAGCCGAGAAAAGTAAGTTAATTTTACCTTTGAATATGGCATGTGAAACCAGCAAATAATTGATTCATAATTTAATCAAGTGAAAGTTATTTTAAGGATGTTAGGTAATTAAAAGTAATATTTACTATTTATTAATTAAAATGGCAATTAAGTATATATGTTCATTTAAAAAAAATAAATAAATATCTGTCTATCAATTAGCCCGTTTTTATTTAAATCATATCACGTAAAGTTTAATTGTGTAGGTATTTACATATTATACAGAGAAAATTTTCCATACAACTTTATTGTATTCAAATTATGGTAGGTACCTACCTAAAACGTTAACCTTCTAGCATATAAGTCAGCAGAAAGTAGAATTCAGAAAAAAGCCAGTAATTCACTTGCAGTTAGGAAGACTAATCTGTTTATAGGTAGGTATTCAATTCTTTTTATGCAAAAAATATATATATTTCCGGATGAAAGATTCTACGTTTTTACAATTGCAATTATCTTCAAATCAATGATAATTGTTCCAAATTACTCACCTTTCGATTTTTGTTCCATTGTCAATAAGCCAAAGGTCACAGATAGATCGTGAAATCAAACTGAGAGCAATTAAAAGGAACAAACCACTTTCTGAGCTTGCCCATCCCGGAACAGCAATTTTAAATAATTGTGTTAATTGTATGAAAAACTGTTTATCTACTTGAGCTTTTACTTTTATATCTTTCTTCTCTGAAATTAAATACTTCACTTCCTCTTCCACATTTTTTTTTCTTGTGCTACAATAAAACAAAAATAAAATAGGTAATAGAACATAAAATAATAAAGTAAAAATGAAATTACTGACCTGTTAACTTTTAAACTCCTATTTTTTCTTCTTGCGGCTAAATACCAAGCAACAGTTAATACACCTGCACCAGCAAGAGCATTGTTTTTATTTATTAATTTACTGTAATTTGGTGCCATCACATCATTCGTTCACTATTAACAATAAATAAAATTTTTAACGGTGACTACACTAGATAAATTACACATTTCATTTTCCCACCATATCGCTCTCTAGACAGTACAATTTTAGACTTTGAACATAATTAAAAACAACTTTTTGTAGTCAGGCTAGTTCATCAAGTCCTTCGATAAACTTCGATAAATCCAAATGACAGTCCCTCCACTCCCTCCCTCCACTACCCCGCCAGTCACTACACCGTCTCAAAATCAGATGATTTTATGCGAGCGACGAATGAAATACCTATGATAAAAAGAGATACACATTTCTGACATCACAGTAGGAACTATTTCTTTTTATAAAGGGTTTTGTCGCACAAAAAAGAAAATTAACGTACGTAATTATTCAAAAATGTAAATAATATCTGTTATTGCCATACTGAGGTCAATTGCTCAATCAGTAACCAACGAAAACTATTTAATGGAAGGGTACAAATACTGATACTTATTACTTAGTAGCAATCTAATACCCCAGAATAGAAGGGTTTTATTTCCGTGCTAATACAAGCTGTGCTAATACTACAATTCAGCACCCTCCTATTTGTTAAATAATAATAATTTATATTGAAATATTAAGAATCTGTTGCAAAAATAATAGTGAAAAAAAAAAGATACGAAACTTGGAGCAAATTGTATCGATTCAAATATTTGCGCTAAGATATGCACATAAATGTATGAAATCAGGGCAGCCAAACAATCACTCAGTTTTATGTAAATATAAAAAAAAAATGATAATGATTCATAACAAAAACCTATTCAGTTTTGAATACAATTATTATACTGTTAGTTTTTATTATTTTGGCATTAATTAAGTTTTTTAACACTATCATTCAAAAACATCTTTAATCTAGGGTTGCCAGATTGCCAGCTAACGATTACCGAACACCAGTGGCGGCTCGTGCTATATGAAAATGGGTGGGCACAATTAGTTATGTGTGTTTTGGGAGTGGGGTCACAGAAGACAGATGCACAGGCAAAACAAAAAAAAACACAACACTTGCAAAATGTGATCTGTTCATTTGTTGAAACTTGTCAATGAAATGGCAAGGCAGTTTGTTTAACCCTAGATGCAAACCTTCGCATATGGCATGGAGCTACCGCTTACAACACCAGTTCCTTGAGGTACAAGTTACCAGATGACGATGGTACCTAAACCTATTTACTAGAATTACCGAACAAATTTGTGTTCGGTTTGCCTTTCATTCCGGACACGAACAATTGAGTTAATAACCGAACAGTCCGGACGAAATCCGGACGGTTGGCAACCCCACTTTAATCCCCCAAAAAAAAAAAAAAATGAAAATAATATATCCAACCATGTTGAATATCATTTATGCCCCTAATCTTTATTATGCATATAGTTTGCGAATACTATGTGACATCACAGAATTCAACATAAAAAGAACAAATTAAATTGCAACAGATTTCAGACCTGAATTCTAGTCTAGTCAGAACGCTTTAGTTTTTTACATGATAAAACACCTTTAGAAAGCTGAGAAAAAATGTAACATGTAACTCTTAACAAATAATAATAGAAGCGAGAAAAATGTACACTCAGAAAAATTCGTTAAAAATGGTCTTCGACACGTGCTCTCAACATTTACGCCCCAAGTCTTGATTGTACATATATACTATTATGCATATTAAATAAATTTTAGTTTGGTTTTTACTTCTTTTGGATGCCGTAAAAAAAGGTAAAGGTCATGAAGGTTACCAGCAATTAGGCCATACTTGACCCTTTTTGCCTGCTAACTTACACTACCCTCCACCTTAACAATCACAAACATCCATGGGTACGACAGGAAAATTCCTTCGAATTTTCCTATTGCGTGCGGGATTCGAACCCACTACGGTTTTGCCGCACAGCCTGGTTCACCTCAAGGATTTTATTTGTATAAAATCCTTGGGTTCACCTCAGTAGGCAAGTCTTGGCCGCTTCGGCTACCGCCGCGCCCTTTGAATGCCGTAAGTATCTATAATAACAGTATAACAGTAGAATGTCTTGTGGTGTTAGCGTCACGAAATTGCACCGGGCTTTAAATTTTGGATGTCCAGTCGTTTAAAAAAAAAACGAAATCTGAGGACCCAAGATCAAAGGCAAAAGAACCGACTCTAAACGACCAACTGTACATATATAATCTGTGTAAATGTTTTGTGTCAATTGTCATTATCACCATACCAACATAAGAATAATAAAAAATAGTAAAAGTGAAAGGGAAGGGAAGTTCGATCAAACAATAAACACAACCGGTGTTTAAAATTTCTTACAATTTAAAAAAATGAAAGTAGAAGAAGTAAAGAGCACCGTAAAAACTCAAAGGATTAGTGCCCACAGCCATATCAAAGGTTTAGGGCTGGATGAAAATGGGTTTGCTATACAATCTGCTGCAGGATTGGTGGGCCAAGAACAAGCAAGAGAGGTTAGTTTTGTTTAACCGTTTATCAAACGCTACATACTAAATTTAAATGTATCGTATTCTTCTTAAATGTATTGTAGGCTGCCGGGGTCGTTGTAGATATGATTAGAAGTAAGAAAATGGCTGGTCGGGCAGTACTATTAGCTGGCCCGCCAGGTACTGGGAAGACAGCTATCGCCTTAGCCATCGCTCAGGAACTAGGAACCAAAGTGCCTTTTTGCCCAATGGTGGGTTCAGAAGTATATAGTACTGAGATTAAGAAAACAGAGGTGCTCATGGAAAATTTCAGACGAGCTATTGGATTACGTATTAGAGAAACCAAGGAGGTATATGAAGGCGAAGTTAGTGAACTTACGCCGGTGGAAACTGAAAGTCCAGCTGGAGGTAAGGACTGCTTTAAAAGTAAGATATTTCAATAAACGATGCTTATACTTTAGGTTACGGCAAAACTGTCAGTCACGTAATAATTGGTTTGAGGACTGCAAAGGGCAGCAAACAATTAAAGCTTGACCCCAGTATTTATGAAGCTCTGCAAAAGGAAAAGGTGGAAGTTGGAGATGTTATTTATATTGAAGCTACGAGTGGAGCAGTTAAACGTCAGGGAAGATCTGACGCTTACGCTACTGAATTCGATCTGGAAGCTGAGGAATATGTACCATTGCCTAAGGGAGATGTACACAAGAAAAAGGAGGTTGTTCAGGTACATATAGTTCTATTTTTAATTGCTTTTGACACTCTTTATAATTAGAGCTCAGAGACAGTTTCGTGCATATGTAAGGTGGAGAGGTAAATGACCTATATTATCTTTGCGTGTTTCATTTCATACTGTATTTCATGTGTTTATAGGGTCTGCTACTATTTTATTCTTATAAAATGTAAAAAATCATTAAATATTTTGCTGATTTACGTAGAAACAATTAGGAATCTTGTTTGTGGGGTTAGATATCTTTAGTATATTTAGATTTCAGATATTTAAGAACATTGTTTGACTTCAATAGAAGAATTTATGTTTTTTAAAAAGAAATTTAGTAAGAAGGGCAAATATCGCTTAGGTAAAAATACAGTTGACATTATTCTAGTTATATTTAACACTTTTAAAACTGTCGTTTTAAAATCTTTTTCTCTAAAAGTTTTTATATATAATTTCGTTATATCAATATTTATTACTTCCATTCACAAGGAGGCTACCTGAAAAAACAAATCTAACAAAACATGGAAAAATATCTTTCTATAGGGCTTTTTGGAAACTGTGATTAGATTAACTCGATTTTTTTTGTTTGCAAAGGGGACCGGTTAAATTTACAAATCCTTCGGAAAGGAATTGAGTTAATAAGGATTTAATTTACATGTTCTGATCTTTCTAAGCCGACACGATTAGGAATAACTGGACCAGCCGTTTTATCTAACAGTTCATGATTAACATCATAAATGATGCCCCCATAAACTTGCCCATTTTAATGAATATTATGAAAATGTATGCTTTGTTCTATGCTAGATTGTAGAATAACACACTAAAAATTTATGCTTGACTTTGACATCATTGAGTCTTAAAAAATGGGCCTACAAATTTTTCTGAGGGCCAATACTGTAGAAGGTTTTTTGCCTCTGTGCCCCCAAATTGCTATGGGTAAATTGAATACATTAGTAGAAATAGCATCAAACAACGTAGCTTTGACTTAAAAATTATGTAAATTTAATGAGAAACAAAGAAAATGTCAATGGAAAATTGATTTTCAACTTTGGAGTTCATGACTTCTAGTTTCTATAAGGTGAAAAAAGAATTCATATTCATTCGCATGTGTGTCGAGTTCTACATATGATAACTTTTTTATCATTAGTTTAAATTTCATTAAACTATTTTTTTTTTAGGATGTAACGTTGCATGATTTAGATGCGGCCAATGCTAAACCACAAGGTGGCCAGGATGTTCTGTCTATGATGGGGCAGTTGCTAAAACCAAAGAAAACCGAAATCACTGACAAATTAAGAAGAGAAATCAACAAAGTAGTGGACAAATACATAGACCAGGGCATAGCCGAATTGGTACCCGGAGTGTTATTTATTGACGAAGTACACATGTTGGACATCGAAACATTCACTTATTTGCACAGAGCTCTGGAGAGTGCCATAGCCCCCATAGTTATCTTTGCTACCAACAGGGGCCGCTGCCTCATAAGGGGAACTGATGATATTTTTGCCCCACATGGAATTCCTTTGGATTTGCTAGATAGGCTGCTTATTATCAGAACGATTCCCTATAACAGATCCGATATGGAGCAAATCCTCAAGTTAAGGGCTAACACTGAGGGATTAGAGATAGAACACGAGGCCTTGATATCTCTAGGAGAAGTTGGCACGAAGGCGACATTGCGCTATGCGGTGCAGTTGCTAACTCCTGCTTACCTCACCGCTAAAATTAACGGAAGGAATAACATAATTCAGGCAGATGTCGAGGAAGTTGGTTCTTTGTTTTTGGATGCTAAGTCGTCGGCGAGGATCTTGACCGAGAACAAAGAGAAATATATGATGTAGGGTGTAGCCCTGAGAATGTTTGTTTTTTTTTTTAGTGAATGTTGTGTTGAAAGGTTGAATGCGTTTTGTTATTTTAAATAGTTCTATTTCAATAAACGTCATGTTTCTGTGAGTAGAGATGTTTATTATTTCTAAATTCTGTCACTATTTAATTGTAAAAATAGTATGCTAGTTGCTGCAGTAGCGTATACAGGGTGTATTTAAATGGAGGGGCACAAATGATACCAGAGATTCCTTGGGTAAAGATAAGTCGATTTAACCTAAAATACCTATATCCCAAGTCACATAATAAAAAAGATACAGGGTGTCAAAGAGAAAAATAAAAAATGGTTTTTCCTTAATAATTTCTATAATTTTAGTGAGAAATGTTTCAAATTTTCAACAGAGGTTTTTTAATGATGGGAAAAATAATATAATAATGATTTTTGAGTGTCGTGTATGAGGCGCCCTCTGCAGGCAACGTTATGCATTGAATATGAAGTAACTTTTTTGCCAACCCCGTATACAGCATTTAGTAACAAAATATGAAATATTGGACTTTTTGAACAAAAAAGGTATACATATTGAAAATGGCTAAAGCCAACCATTGAGGAGATATTTTTAATTTCATGAATTAGTGTTGCGGATTTATACCTCCACAAATGCCAAGGTTCGAGTTAAATAAAAAAATCAAGTAGGTAAATGTCATTTGATAATACTCGTCCCACTAGTGGGACACGCTGTATACCTATATGGGTGTATATTTGTATTGGGTTCTGTTTGTATTATGTATTACAAAAATTGTATAAACTGTATATATTCCAACATTGGTGTATAAAGGGCTGCATAGATATTTATATCAATTTTTTCCTATAAATGAAATACACATTTTTAGCATAAAGTCGTTTTATTGCTTATGACATCAATGAAAGTTTATTACTTTAATTGAAGTTCTTGAGTTTAGTGTTTAGTAAGAAGTTTGTATTGATAATCGTGGAACTATAAACTATCGATTTTTATTACTTTTCCATCACCTGCTATTCAAATTTCCCAGCTTAATACATTTCTCTGCTTATCCAATCCACTGAGGCCATTTGTATATGTGATGATTAAATCAGTTTTGATTGGCTAAATATCAAAATACATTTAACGTCATCTGGCGTGGTGACGTTCGATTGGTTGGCAGTGTCCAAAAAAGACTTCTAGAACGTAAATTTCTGACATTCATATTTTGAGTGTGTTTCGTGTCGTTCGTATAATTTTTTTCGTCTGCCGGCGTTTTTTAAATAAAATATAATTGATTTGATGCGTTAAAATTTACCTAAACTGCAACTATGAAGCAGTACATATTTTTATTCATAGGTTTATTTATTCTTATAGGTAAGTAAATTATAATATTATTTTTTTGGAATTTTACTAAAAAAAAACTTCAGGTACCACACAAGCGAGTGAAGCTGGGGGATCAGAAAATGTTGAAACTGTTGATATAGACTTGGGGGCCAGCAGGGAAGGTTCAAGAACAGGTGAGTTTTCCTTTATTCATTATCTAATTTTCGCATAGTTCATGAGATGTTCTCTTACAAGAATATCTGTTCTTTTGTGAAAATTTAACCTTCTATCTCTTGGGTCAGCATCTGTTAATCGCGTGTGATACCACCCATATCTAACAAATAATCTGAATTAAAACTAGTTATTCCTAAATTATCCTTAAAGTAAACTTATTGAAAGTTTAAACAAATACTTACTTTTGATTTTCTGTTATTGAATCCTCATATTTTTCTCTAGGGCCACAAACTTTCAGTTTTTTCAACCATTCTTTCACTGTTTCATCATGGTATTCGTTATCTATTGAATATTTTGTGTAAAATTTTGGGGTAACAATTGGTGCTGCGACAGAGATTTGTTAAATAAATTATTAGTTCTTTAAAGCTACTTACGTAAATGCAGCGGCTTGTGTATTTGTATATTAGATCGACCAGGCAAATTTTTTTCAATGAAGGAAAGTTTGAAGGGTTTTTGTTTTTCTTTTTGCTCTTCATCTGAATGTTTCATGTTCACGTGTTTGATCAATACCGTTGTTAATGAACTGTTAAGTGTTTATCTATGTTGGCAATGGTAATTGGTAATCAATACTTTAACTTTATGTTGCAGATGACGAAGTTGTTAAACGTGAAGAGGAGGCAATTAAGCTCGATGGCCTCAATGTGGCTCAGCTTAAGGAGCTTCGTGAGAAATCTGAGAAATTCGCATTCCAGACCGAAGTTAACAGGATGATGAAACTCATTATTAATTCTCTTTATAGGAATAAAGAAGTAAGTCTTTTATATTTTAATATTAGAATATGTTTTATCAATATATTTTCAGTATTTAATCTTAGTTTTTGATTAGGTACCTAAAGGTTTATAGTTGTCAGGAATGGATTAATTTATTTGATAAGATCTTTCATTTCTACCATTTCTATCCTTATTGGATTATATTTTAATTTTTCAATAAGTATTTTAGTTGCATTATGTTCTAAATATTTCTAAACCTATATAAATTTTATATCCAAGGGTGTTTCAGGTTTATAATTACCAACTTCAGTAAAATATAGAGCACATTTAGCTAACACCCGAACATCTCATGTTTATCTTTAATGTTAAACGTTTCTGAACTGCATGGTTTATCTGTTGGCTTTGACAGAACTGTAATTCTCTATTACTTTGCAACTGCTGCATTTTCTTGGATAACATTTTGTACAAATATACCTAGTACCCCTTTAGCCCACTCAGAAGTCTAATATGTTATTAAAAGATTAAAGAGCCGGACTCTACTGTTAATGTTTGGTGTTTATAAGATTTCTGTAGAAAACACTGTTTTGTGGGAAATAAGAATAAGATGGTTACCTTTTCTGTTTTTAGTGACAACTGAATTTTGTTAGTTTTATTTTAATTTAAAAGATACTATGTCATATTGTGATAAATCTAATATTATATGAGGGTCACTAGAATATTCAATTAGCCCTTAAATTTGCAATTATTTTTTCACTGATGTATCATTTTTATTTAGAAATAGTTGAATATTTGCAGGAAAAAAAGGTAGGACTTGGTAGTGTTATTGAGTGCAGTACTGGAGATATTATTGTATGTTGTCCTTAAGGAGTGCGTTTTTATGCACAATTTTGATTATCTTGTCCAGCATTTTAGAAAATCTAAGCAAGTTAGAAACAATATCTCTTCAATGTTCTGTTGTTTACACGTTCTCCGTGATCTTTCAATACGAAAAATTAAATGAATCCTTGTATTTCCACATTTTTATAGTTTAGATGGATTTTCTTCTATCATTTGCAATTTCTTGTTTATAAAACGCCAGCCTTAAAATCCTCATTTGTGATATCATGACTGAGCTAAGATAAATCATAATATTTTTGTCAGGAATTCAATATCTGGTACATTTATTATTGTAATAGAAATATAGAAAAACTTTTATAACTTTAAAATCTGCAAATAAAATTAATTGACTTTTAGCTATTATTATTATTATTTGTAAATTTAAAATAGTATGCAGCCACTAAACGTTCGTTATCAAATTTTACCACCATTTATCAACATTTGTGAAAAGATAACATGTAGGATGATAGTAATGACACAAAAAATAGTGTTTGTAGAAAATTTAATCCAAATATGTGGAGCGATTCCAAAGTTACAGGAGATTGCAGTTTTAGTAAAAGTCAACACTATGTAACTCGGAAGCAAAAATTTTGTTTTTCTTGTTCATTTTAAAATGGAACTTTTGCATAACTTATTGAAAATTGTTGTTTAGCACATTTGTATATTTTTCTGGTGACTATTTCAGATCTTCTTGAGGGAATTGATCTCAAATGCCTCCGACGCTTTGGATAAGATCCGTATGTTATCTCTCACGGACAGAAGTGTTCTGGATGTTCAACCAGAGCTGAACATTCGAATAAAAGCGGATAAAGACTCGGGAATGCTGCATATCACGGACACAGGCATAGGTATGACGAAACAGGACCTTGTCAACAACCTGGGTACTATAGCAAAGTCTGGAACTGCCGAGTTCCTCAGTAAGATGCAGAATGCGGAGTCGTCTCAAGATATGAATGATATGATCGGACAGTTTGGTGTTGGTTTCTACTCTGCCTTCTTGGTAGCCGATAAGGTCATTGTCACATCTAAGCACAACGATGATAAACAGTATATTTGGGAGTCTGACTCGGCAACCTTCAGTATCGTGGAAGATCCTAGAGGTGACAGTTTGAAGAGAGGTACCACTGTGAGTTTGGAACTGAAACCAGAGGCCAAGGATTTCTTGGAACACGATACTGTCCGCACCTTAGTCAAGAAATACTCACAGTTTATTAACTTCCCGATTTATCTGTGGACCAGTCACACGGAAACTGTAGAGGAACCAGTTGAAGAGGAAGTAGCAGAGGAAAAACCGGAAACTGCCGATGAAGAAGATGCTGCTGTCGAGGAAGAGAAAGAGGACGAGAAACCAAAGACCAAGAAGGTTGAGAAGACGGTTTGGGATTGGGAGCTTCTGAATGACAGCAAGCCGATTTGGACTAGGAAGCCTTCAGAAATCGAAGATAAGGAGTACGACGAATTCTACAAAGCCCTAACCAAGGACACCAATTCGCCTTTGACCAAAATTCATTTTGTAGCCGAGGGCGAAGTCACTTTCAAGGCCTTATTGTACGTGCCCACCGTCCAACCGTCTGAGAGCTTCAACAAATATGGCACCAAAACAGACAATATAAAATTATATGTTCGTCGCGTATTCATCACTGACGAATTTAACGACATGATGCCTTCATACTTGAACTTTGTCAGAGGAGTTGTGGACTCGGACGACCTACCTTTGAACGTATCTCGTGAAACCTTGCAACAACACAAACTTATCAAGGTGATCAAGAAAAAGTTGGTCCGTAAAGTACTGGACATGCTCAAGAAGCTTCCTGAGGAGGACTTTGAGAAGTTTTGGAAGGAATTCTCCACAAACATCAAGCTGGGAGTTATCGAGGATCCAACAAATCGCTCCAGATTGGCCAAACTTCTTCATTTCTTCTCCTCCAATGACAATAAACAGACTGGCTTAGCAGAATATGTGAGCCGGATGAAGCCCAAACAAGACAAAATCTTCTACATCGCAGGAGCCTCGAAAGCCGAGGTGCAAAAGTCACCTTTTGTTGAACGGCTGTTGCGTAAGGGATACGAAGTCTTGTACCTGGTAGAAGCGGTCGATGAATATACTATTTCTGCCCTTCCTGAATTTGAAGGCAAGAAATTCCAGAACGTTGCCAAGGAAGGGTTCTCCTTAACCGAAAGTGAAGGAGGCAAGGACCAATTGGATCAGTTGAAGACCACTTTTGAGCCCCTCACCAAATGGTTGTCGGAAAACGCTCTGAAGGATCACGTTGCCAAAGCTATGGTATCCGAAAGATTGTCAGATTCCCCTTGTGCTCTAGTAGCAAGCTTGTTCGGCTGGACCGGAAACATGGAAAGACTTGCCGTTTCCAATGCCCATCAAAAATCAGATGATCCTCAGAGGTCCTACTATTTGAACCAAAAGAAGACCTTGGAGATCAATCCAAGACACCCGCTGATGCGAGAGTTATTGAAGAGGGTTAACGATGATGCGGATGACCCGACAGCGAAAGACATGGCACTGATGATGTTCAGAACGGCAACTCTGAGATCTGGGTACATGCTGAAAGATACATCCGATTTTGCCCAGTCCATCGAAGTTATGATGAGAAAGACGCTAGGGGTTCCTCTGGACGAGCAAGTGGAGGAAGAGGAAGATGTTCCCGAGGATGGCATTCCAGAGGACGAGAATGGAGATATTAAGGATGAGGAGGAGAGAGACGAAGAGCATGACGAACTGTAAATAATAGCGTGAATGTGAGCGTGTTTATTATGAGATTGTTGTAAACGATCTAAAAAAGACTGTATAATTTTTGTATTTGTAATTTAAATTAAATAAAAAATTATTATTTGTTTTATCCTTCACTTGTTATCGGAAATCGATTATGTTAAAACACCGTACAAATAGATCCAAAAAAATTTGGGATCATTAGCTAAAATAACCTTTTTCAAGATGTCAGGTGTTACAGTTTTGAAAAAACTTCAGAGGATGTTTAATATTGATTAAGAAATTTCAACCTAGAAGGCAAAAATTTGATGAATTTATACAGGGTGTCACACTTAAATATGCTACAAGCCTGTAACTTTATTTTTTGGCTGATTTCACAAATTTTTATTTTGGAATCGTCACATATTTCGATAAGGAAGTATTTCTGGAAAAATGTTCACATGAAACATCCCATTTATTTTCAAAAGTAGTATCACACTGTCCGGAATGAGGTTAACTCTGATTAACCCTGTATGTATTTTTTTACATACGGATTAGGAACAATGTAGTTTTAATGAGACACAGTATTGGTAAAAAAATATTTTATTGGCAACTAACTAAAAAAAACTCCTTATCGTCTTCATTATTGTCCTCCAGAGGGCTGAAAACATAAATTTTTGTGAGTATAGAAAAGTAAAAGTTTCTTAATTCGGTTGTAATTTTTTATTGAGAAATATTCTATTTTATTTCTTCAGTAAATAATCACTATATGACAAGCTAGCTAAAACGATGTACAGAAGCACAATTGTCCAAAGAAAATATACAGGGTTTTCATTTATATTTTCACAGGATCTATTACAAGAACTAAAAAAAATAAGTAGGTACGTACACAAAATTTTCCCATACTATCATTTGAACTAATAATATACAGGATTTGGATTTTGCGACACGAAAGAGCAGCGGAGAGCAAAGAGATTTTGTTGAATGAATTATGAATGCTGATTTTTCGAACAAGATCATTTTCAGCGATGACGCTCATTTCCATATTGATGGCTTCATTAATCGACAAAATTGTCGCATTTGAGGTTCAGAAAATCAACGCTGGAGACTCCATCGGAACCATTCTTCTTCGAAAATGCGTCTGCTCAGGCAAAAACAGTTAATGGTGCTCGCTATTGTGAATCAGTTTTTTTGCCTAAATTGCAAGATATGGATGTAGACGACGTATGGTTTCAACAAGACGATGCCATTGCACATGCCATACAGCCCGAGTAACAATTCAATTACTGCATGAGCGATTTTTGGTGATCAGAATTGGCAGCCCAGATCATGCGATTTAACACCGTTGAACTTTTTTCTTTGTTTTTTTTTTGAAGTTTAAGGTGTATGCCAACAAGCCCATGACGACGCACGCCTTGATGGAGGAAATTGAGCGTTGTATCAACGAAATTCAGCCACATTTCTAAACGGTCATGGAAAATTTCGACAAAAAAGTGAATGTGCCAGTATAACCGTGGAGGCCAATTAGCCGATATGCTATTTCATATATGAACTTATATACTGTCTACTTTATGAATAAATAAAACAATTATAATTTTTAATTAAGAACTTGTGCTTTCTACCAAATCTACTTCTATCGTGAATTTTGAGACACATTTAGATAATGTAGAAACAAAGCCACCTTCAATTTTTTTAAATAGAAATGTCCTGCATATTTTTGTATACCTATATTTGGACAGATTGTTACCTTAAGATTACAATGATAAAATTGTTGATAGGTATACCTCTAATAATAAGGATGTATGGTTAAAAGAGTGTTGGAGAGAGATTAACATCAGTGATGATAATAATCTCTTTCCAATTATACTTATGACACAATAATATACATATAATACCTATTGTCGTATTCCACCCTTCGAGCGAGTTTCAGGATTTCAGAACACCCCGTATATTCATAGAAGTCATAATCTTGTACCTACGGATATGCCGGAGACCGCTGAATTGAAAAGGAGGCGAAACAATCATATTCACCTACCTTTCCAATTCAAACCAAAAACCCGCCACGGTTGCGAAATCAATCGCCGTCGGCCGGGCAGAATGAAAAAGCCTCCATGAGAGTCTTCAGACATCGATCCTCACGGCGATAGCGCTCCCAGAGCGTTAAAGACCAATTTCACCGACCTTTCCAGTGTCACCCGCATCGCGACCGATCTCGCCTGGGTCTGCCATCCCGGCGCGCAGTGACCACTGCCGCTGCTCTCGCAACCTGCAGTCGAACCCCGGGACGCTTCACGATGACATTTGGAAATGGCCATTAGAAATTTCACCACCCTTTTGAATTGGTCAAGGACGCTATCGCCAATAACTCCAAAAGTTATTGAGCGATCGGTGTCAAAATTTAATGCAGCACTCCTCAAGTCGCTAGCATTATCTTACTAAATTTTCGTCCGAATCGGATGAGCCAAAACGCCGTTATACGGGGAAACGCGGATTTCACGTTTTCCGCGTTTTCAGCCGTTCCGCTCATTCGATCTCGGCCGAACCCTCCAACCACACTAGAGTATCGCTAGGTGGTTGTCATATCCAAATTCGAACCGAATCGCCCGACTACTAACGGCCAGCTAAGCCATAATAGGTTTTCACGCCTTTAGAGCTGCCGCCGAAAGTATCCGCGCGATCTCGGTCGAACCCTCCAACCACGGCACTATGTCATGCCGTGTATCTAAACACAAAATTTCAAATGAATCCATCCAGAAATAAGACCTCCGTAAGCCCTTTTACGAGGACGGGGAAAATATCACCTATCTTTCCAATTTCCCCGTCTTTGGGCCGAAAGGACCGTCTTCCGAAGGTTCCACCGCTCTGGCGGTTGGATACGATGCTCGGCAGCCCAAGCCGAGACCGCGGGTAGAGTTTTTCCCAAACCTGGAAAAAACTCCAAAATCCCCGACGCCGACATCGACAATCCGTAGAGGCCAGAGGGGAACGAGTCCCGGCGTTGATGGGGACGATGGATGATTTTGGTTCGAGATTTTGGCGGACAATTCAAGGCCCGGTCCGCCAAAAGTATGGAAATCCCACAAAAGTGATCGAACGTCTACTTTTGACGTTTACAGTACTTCAGTGGGAGTACATGAGACGGAAAGCGATACAGAGCAATTGTGTAACAAATCTTATTCATGGTAAATAACTTGTATATGTTAATTGTGAACCTTTATTGTTTGTTAATTCTGTTCAATATATACTTTTAACATATCTTCCACGGTTTGATTGAAAAAACCCTGTCATCAAGCTCAAGAACTTTGGAGCTCAAGCTCACAGGCTCGCTTCACGAGGCTTCCGTCGAGGCTGCCATTCCTCGACGTGATATTGATAGTGCTTTGCAACCACTACTCGCTTAACGAGACAACCACCCGAGGTAGCCTAGCCTGAGGTGAAGACCCTGTTCGATAGCCCCCTGCATCGAAACAGCGGTAAATTCCAGGATCCATTTGCGACCTGCGAAACCGTCCGAGACTGACCACCTCCGACGAAGATCCTGTGCGATAGCCATTCGCATCGACACAGCGATACTCCAGGCTCCTCCAGAGACCTGCGTCCCGCCGAGGTAGCCCAACCTGAGGCGAAGATCCTGTTCGATCGCCCCCTGCGACGAAACAGCGATACTTTCAGGCTCCTCCAGAGACCTGCATACCGTCCGAGGCTTGCGACCCTCCGACGAAGACTTTGATTCCGACTGTGCCGGCTCCATCGAGAGACCCGCACCTCGGTACAAAGTACACACATAGGCTCCTACGAGACCTACAATTCAGACTCCATTGAGATCTGCAAATCCGAGGCAATCTTCCTCGTCAAACTTCTAGGCGGTCACTCGTCGAGGCAACCTTCCTCGTCAAACCCCTACGAGGCATTTACTTTGTGACCCACGGGCACAAAGCAATAGTACGCACGTTATTGTGGCGGCGTACTTCCAAATTTAGTAAAGAAGTTATCCTTACTTCTAGGGCTCCCTCGAGAGACCCACATTTAATAGTAGAGTCAGTGCTTACTACAAGACGTCTACAAGACTTTCGGAGCAAAAGAGCTTGCTCCGACATTGTCGTACGGGGAAGATGAACCCCTGCGACGCGACTACGAAATCCAGTGCTACGAGGATTGGTGCCCTCGAAGGTAATACTACGAATAATAAATTAGATCGTGTGAGTATGATCAAGACTGAGCTGGACGAGACCTCGTCCCAAATCGGAGAGACCAGCGGTCACACGAACTGCCCTCACACCTGTTTGCCGGCGAAAGATCTCTCGACATTCGGGGTGAAAGAGGAAATGGCCTCTCCTGCCAACGCTATATCGATGCTCCGCGAAGAGTCTGAGGGACCGAAGATGGTGGCTCGCGGAAGTACGCGGCACGGCGCAGCCACAGCGCCGTACGCGTTGAGGTCCGCTGCTACGCGAGTTACTGGCACCATCTCGACCACCCCTCACGACGCACTCGCGGATCCGAGTAGCAACCAAGAGTTACCACGAAGTGGGTCACCCACAGATACTCGGGACGAGGTTCAACCTACGTACCAACTGGTAGGGTCCGGGGAATCCCATGAGTCCAACCACGGTTCACGATCTGGCCCCGGTAGTGGAATACTTCCGATGTCGGGTGATTCGGAACGTGAGCTAGCCGTCGGTGACGACGCTACAGTTCATTCAGCTTTTTTACGAAGTGGTATCCAGCGGGAGCAATGCGCATCGCGTTCGGGTGCCATAGTAAGCGAAAACCCCTTAGCCGACTACGTCATAGGTGACGAAGCCGGCCTTTTTTATCAAAACAATACTTGTACGTCGCCCGTCCATTCTCATGATTTCCCCCGAACATACGATCATCGCCTAAGTGGTCCATATCAAGAAAGTCTAACCCGACACGACGCTCAACGCGGAGCTCGACCTTCTTCGTCGAGATCTCCCCCGCGAGCTCGTGTCCTAGACACCACGTCTGTAGGTCATATCCACCACAGATTCCAATCGTCAGAGAATATAGTGCGACCGGGCGTCGATAGCGACGATCCCCGTGAACTCCGTGCGTTCCTGCCGCGGAACCCGGTCAAGGGAACTAACATCCCAGATCACAGGTTGCGACATGGTTTCCAACGTGGAGCTCGATTAGAACTCCCGATGCCTCCACTGAGGACCCATGCCGACCAAACACAACATTCAGATCATACTTCACGACATGGCGCTCGACGTGGGGCTCGAAGTCCTGCTTCGACGTCTTCGCGGCGAGCCCATGTTACAAATTCCCTGCACAATTTTCAAGTATTAGGCACAAACGATCATAGATCGCGACATGGCGCCCAACGTGGAGCTCGATTAGAACTCCCGAGGTCTCCACCAAGAGCCCATGCCGTCGTGACCGATACAAACGATCATATTCCTCGACATGGCGCCCAACGTGGGGCTCGAATCGAACTTCCGATGTCTCCACCGAGGGCCCATGTCAATATGGTCGGTCATTACGATCATATTCCTCGACACTATCTATTATTAGAAATACTGAAAATCTTATATCACTGTCATACTAGGAAGGCATCATATCCAAAATACAGGGTGGTCCGAATTTTATACAGGCAGATAGATCTCTTTAAAATAGGTGTTTGCCTTATAAACATAGGTCTGGAACGGCCTCGTTTTAGAGATACAGGGTGTTGAAGTTGTTAAAAAAAATATATTTTTTGTTTATATCTCCGGAATTCATCGACCGATTTCAATAAAATTTAGTACAGATAATGTATGATCGTAGGCCTTGCGTCCCCTAAAATATGAGCTCTAAAGGTCCAACCAGTGGTGTACAAAAAAACCTACGCCACTGTACTTTTTACAAGTTATTGTAACGGATTTATATTCTAATGCACAAAATACGTAAAGAAGTTAACTTGAATTTTTTCCTAAAATTCACCTCAAGCTATTCATACCAATACAATCCCCTTGTAGCAGACACTTCTAACCATAATATTACAAGAATATTTATGTTTATAATTAAAAGTAAGTGCAACTTGTAAGCACATCGACAAAATTCTTTACATTCGTCGCTTTCGTATTTTTGGTTAAATCGATATTTGGAAAATCACGACGGAGCAATGAAAGGCACAAAAATGAAATTTTAAGAGCATTTGAAGACGATCCTTATACACGAAGAGCGTCTCGGCAATTTGGGGTGAGTAAATCGAAAATTAGAAAAGTTCTACCTACATAAGCATGGCAGAAATCCGTATCATTAACAACCTGCGCAAAATTTACTTCCGGGAGATGCAGGAGACGCCTGAATTTTTGTCAGTGGTTGTTAAAGTCACAACATAACCCAGAATTCTAACTAGAAATACTTTGGACCATTAGGGCTACATTCACAAGGCGAGGGCTAGTGAATTTTCACAATTTGTATATTTGGTCACAAGAAAATCCTTATGAAATGCAGACAAGATCTTTTCCACACGAATTTTGCGAGAACCTGTGGCTCGGAATAATTCCCAATAAAGTTTATGCTTGCCACCCCGTCTAAATTCCCAGTCATATCTAAACTTTCTAGAAAACCGTCTATTTGAATTATTAGAGGACGTTGCATTAAATATTCGACAAAATAGTTGGGTATAAATGGATGGTGCTCCTTCGCATTCTGGGAGAGTAATATAAGAATGGCTTAATGAAAATTATATCGAGCAATGGATAGGTAGAAGACCAAATGCCAATGTCAACCATAATGGTGCAGAGAGTCTAGTGTTTTGGCCAGCCAGATCGCCAGATCCATACCTCCTGGACTTCTATGTTTGGGGTTACCTATGTGAAAAGTAAAGTTTACTCTACTCCGATAGATACAAGACCACAACTACTGCAGCGAATAGAAGACGGGTGTAATGAATTAAAAGAAAACCTCCACATAATATTAGTTTCAATTAGTTCCATTAATAGAAGATGTCAGAAATGTATCGATGTGAGTGGTTCGCATTTTGAACAATTATTGTTGTAAATACGTAAAGTTAATTTTGTTGCTTGGTAAATGTATTTTTATTATTATTTTGATTCAAATTGTTTGTAAAGATAGTGGCCTCCGGGGGAAACTAAAACGCACCAGGAACACTATCTCACAGGTGATGTGGAAAGAATTTTGTTGATGTTCTTAGAAATTGCACTTGCTTTTAAGCATAAACATAAATATTCTTGTAATATATGGTTTGAAGTGTCTGCCACAAGGAGATTATATTCATACGAATAACTTGAGAACGGCGAATCTTAAGGAAAAAATTCAAGTTACCTTTTTACGTATTTTGTGCATTAGAATATAAATCCGTTACTATAACTTGTAAAAAATACAGTGCCGTAGATATTTTTATAAAAAAGGGGTTGACCCCTGGCCAGTTGTACACCACTGGTTGAACCTTTAGAGTTCATATTTTAGGAAACGCAAGGCCTACTAATCCTACTATCATACATTATCTGTACCAAATTTTATTGAGATATGTTAATAGATTCCGGAGAAATAAACAAAACATCATTTTTTTTACAACTTCAACACTTTATATCTCTAAAACGAGGCCGTTCTAGACCTATGTTTATAAGGCAAGCACCTACTATTTCAAAGTGATCTATCTGCCCTCGAAGTTTCCTGAATAAAATTCGGACCACCCTGTATATAAAAAACATGCAGGGTGTCCTATGTTGAACAAATTGGTTTTTATACATTTTAATTAATTTATTTTAACGAATGTAAGATAGTATGGGACAATCCCAAAAACCATTGTAAACCTATTTTTTATTTTTTTATAAAAAGTTTTAAGCTACATGTAAAAACATAAATGAAAAACGAAAAATCCCTGTACACAGTGACCTACGAAAAGCAAGCAAAACACTAAGCAAAAGTTTCCAATTAAATAAATTTATACAGCATTTAATAATATTTTTTTATATAGAACCACCAGTTATATAAATTGGCATCTACTACGTATAAGATTAATTACTATTAATAGAATCTTATTATGTAGTTTATGTATTGCTAATAAAATAATCGAAACTAAAATACCTGGCATTATTATTATTACCATCACCAAAGCAGTTTGTGAAGCATGGGTACTTGCGACTAAAAAATGTTTCGTAACGTTAAATTGTTATTTCTATAGGAAGGCAGTAAATGTTAATGTTAGTAATGTTAGGAATAAACTGAAAAAACTCACGGATTTCATTATTTTGTGGATATACTATATTATTCGTTTGTTCTCTGGGGGCTAAGGGTGCGAATATTTCTGCATTGAATATGTTGTCAAGTATATTCTATAAAAAAATACATGTTAGCAAAGATACAGGAACTGTTTTACACATTTCTTGGATTTAATTCAACTTATTAATGTTTTGAAAATGTGCAACAAAGTTAAAAAATTACACGTTTTCCAAAATGATAACAATGCAACAATTATAAGACGCAACATTAAAAGCAAATGTTAACACCTGAAAACATGACAGATGCACACCATTGAACTGAATTTTTGGTAATATTTGCTTAGACACGACTTACCCTTCTCTTGGCGATGCTGTCTATGATATCAGCTGTGAAAACTGGCAGTCCTTTGGTTCCTAGGTTTGTTATGGCATAAACGCTTCCAGCTCCAGGCTGCTGAACTTTTTCAGTGTCGCTCAAGCTGTGTTTGGAAGTGGTGACAAACAATATGTCCAGGTCTGGGCCTCCCCACATCGCTGATGTTACGTCCCTGGCAGGTATTGGAACCACCTAAATTAAAACAATCGAACTTTATTTGCAGGATTTAAAAATTTAAAAATTAAACAAACGCCTGTGAAATTTCATTACCTTCAGCAGTTCCCCCGTTGTAGGATTGGCTTTTATAACAGATCCTCCTCCGTAGAGGCATATCCAAAGGTTGTCATCTTCATCGATGGTCATTCCATCGGGGTATCCCGTTATTTTTCCAGGGTAAAGGTCCACATCGAAGGCTGTGCGGTTTTCTTTGGAGAGGACACCCAGGTCGTCGTCGTAGACGAACTCTACGATTTTCCTGGTTGGTGTGTCGATGTAGTAGAGTTTGTTGTTGGCTTTGTTCCACGCTAAACCGTTGCTGTTGCTTACTGGGGCTTTCACGATGGTGGGATTATCCAGGTTTTCCTTGGTGATTTTGTAGAAGTAGGCTTCGTACATGTTGAGGTCGCCGGTCGGCGATTCGTAGCCAATTGTCCCTAAAACATTCAAAATAAATTACTAATTTTTTATTTTATATCTTGGCAGAAAAATAAAAATCCTGCAGTCTACATCATAGTTAAAAACAGACGGTATATAGCTGTGGACAATAAAAAAACTTTCCATCCAAATCACTTACACGTATATTTGTGGGTTTTTGGCTTTTATAAAATTTGAGTATACTGGGGAAAAACCGACTAATAAGACAGTTTTGTTAAGATAATTTGTATTATAATAACAATTTTTCTTGTTAGTGTTAAAATATTATATCCCAAGCTTAATAACATTTATTTTGATGAACAATTTTACTACGTTAAACCGATGCTTTAATAGAACAACAGGGTCCCTTCTTATAGTGAATAGGTAGGTACATTTCTTTTAATTTTTTCCATTAAAAGTAAGTAGATAACTTATTGCACTAGGAAAGGACTTTAGTTGAGGTCTACCTATTAACACAAATCGAAGTAAACATTTTATAACAATAGCTAGATATTTTTTTAGAGCGTAGTAATCATAGTTCACATGCAGACGCGAGACCTACCGATACCATTTTCTGTCCAACATTGCAACAGGATAATAGGAAGGATGCCTTGTCCGTTTTTCATACCAACAATATATTATATTGTCACTAATAAAGGTTCGGTTGTGTGTATACACATTATATGAAGGATAAAAATGTTATGTAAAAGATTAGACAATTAATATACACATATGAAGAAGTACGTAGTGCACTGCCTATAGCGTTCATACGTTATCAACGTTGGTTTATAATTTTTGTTTTATACTTAAAAAATTAAAAATAAAAAGAGAACGATGGTATTGCTGGAATTATACAGGGTGTTGCATCACGAGAGGGACATAGCTTAATGGGAGATAGTGGACATCTAGGGCAATTAGGATCGCCTACATAAATAGCTCCTTGGCCATTCTTTATACAGGGTGATTAATGATTTTTGTTCAAAACTGCTTCATGTCATAACTTTGGTATGGAATGGAATAATGGGTTCACATTTGGTAGGGTTAATGCACTCACGATACTTCATGTATGCATGTATTACAGCAAAAAATATCCAGGTCCGGACTGCAAAAATTGTTAATTTTTTGTGCAAGTCTAGAAAACAACACTCTGTATGTCTTTTTTGAAATTCCGATACGATATTCGGAAAGAGCATAAAAAGGTGATCTTAGAGACGTGGTTCTTTTTTTTTGTTACATTTTCGTGGTTATTTAAATAAGCTATTGAATATACGGCTTCTAAAACTAAATTACGTAAAGGACACATGATAAAAATGGTTTTGCAACTAAAATTAGCGAAGGCTTAATTGAGGGTAGATGTTATAAATAAGCATGCATATTTTAAACACCATTTTCTTTAAATAATATGTATTCCAGGTCCGGACTGCAAAATTTTTAATTTTTTTTGTAACTCTAGAAAACATCGCCCCGTATGTATTTTTTGGTATTCTCATACGATTATCGAAAATAACATAAAAAAGTAATCTCAGCGACATGTCTCTTTTTCTTGTTACACTTTGATGATTACTTAAATACGCTATTCAATGTACGGTAACAAAGCTTTTAAAATGAAATTACGAGTAAGTAAGAAACACATGACATGAGTAAGTAAAAGCTACAGATAAAAATAGTAGTTTATTTCTTTTAGTAAATAGGATTTCTAAAAAATAGAAATAAAAAAAGCAAGTAGGAACAAATACTATTTAATAAAACGCGGAAAACAAATAACAATAAAACATAAAGAAAATAATAGGTGTCTAAATGTACTTTACAATGGCAAATTAATTTTATAGCAAATTTTCAAAGTGGCCTCCCTCAACTTCGATACATTTTCTTACTCGTTTACCCAAGTTTTCAATTGCTCGACGTATCATTACTGAATTATTTCGTATTTCATCGCAAGCTGTAATGATTCGATCGATCAATTGTTCCCTATTTTTGATTACGACCTTTATAAACTTCTGCTTTCAAGTGACCCCATAAAAAATAGTCGCAAGGATACAATCCGGAGACCCCGCTAGCCATTCGTATGGACCGCCACGACCAATCTATCTGTTTGGATATTCATAATCCAAGTGCTAAAATGCGGTGGAGCTCCATCGTGTTGAAAGAGCATACCTCTAATATGGACATTTTCTAAGAGATTGGGTAGGATTGTTTGAAGAAAGTTTAAATAAACGTTACCACCTAATCTCTCTTCAAAAAAATTAAATGCCCATTTACAAGCCCGATCCAAATGTTTACAGAAAACCTGTGTTGTGAATGACATTGGCGTTTTGCATGTGGGTTTTGTTGTGCCCATTCATGGTCGTTCCTTGAGTTATTTATTCCATCTACTGTAAATTGCACTTCGTTTTTAAATAAGGTTCTGTAAATAACCGGACGGTGGTTAGATAACCAACGCGAGAAAGACAACCGTTGGATGTTATCACCTGGTTCAAGACGCTGTACCTGCCGGATGTGGTATGGATAATAACGTTCCCTTTTCAATGTTCTCCATATATTCCAATGAGGAATATTAATGGCAGAACTAATTCTTCTTGTGCTAGTTTTTGGATTTTGTTGAACTAAATTTAAAATATTGTTCTGTTCTTGAGCATCTTGATGTAAAGTACGCTCCAAATTTTTTGAAGTTGGAAACCTCCCGTGTTGTTTTGAGTACTGGAAGACTTTACTAAAGGTTTTATAATTAGGCTGCCGACGATCAGGAAAACGTTGCTGATATTCCCTTTGTGCTGCCCTACTATTCCCATTGTAAAACGTATAGATGAATACTATGTCAGCATATTCTTCGTTTGAAAATAAAAAGTATTAAATGCAAGTTAATGAATACACAATAACACCAGTAAACAGTTTGTTGTCAAACAATTCACTATTTAATAATTATCTGTCACTTTGAGTAGGCCTACTATAATTAATTTACATCAAGATGTTCAAAAAGAGAATAATATTTTAGATTCAATTCAACAAAATGCAAGGTCTAACATAAGTTCGACTATTAATATTTCTCAATGGAATGCATGGAAAACATTGAAAAGGAAACAGTATTATTCACACCACATTCACTCATTTATTTTTCGCGTTGATTACGGGTAAATAAATAACTCGAGAAACGACTATAAATGGGCACAGCAATACCCATCTGCAAACGCTTATGTAATTCACAGTACAGATTTACTGCAAATGTTTGGGTAGATCTACATGAATGGCAATCGAAATCTACGGATTATAATTTATTTTTTGTCAAGTGTTTTTATCATGCGTATTTAAATAATTATCAGTGTAACAAAAAAAAAAGAGACATGTCGCTGAGATTACTTTTGAATGTTCTTTTCGATAATCGTATGGAAATACCAAAAAATACATACAAGGCGATGTTTTCTAGAGTTACAAAAAAAATTAAAAATTTTGCAGTCCGGACCTGGAATACATATTATTTAAAGAAAATGAGGTTTAAAATATGCATGCTTATTTATAACATCTACCCTCAATTAAGCCTTCGCTAATTTTAGTTGCAAAACCATTTTTATCATGTGTCCTTTACGTAATTTAGTTTTAAAAGCCGTAGTCTCGTATATTCAATAGCTTATTTAAATAACCACGAAAGTGTAACAAAAAAAAGAAACACGTCTTTAAGATCACTTTTTTATGCTCTTTCCGAATATCGTATCGGAATTTCAAAAAAGACATACAGAGTGTTGTTTTCTAGACTTGCACAAAAAATTAACAATTTTTGCAGTCCGGACCTGGATATTTTTTGCTGTAATACATGCATACATGAAGTATCGTGAGTGCATTAACCCTACCAAATGTGAACCCATTATTCCATTCCCTACCAAAGTTATGACATAAAGCAGTTTTGACCAAAAATCATAAATCACCCTGTATCTCAATAAAGAATGGCCAAGGAGCTATCTCTATAGGTGATCCTAATTACCCTAGATGTCCTCTATCTCCCATTAAGCCATGTCCCTCTCGTGATGCAACACCCTGTAGATATCTCATTTGTAAATTTTGAATATTAACGGAAGGTTTAAATACAAAGTTAATAATTGCATCTAATTAAGTGCACATAGTTATGGCAAAAAAATCACTTATTAGTATTATTTGAAATAAAAAAGGTTTTGTCAGAGAATTCGACATCCTAAGATGACAAACTAATAACGATAAGAACTTCTGCTATTGTAGATATTACATTATAATTGCCGTAATAAGAGGATGGAATTGCAACAATAAATAAAACGTTACCGAAAAACTATTTAGCAAGATATTTTTTATTATGATATCAGCATAACTCTTTTTTACTTATGGCAAAATTATATTTTATCCCAGTGCATTTTTTAAATGCTCAATCAGTTAGCAACCTTTTTTGTGTCCACATTTATACCATTAAATAATTATTTTCTAGTAACACCGGGCTTATAGTAAATCGAATGCGAGGAATTCAAATTTGCCAATTTGAACAAGTGGTTCTCGTACTACGACAATATATTTTGGAAAAAAAACACGGATCTTCTCCTCATTTTAGTTAAAAACAAATTTTAGAAATAGATTTAGGAGTTTTCAATTGCTCTAGAAGACTTTTCGTGGATAAAATTCATTCTACTATTCTTGTCTTTTGAACAAACGGTAAAGAAGTTTAAAAAAATTGGAAGCTATACATAATCATTAGAAAATTTTCCATACACAAGAATTTACAAATTGTCTTTGGAAATATTTTATGAATATGTAAAAAAATATTCGAAACTTTTCATTTCGGGGCCCTATTTACTGTTTTCATTTTCTCTGTGGCGTCCGATGCTTGATTATGTCCCGAGGTCGAATTTTGTCTTCTTATAAAGCTCCTGCTTTAATCATTATGCAGAGTCAATATAATAAATGAAACAAAATATTCGGCAAACTATCAGAGCAAATAAATAATCATTTTGGTGGTAGATGGACTGGTCGATTTGGTCCTGTGAAATGGTCTTCAAAACTGAATTTT